TGGCTGTATTCTGTTTGTTATATAATTTCATACACACATGTGCACACACACACACGCATTGTATTCTGAAAGCATTCTAAAGTTATTCAATTTGTAGCACAAGTTTTATTTAAACATAACATAAATCTAGTTAGCATGGATTTTTGCAATCAACGATAGGAAACATTTTTGCTGTATTTCAAATTACCTTTGAAAAGAAATAAAATCAACTAGTATCAACTAGTTTGATTTTGCAGCATAAAATCTTCAGAAATGGAAAAGTGAAGAAAAAAATGTAATGATTCGGTAACTCAAACAAAATCTGCTGTATTGTTGTCAGCTTCTGCTTAACCACTAATATGATTTTATTTTTGCCAGTGTTTTCAAGCCCATAATGAAATATTTTAAATGATTTCAGCTGTTTTTGTTTTACAGAAGAAAATTTATAAGTAATTTTTAATGTGCTTTTAAATTGTGAATGAATTTTCAGAGATTTTGTATGAAATATTTACAGATTTGCATAATTCATTACTTGCATAATTTACAATGTTCTTATAAGAGTGTTCATTTTTAATTTTATGTTTTTGTGTAATTACATGTGAATTCAGTGTATAGAATTTTGCATTCCAGGAAATGTAGTGAAAAGGTAAAAACTTAAAAAGTAATCTTTAAAAATTATAGTAATATTTAATTCTTTTAGGCAATACTTTACCTCAAGCTTTGGAGATGATATCTTTATTAGAAAAAACATACAATAAAGCAATATCTCAACCATCTCAAACATCTGCAGTGGTTGAAGGTCTTTCTGCTTTCTGCTTGTTTTTGAAGCTATATACATTTGACCCTGAAGCTGGTAATTTTATATATATATATACATAAGTATTATTATTTTTAAGTATTAATTTAATATTTTAAGTATTATATTTAAGCATTTTTTATTAAGTATCTGAATCTTGGGCCTGTATAAGGCTGTTGCCTAGCAATTGTAAAAGGTTCTTATCTCTTTAATCTAGGCTGTAATACAAGAAAAGTGATGACAGTGTCATAACTTTCATTACTCATACAAATTCATTAAGAATAAAATCCTAATAAAATGAACTGCTATCTCAAATAAGCAGAAGGAAAATTCAAATGAAGAACTGTGACTGTATTAAATCAGTCACAGTTCTTCATTTTAATTTTCCTTTTCCTTCATTTGAAAATTGTTTGTGTAATATTGTATGGGCAATTTAAGAACTTTTTCTCATATCTTACTGGATTTATTGTTACATGGGAAAACAAAGAAAAATGTGCAATCCCACCTTTTAATATTTATTTATTTATTTTACTTATTCTACGGCTGATATATTTATTTTAGAATAAAAATATTTTCTTTTCATTTTGATGTGAATTAGTTTCATATTTAAAATAAAGTAATAAAACAAATCACTTTGCACTGCATATTATTATTTTGAAATTTCTTAGGATATCCTCAAAAGTTTTTGTTGTGTAATTGTGTATTATTTCTCCTGCAATGTTTCATATTCACTTTGGATTAAAAAAATATTGGCTGTATATCTCAAAACATTTGCTGTATGCAAACATTTCCATCAACATAAACTATATTTAACTTTAAAAAGTACAGTTATACAAATTATATAGCTGTATGCATATCCTCTACTACTTTGTATGTAAGAGTGCTGTCCAATATTTGGCTTTCTGTATGAGAAGTGCAATAGGCACCAATATGATTGCTTTTAATTTTATCAAATCATTGAATAATGAAAGGACATTATCACTTTGAAATCAGTGTCCTTTTATAACACAGATGCAAATGAAGTAGCTTTTTGATGTGCTGCATTTGCTGAACTTGAACCAAAAATCACATTTAAGAAAAGGCAATAAAAATCTGTTTTTAGCATGCTAGTCTTCCATTTGTATACGAAAATATGGCAAATGCATTGCATACTGTGATCAACAAGTTGGTTAATGTTATCAAAATATTACGGAAGGGACTTTTTTTAAAACTGAAGTAAAGACGCCAAATAAAAATCATCATATATGGTCCAAATAGAGTATAGAAATTGCCAAATGACAGAGACATGTCTCTAAATAAGGGATTAAGTTGCCAAGTGGCTTGATTTTGATTTCAGGCAATTGTGTGCAAAGGAGCTTGTTCTTTGGGAGAGAATAACTGGACTAACCAATTTAACAGAACATCTTTGTAGATGACTTTGTTTCTTCTCACCAAAATATCATTTCACTTGTTTTTTAGCTTTGCACTTTTATGAGTATTCTTTCTAGGAAATGCTCGTTTCTTATTCTGTTTTTATCATGGAGTCTAGCAATGACTTGTTAAACCACTATTACCCATTTCCAAAACCAAGCAAGTAAAATGCCGTTATTAAGTTAAATATCTTTCAACTGTTTTGCAAGATTTCAAAGAGCCATAAAAGTATTTGCAAATCAAAACAAAATTGACGTGAAAACATGAAATGGATGAATGGTGGGAAAGATTACAGTATTTAGAAAATATCAAAGATTTGGTTTACATATGTTCGTGAGAAAGATATGGTAGTGAACAGTCGATTGATGAAGCAGAAAGGGGAAGAATTATCAATAAAAATGGAAAAAAGATTGGTTTTGTAGCAAGAGATGGCTGGTTTAGCTGATGGAAGAAAAGAGAATTGTTTACGGACACCATCATGGTGGAAAAAAGATGCTGATTTACATGCAGTAGGAACATGATTGTCAAATGAATGGACTAAACTGTGTGCATCGCATTAACAAACATGGAAGTAAAATTGCTTGAAATTGTGTAAATATTTTATTCTGTGCCAGTATATGTAGTAGAAAAAGGAAGCTATTACACTGTGAGTAATTTTTAAGAAATAGCTTTTGAACAGTGCTATCCTTCACAGAAAAAGGAAGCTATTATAATATGGATAATTTTTAAGGAATATCTTTTGTATTGAACAACTCTATCCTTCATCTTATTGAATTTGCACAACACATATTGAAAATGTCATTCTTAAACACATTGAAGTTACATAGTTGCTGGCAAGTACCACAGACATTTTTTATTGGTGTGATCAATGGATTATTAGAAGAATAAAAGGACATTATCACTTTGAAATCAGTGTCCTTTTATAACACAGATGCTAATGAAGTAGCTTTTCGATGTGCTGCATTTGCTGAACATGAACCAAAAACCACATTTAAGAAAAGGCAATAAAAATCTGTTTTCAGCATGCTAGTCTTTTAATAAATGATAAATAAAGGAAGTTGAAGAATTAAAAACAATATTCCCATCTAACATTGGTGAGGGATCAATGCTTGGATGGATATTGATGGAAAAACTCTTGCAGCATCAATGACAGAATATATTGACCAGTTGTTTTCTAAAACAAATTCGAACACATCATGTGATAAAGTAAAAAATGATGAAATTGATGAATTTCCTATATATGCTGAAATAAGGGATGTTTTAATAGTATTAAAATTATCAATATAATGTTAGCCCAATAATTTCCAGATGAATATGAGCAGTTCATAAATGATTTTTTGGCAACAATTGTAGACAATAAATTATGAATGACTTTTCCTAATTAAATTGCTGTGGATGTAAGTATTTATATTTTTTAATTATGTTTGTATTAAAACATTAAACTACATTGATATTTTGAAGGATATTTTTCTCCATACTATTTAATTGTTAATGGAGTGTTCATGTAAAAGAGTAATGTATTTCATTAGCAAGTGTGACTTTCACCTGGCATTAGGTTTAGGTTTTGTACCACTGTCTCCCAAATCGCTCCACATATTTTAAGCTAAATAACTAAGAAAGGGTCTTGGTGTTTCTTTTTGTTTTCTTTATAAATATTTTACTTGCATGTGGAATATGTCTCATATATTATTTTATTTAAAAACATATTTGATCATTCATATGTTGAGCTCACCCAAAGTGACATAATCTAATTTTTGGAACTTGAAGTTTATCATTAAATAGCAGTATTTGAAGGATGTATAAATACTTCTTCTTTCCTTAATATGTTGGTGCAGCAAATTGTAAATTTAGCATGCATAAGTTATAGCTACCAATCTCAGTTACATCAATTTTTCTCCCTTAAAATATAATTTATTACATAAACTTTCTTAGTTGTAATAGTTGAAGGAGGGAATAATTTAGGTTTTTGATGTTGAAGATATGAAACTAAAAAAAAAGTATTTAGACCTGAATATATCCTATTTCTACTTGTGATAAAATGACTATGATATTCTCATTCAACATTATCATCTGAAAAAGTGAAAATTGTTCCTAATATGTTGTATATTATGCCTTTTATTTGTTTTATTTTTTAATAATTTACCCAGTTTGAACTGGTATATAGTGTATATATATATATGCTATTTGTAAAATGAGATAGTGCTTTATATATATATATATATATATATATATATATATATATATATATAATTATAAAGTGAAAAAGTGAAATTGTTCCTAATATGTTGTATATTATGCCTTTTATTTGTTTTATTTTTTAATAATTTACCCAGTTTGAACTGGTATATAGTGTATATATATATATATATATATATATATATATATGCTATTTGTAAAATGAGACTCATTTTACAAATAGCATAGATGTGTTGATGAAAGATTATGTTATTTGAAAGGTTCCAAAACCATTTAATCTGATTTTCTTCTTCTGTTTCAGAATCCAAGTTAAAAAATGTGTTGAATATTGATTATAGCAAACTTCCATTTCTGTCTGAAAAATTCCTTTATTGTTGCTCTAATGAAGGTAATTTATAAAATATTTGCTCATTAATGATCTTGTAAATTTCCTTAAATACCTGTCCTCAGACTTTATGTATTAATATTTATGCTAAATTAAAGATTAAATAAACTTGTTCTAATTACAGCATTATTTTCTGTGATGTATGTGATTGAGAAGTTAGTGTTAGAACATGGACATAACAATGATTTAAGGTATTATCCTCTATGTGAATTTATTTTTCTTTTGGTAACTGTATGTACATAACTCAATTTTGTTTGAAAAACAAAAATTTGGCTAAAGATATTTATAGTTGTTCCTAATTTTGCTGCTTTGTATCAGATTTGGTGTTGCTTGCTTTGGTTGTCAATAAACTTGCTTGCTTTTTGGTTTTTATTATATTGGTCAGTTTTGAAATAAAGTAAATTTGCAGCAATTTCTTTTAACAAATTATATGACTTATTAAATATTTATTTAGACATCCTTCTTTTTATGGTTAAAATCCATGACAACTAAAGCATTCAAGGCACTTTCCAACATCTGAGTGAGCAAAGTTGCTGAATGAGTAGTTCTTCATGGGTTCTTTTCTTAATGAATGAGCTGACTACATGTTGTTTTTATGGTTTCTTATATGTGTAACACTTGCCCCATCATAAAGAGTTCTGTACAAAGACATAACTGTATTGTAAGATTGGTCTTCTTTGTTTTGTTTTCATTAAAATCAGCCAACCACCCTAGAAAGTTCAAGGAATAAAAAATCATACAAAATTTATCAAAATCAGTGAAATTAAAATAGCATTTTTCTGGTGATGAATTATATGACAAATGAAATGAAGAAATGTACAAAAATGAAGATCATCAACTCAAAAAGTACATAGAATTGTAGTGTTTTAGAAAATCTGTTCATTTGAGAGGGGGATGGGAAATCTGGAAAGGTCTTCCTTTTTTTAAGTGAGCTTTACCCCTTTACTAAACCTGCTTTATTATCAGTTGGTGATAGTTGCAATTTGTGTCAGATGTGTTAGTTGTGATATGCTCATATCTAATTAATTATATGAAAGGGTGAATTTTGCTCAATTTTAAAACATTTTTCAATCTTTCTGATCTGAAAATAATTTTGAAATTTTTTCAAGCATGAAAATTGTTCACTAGTTAATTGGTTGATGTTGGAAAAGTCATTTATATTATAAAAAAATGGAATCTTTATTTCATAATTAGATTACTTCTTAAGTATATAACTTAAGTATGCTAATTAGTTAAAATAACAAAAGCTGTATGTATTTTTTAATCTTTCAGTTATTATCATGTAATTTAAAGTAGGATCAAACTGATTATTTAAGAAATTTAAATCCTCTTATCCACTTTCCTATAAAAAAAGTGGAATGTGATTTCAAAAATTAAACAAAATTGTATTATTAAGGTGATTTAATTTATCTTTCAAAGTTTACAGTTAATATTAAAATAAATATTTTTATCTGTATGTCAAGCCTTTCCTTTTCTTTTTACATACTTGAAATAAAGACATTTTGTCTTTCAGATGATATAAAAATGAAACTAAAAGATTGTAAAGAAATTGATTGACAAATTACATCTAATGTTTAGGGGTGTTTGACACTAAGTAAAATTTTTTCAGCTAGAAGAGAACTCTGTTTGTAATAGAATTTTGCATTTTCAGGGAGAAATTGCTCAGCTTCTTATTGGTAAGGTTAAATTGTAGTAGAAAGCCTACGGCAAATTTTGGCTACAACATGGTTTTAATCATGTGTCCCAAAAAGGCTGAAAGAAAGTTGAACATAGCTTCATGAAATTAATAGAAATATTTCTTTATTTAAAAATTATTTATTAAAGATTTAAATTTTATTAGAAATTATTTATTAAATATTTTTATAAAAATATATATTAAATATTTCTTTATTATTCCTTCACAAGAATATAGTAAAATTAAATTTAAGTACTTCTCTTGTGCTATTGCTGCAAGGAAGGAAATTTGAATTTAACAAATATTCTCTATTCGTATAAAGCTAATCTAAATTAAAAATTTAATTAAGAAACTTTAATTGCAAAAATAAAAAGTAAATTATTGCTGCAAAATAATTTACAATATATTTAAATTACAAGAGCATGTGTAAATAAAGTGCGCGTATCTTTGTTAAATAAAGTGCGCATATCATGAAAAAATAATCCAAAAAATTTTCAAGGAATTTTTAAGACCAATTTAATTTGCATAAGTGAATAATTGTTGAGCAGGCAGGAGATGTACTTATCAAGGGGAAGTTGCCTCCAAACCTAACTCCTCAATTACTCAATTCGTGTTTCGTCATCCATAGAGGCAAGTATATAGTAAAATTCAAAACCAAAAGTAAAATCAAATGTTGTGAATTAATAAAAAAGAAATTTAAACTAAGAGGAATTTTTAGAAATTTAGCAAATAAAATGTCTAGGAATTAAAATAGCATTATGTTATTTTCTTACTTCACGCTCGTACAGTGTTCGTGTGGATTTGGAGTGAATAACGACGAAACTTGATGAAGTTTCAAGACACTTTATTTACCAATATTAATCAGGACAGCACTTTTACAGTCATCGAAGATCTACTATAAACATGCTGGAACAATCAGCAACACAGTCTTCACACTATCAGGCAATAATGGTGGAGATAGCTTCACTGCAAAGCGCCAAAGTACGGCTCCTGACTCTGCTCAGTCGTTCTCGGAACTCCACGTACTCTCGAGACTCGCAATGCAGTCGACGACACACAGAGCACAGCTTCCAACTCTTCTGTTCAGTCGTTATCAGAGCTTAACACACTCTTTCGACGATGCACTAACCGCGATGCACTAAGAGACTCACTCGACTAAGAGACTGCGCTCGACGACCATTCAGCACTCGCTGCCCGGCTGTCAACTCCATCGACTCCTCACAGACTGACTAACTCGAGACTGTCTTGCACTCTTTGGACGAGGCACTCACTGACTGCGGACCAGCAGAGTTTATATAGCTTTCTTATCTTGTGTTCGAGAACATTATGGGCTAAACCAGTAAGAATTCATTCCAGAAGGTTTTCCATCCGTCCATGGAATATCGCCAATTTTGTCGCCAAATGGGCAATTTCTTGCTGAATATGGTATCCTGCCTTCTTTTTGCCATTTTATGGCAACCCTAAACCTGCTTTGCAGGGAAAGCTATCTTACCACACCTGTACATTTCATAACACTGCCTCCTTCCAAGGACTGCACGTCCCAGGCAGTACAAGCATTGGTCAGAAGCCAAATTCAATGCAAACAAAACATAATAAAGCAAACAAATAACATAACTAAAGAAACAATAATTTACACTATGTACAAGTTATATATACAAATTAAACACATAACAATTTTAAATTATACAAATTAAAGTTCTGAATGAATTTCAGTCTCAGTCTTTTCATTAAGTTATACCCGGGTCAAATACTCTTCCACTGCAGTTCTCAGATATATTTATGTTTTGCATATCACAGTCTGAAGATTCAGTCCTTTCAGACTTCATCCACGGGAAGATCTGAAAGGGTTTGTTCGCATCATGTGTACGGTTCTCCTTGGTATTTTCAGCAGCTGGTACATGTTCATTTTCCTCTGTTTCCTGGGAACCAGCTCCAAATTGTGCATCAGAATCATGAATGGAGTCCGATACTTTACAAACGGAAGTATCCTGGTTTAGAATCAAGTTCATGTCTGCATAACCTGCACTATGAGGCTCACACCCAGTTTGTGAAGTGGATGAATTTTCCTGCAATACTGGAGTGTACTACTTAAGCTGCACATCAGCTTCTCCCATCACGTGCACTTTCAAATGGTTCAACACTTACTGCCTGCGACTTTGTAACTTCACTATCAGTTTTGACGAACTTAACAGTCTCATTTTCATTTTCTTCCACTTCAGGCACTTGAGAATCAAAAGTTTCTTTCCTATCTTTTATTTCTTCATGTTTTCTTTCTTTTCCTTTAATCCTGTTAGATGTTTCATCCATCATTTCTTTATCTTTCTCAGGCAGTTCATTAGCTACTTCTTTCATTTCTTCATCCTTTGTTTCTTCAGACGCCACTCCTTTCATTTCCACATGATCTTTTATGGTTCCAGTTTCTTCTGTAAGCTCCACTTTCATCTGTTGGAGTTGCTCTCGCACCTTTTCTTGGCCAACATTTATTTCTTCTCATCAGGCTTTCTTCTCTTCCAGTCTGGCTTTGATCTCAGCTGTCATCTCTTTATATCCAGCTATTATCTCATCATATCCGGCTTTTATCTCAGCCAGTCCGGCTTTCATTTCAGCTTTCATCTCTTCCTGTTTGGCTTTCATTTCAGCCCTCATCTCGGCTAAGAAGTCCACCAAAGTCTTCGGTTCTTCCACCATGGCTTTCCTCTGCAGTCAGGTCATTGGCATTCACTCGCAAATCCTACTTCTGACACCAGTTGTTACATTGTTTTCTTCCTTCACCTTCGTACGGGGTTTGTGTGGACTTGGAGTGAATAACGATGACACTTGATGAAGTATCGAATCACACTTTATTTACCAATATTAATTAGGACAGCTCCGAAACATGTTTTTATAGTCGTCGAAGAACTACTATACACATGCTGTAACAATCAACGACACAGCCTCCAAGTTATCAGGCTATAACGGTGAACACAGCTTCACTGCAAAGCACCAGAGTACAACTCCTGACTCGGCTTGGTCATTCTCGGAATTCCGCATACTCTCGAGACTCTCCACACTACAACTCACGATGCGCTCAACGACACACAGAGCACAGCTCCCGACTCTTCGGTTGAGCTGTTCCCAGAGCTTAACACACTCTCTCGACGATGTGCTAACAGCGATACACTAAGAGACTCTTTCGGTGCACTCGACGACGACTCGGCACTCGCTGCCCAGCTGTCAACTCGATCGACTCCTCACAGACTGACTAACTCGACACAGACTGACTATCTTGCACTCTTTGGATGAGGTACTCACTGACTGCGGACCAGCAGGGTTTATATAATTTTCGTCTTGTGTTCGAGAACATTATGAGCTAAACTGGTAAGAATTCGTTCCAGAAGGTTCTCCATCTCTCCATGGCATATTGCCAATTTTGTCGCCAAATGTGGCAAGCCTTCTCTTGCCATTTTACAGCAACCTTAAACCTGCTTTGCGGGGAAGCTATCTTACCGTACCTGTACATTTTGTAACAATATTAATTAAATGTCAATATAATTAATAGTAGAAAACCAAATTTTTGAGAAAACCAAAGTAATTTTAGAGTCTCGTGCCTATTGAAAACTTCCCCTACACGAATTATGCACAGTAAACCTAAAATAAACTATATATAATCTATCAAAATATAAAAATATTACTAAAATGCCTAGTAAATGGCAAGTTTTAATTTAACTTACCTAGAACTACACATTTGAATTCCGAGAGTGGATTAGCATTTGTTAAACTAAGTGAGGTTGAGTAATTTTTTATTGCTAACTGTATAAATAGAGAGCGCTAGTGCAATGTAAAGTTGAATGTTAAGCTGCTACCTGCGAGAGCTATTGTAAAAACCTATGCTGTAAACTTAAGTAATGTAAAATGCTTGCTTTGTGTGCGAAAATGTTGCTAGTTTTGAGGCATCGTAAAAATGTGTAAAAATTGTTAACTGCTACTGTTTGGGAAAATAGATGTTGCAAACTACTGAGGATGTAAAAATTCGAAAAAGTTGTTTTTGAAGTAAAATTAAAAATTTTGAATAAACATTTAAATTTAAGTTAAAAATTATTTTAAAATTAAAAAATTTTAAATCACAAATATAAAGAATAGAGAATTATTGTAATTATTTAAAACTGAAGTTCTATGAGTTTAATTAAAACTTTAACTAAATGCTGTTCAAAGGTAAGGAAAATTAGAAAAATTAGATACAAATCTTCACTCAATTCGGGCTATAATTGAGACCTTTGAAAAGAGTTGGCCCTTCATTACTAAAAGGAAAGAATCCAGTATAGATTAAATATGCATTTTTACAAATACTTAATTAATAATTAATTAATATTTACAAATATTATCCTTCAACTCTTCAAAATCCTCCATTTATATTGTAAATTAGTTCACAGCAATAACTCATTTTTTATTTTTTCAATTAAAATTTCTTAATTTAATTTTTAATTTATATTAGTTTTATACGAATAGAGAATATTCATTAAATTCTTTTTTATTCATTTATATTTTTTAAGTATAATTGGTATAATTGTAATGTGTGTTGTAAAAATTATATAAGTAATTTATATTTATTAAATTTAATAACTTAAATCATATTACTTTGTAATGAACAAAATTTTAATGTTTTAAGCTGCCATTTTCACATATTGTTTATTTAAGTATTGGTTGTTTCTTCTAACATGTGTTGATAATAAAGCATTAAAGTTAAGAGCTATAAGTTTTAAATGCTTAAGAACCAAACCAATAAATAAAAAATTCAGATATATAACCACAAGAGGAGAAGAAATGTTTTGAAATCCGTTTAGAGAAATAATCGAATATCTTATGTAATTGTGTGAAATTTGTTGTGAAGAGTGTAAACAAATAAATAATGTGTTGTTTTATAATGATGTTTAAATAATTATGTATTATTTTAAATGTTATGTATTTTATACATGCAAGTTAGTTTTTTTTTTTTTTTTTTTTTTTTTTTTTTTTTTTCCCAAATTCTGTTTAGCTTTTTACATGCAGACTTATTTTTTTTTAATATATTTTAGTTCCTTGAGAAAAGCAATTCTTTTCCTCTTGACAAGACCAGCATTTAAAATCAGGATGCAAGCCACAGCACATTTGAAAAAAATGTTATCTGCTTTAGGTGGTATAGATTTAGCATGTGGCCTTTTAAAAGAATTTCCATCTTTTTTGAACAGTATTAAAATAAAGGTAAGTTATATATAATATATTATATATGGATATATTAATATATATATATATATATATGTAGAGGGACATTGTGTATGTATTAATTTTCTGATTCTGTATTTCTTACTCAGCTCTTTTATCAAAGATACCATATTACTTAAGTTTAAAGTTTTAAATCATTTATGTCATGTATTAAAAATTTTTATTTTTCACATAAATAAGTAATTTTTAAAAAAGTGATAAATTACTGCATATTTCATAAATAGTGAAAATGATGTGAAATAGGTGATATGAAATAAACTATTTCATCTATTGCATAAAGATATGATGCTATCATAGTAATTTCCTTTTGGTTGGGATCTTAGTTGGTATTAAAAAATAACTTCAGAGCACTAAAGTACATATAATCAAACTATTATTTAATGGTATTTTGAATTTAATAATTGTTTTCATTGTTCTGGTCTAAAATGTGTAAAATTAGGTAAACTTATCCTTCAGTAAAGGAAAATTTAGGTTTATTTTATTATTTTAAATAACATTTTTACTGTGGGTAGGCTTAAAATATAAGAGAGCAGGGCAAAATATTTTTCATATGTATTATGTTTAAATTGAATTCAAATGATTCTTTGGTTTAAGAATAATTTTAAATTGTCTCTTAATGTTTATTATTTTGATCTTGTTTATAGCTTTAATATGTTATAATCTTTAAATTTTATGGAAAGTAAATTTCATGTTTTATACAAATAAAACAAAATGTTAGGAGATGAGCCTTTTAGCAACTATAAATAAATATCAAACATAAAAAAAAAATTCCAATAAAGGAATATAAAGCTGGTTTTTTCTCATCAGAATTACCTTCAGTTTCAGCAGCTTCTTACTGTCAATATATTTTGGCAGTGTTCTGAAAGCAGAAAGTTTAGAATGTTGATGACAGTATTTTTGCACAAATTATGTGATTGATGTTTTAAGAACCAGGATTTTATTACATGAACTAATAAACTAGGCTTATCAACTGCCAAGCAGTAGGAGTGCCAAACACTGGCAATTTTATCTAGGTTAAAATCTTGATAAACAGGTTGATTGCATGGGAATGTTTATGGTTTTTTCCATATTGAACATGAATATGAGCCAATTTTCCTTTTAAAAAAAGTACTCCGTGAAGGCATTCCAACTCACATTATACATGGTTTGTCGTAATGCAATCCTTAATAAATTAATCAAAAAGTCATGTTGAAATCCTGCTTGCATAAAGGCACTTTTCTGCTAAAAAAGATTTTACTTTGTATATATCGCTAAGACTATTAAGTAATATTTACATTGGTTATATATCTAGCACTAATTTTATAGCAACTGAATGGCATCTCTGCAGGGGGTCTTCCATAGTTTGTAGTGTTAACATGAATTAGTTTTCTTCAGAAAATTTCCAGTTTCTTCTAAGGCAAATAGATCTTGAGTGCTTAGCTATATGAATAACCAAACGTGACCTACAGCCACTGGGACTATGAAACAGACGAGTAAAATCTAAGTAATTTCCATTATCTGAAACATTTGTTGATATTTAACATTTGAATCAAGCTCTCTTTTAGAGTACTTTTAGACCAAGACTAAGCTTAAGTACAAGGGTTGAGGCAAAAGTCATGGCAACTATTTTTTTTCTTTTAGATATGTGAACAAATCACAAAACATATATGTGTCATGTTGAAGTTCTGCAGGCATAGTGTGTATGCAGAACAACAGATGGCTGTGTGGTAGCGAGGGCTCTGAAATCAGTCAGTTGGCTAGTGTCATGCAAGATGGAAATAACCAGTGTTGAGCAGCGCGCTTACATCAAAATAGCCGTTCTCCGAGGGAGAAATGTGATGGAATGTCACAGTGAATTAGTAGAAGCCCTTGGGAATAATGCCCTACCATATCGTACAGTAGCACGGTGGGTAAGAAAGTTTCAGCAAGGACGTGTGTAAACCAGTGATGAGCAACGTTCGCGATGACTGGTGAGTGTGCCGTCATTGAGCAAGCACCTCATGGATGAAGACAGACGATGGATGTTACTGAAGTTAGAGAGGGCAAGTGGCATCGAGAAACGCACCACCCACAGGATATTGCGTAATGAGCTACAGCTACGTAAAATCGCTTCGCAGTGGGTATGCATGCACTGACGGAAGTTCAAAGTTGGGTGTGCTATGTAATATGCTCCGACCACTTTGCACGCTGGCAAGAGGACGACAATCAATTCTTTTCACGAATAATTGCCATTGATTAATTTTGGGCCAGGCCATACAAACCAGAACTGAAATGTCAGTCTGTGGAGTGGCGACATCCTGGATCACCAAGGCAGCAGAAGGTCCGTCAGAATCATTTCCCAGTCAAATTGATGGTGATCGTTGCATATGACGTCAGGGTTGTCATTGTTTGCCATTTTGTTCCTCATGGCAGAACAGTGACCGCACGGTACTACAGGGACTCATGTTAACTTTATGTGTATTGTGTTATCATTCTTTTGCACGGTGAAGGCCATATTGCCCTACATACTACTGTAATAAATTTGTGTGTTACGATATTTTAGTGCTATTCATTGTCCACACATGTAGTTAAGACCTTGTCCTTTCATCTGTATATATCTCATTTTCCAACCAGACTGGTATCTTCAAGAAAAAAAATAGTTGCCATGACTTTTGCCCCAACCTACGTATATTGTATGAATTCCAGGCCTTGATTAATGTTATTACATTAAAACTGGGCTGCTACTGTTTATTTGCATCAACCATGTGATCTTATCATTATCTAAATGAAAAGTATTTTTAATATTTGATATGTCTGGGAAAGAGATAATGTTGTGAAGCCTCTTAATGGGATCATTTATGGTTTACAGGCAATTTCATTCTTGTCTGGAGGCAATCATCTTAGAAAGGTGATATTTAATAATATTATTTATTTATGCTTTTAAAAATACTGGTCATTTTCAGAAGTTTTATCTTGAAAAAGTAGTTGCTCTGCTACAGAATTCATTGCATTTGATTGCTTTTAAAAGGTTAACTTGCATGACGATTAAATACCTGTTCATCTTTTTTGACATTTCTGTATATTAATTATTTTCACTTTATATGAATACGTTCCAGAGTCATGACAAGCGAGAAGAAAATGAAAATGAAGCTGATAATAATGAAATAAGTGTTCAGATCCTTCAGAGTTGTATCTTTGCATTATGTTCTGGATCCAATTGGGATGAAAGTGATGTTCAACAAATATGCTTTGAGGCTTTGATACCGGCTCACTTAGGAGATTTATGTATGTATTCTAACTTGTTTCCTTGAAATTTGATTAAGCTTATTTATTTTTTATTAATTTTAGAAGAACCCAACTGTTAGTCACTGACTTAAATGTATTCATTCAAAAAAAATTTAACTTCAATAAAACTTTTATATTTCTAGATAATTATAATTCATCTTTGTGGCCAAAAGTGGTTTGCAAGCTGAAGTTAAATCCAGTAAATTTTGTAAAAGAAATGGAAGATGAAATTATTTCCATAATAATTCATGATAATGAAGAGCTTGAATTCATCAAGCAGGTAAATCAGTAATTGATTTTCTTATTTTTTATGGAAACTCTTACTGCAATCGGTTGAAAATATTCAGCAATTAATTGAGGCTCATATAAGTAATAACATTGTGTATGTGTGTGTGTGCTGAAAATAAAATCTATTACTTATCTTTTTTGGGGGGCGCTCTTGCAATTTTTACCATTCTGGCCGTTGGGGTAATTAGTAGAGGCCAGTTATTAAATTGATGAACTTGGTTTCAAATCTTGGATAAGATATGGATGCTTTTGGCTGTATAATGTTGAGAATAGAGGGGCATTTGAAATCAATCAGTTTGAAATTCTGCCTAGAAGTTGGTAATAGGGGAAGGTAAGTGCATGTCTGTCGCATTCTATCCTTTGGGATGTGGTCATTGAGAACTGGTTTCAAGCTGCACAAAAGTTATACTGTCACTACTGGTACTCAAAGCCTATGGCCAATAGTATTGTTTTTTATGATTCCTTTTTGATTATTCGTAAGATTATTTGTAGCCTGAGTATAAAAAAAAAAAAAAAAAATGCACACTAATGCATTTTAATTGATTTAGAGCAGAAATCTGTAGATTAAAATATTTCTCTTTGTATTTTTGATATTTAAGAAAAAACTTTTAAAATTGGTTTTTGTCTATTTTATGCAGCTAAATATATCAAAAAGGGTTACATATGAGTATCTTTCACTTTTTTAATTTGAAGGTGTTTTCTGGTGTCCGTTATTTTCGAAATTTAAAATTTATATGCTGAAGGCAGCATTTGATCTTTGCACTGCAGTTACATAGTTTATTATTATTATTTATTTATTTTCTTAGCTTTGGGGGTTACAGGAGAGATATTCATTTGATTGTATAGATGTTGCTACAAAAATGTTAATGCCCATAAAAATATAGCTGAATTTATGTTTTCTTTGGTTTGTATAACATCATTATATTCCAAGTAAGCAGAAATGGCAAGTTTAAGTTTTACTTGAAAGCAGGTTTATTTCAAATATTGGCTATGACTTTTTGTTCTTGCTTTCCAAATATCTATATGCATTTCGTATGATACTTGTTTTGTTCTGTAATCATAGTCTGCCAAATTCTGGTTACAGCTTTCATTTATACATTCTTCTGAATTCAGTCTGTTTTAAAATGAAGATTGCTGCATGATTTAGAAACACCTTTCTCTTCCATTGAATTAAATTTTAGATTGAAGTTTTTGATGATTGAGAACTAATACATGACTTACAAATGCATTTTATTGTTTTGACCTCATTCATATGCATATAGCAAACATAAAATTATGGTCAAATATAGTGCATCTCTGATAAAGCTAAGTAAATACATTTTAGAAATATTTCTTTTGTACCTTTTCACATGTGGTGGTAAAATTTATTATTTATTTTGTGATTTTAAATTTTTTTTTTTTTTTCCCTAAATCATTTAGACAAACTCAGTATTGTATTTGTTTTACCAGAAGCTACAAGTTCTGCTGATGAATGTATGCTGCAGAAAGCTGAAATATTTTCATTTTTGTACTAGACCTAAAGCAGATCCTCCGTGTGTTTCAGTTCTTCACCAAAGCAGAGAAACCCTGTTAATAAATTTTTCTTATTAACATACAAAAATATTCTCTGTAATAAAACCTGAAATACTTTTAACTATTCTCTGTAATAAAACCTGAAATACTTTTAACTATTCTATGTTTCATAATCAGAATTAATATTTTTATGTTTGCTTTTCTACATATTTGTTGATACTCATTTATAGAACAAAAACTTGAATTTAAATACTCAGATCTTTAAATATGTGTCTTGAGATTATTTTGATTCTCTTCGTATGTTACTCTGAGGCACTAGAATTTTTAAAGTGCTACTGTTTTAAAATATCCTGCTGCAAATTTATGTATTTCTTTCCATTAAGGTGGACCAAGTGTGTTATTTGTGAGAAATGTTTAATTAAATTGCTATTTAGATTTATAATTATTGCACTTAAAATGCATTTTAAAATTTTACTTCAGCCTTTTCTTTAAATTTCATTGTGATGTATTCTACATGAAAAATATATTTTGCTTTTAAATTTGGATTAATTTGTTGGAAATTTGAATCCATTAATGTGTTAAAAATCTCTGAAATGAAATTTTTTTACACTTCAGGCTAAACTGAATTCATTGAAAACTGTTGTTCAGCTTCAACCCAGTGAATTTGTTCCTTCTGTGGTATCTCACTGTACAGCTGTTCTACGAGATCCAGCTTTTGTCCAGGTTACCAAGGAGGAATATAATATATTCCTTACTCCTGAAGGTCAACTGTATGATACATCCGTCATAGAAAAGTATGCTTCTCTGTTTAAAACTGATATAAAGTTTCTAGTTATAATAAAGGAAATTATTTTTTTGAAAAAGTGTTTTTAAAAATGTTCATGTATAATACAGTAGAACTCCAATTATCCGAATCAATTGGGACCGGACCCTATTCGAATAATAAAAAAATCGGATAATTGGATTTTTCTGAAGAAAGGGTCTACGTACACTTTAATTAATTTTTGTAAGTACTGTATGTTGAAAATGGAAGAAGAAACTATTTTTAAAGAAAAAAAGTTTTTAATTAATTAAAATGAAAAGACAACACTTTTACGTGCATCTTGTATAGCCTACTGTACAGTACTTACAAGTGCTGAAAGTCACCGCTTGCAGAGCATCTCAATCAAAGTAAGCTGTCTGACTGTCTTCATCCATTTTTGGACAGCCAAGTTGCGTGTCCGCTTGACAATGAGAAGTTGCATGTGGTCACACTCGGGCTGACACTGCATCCACTTCAGCGCAATTTCAAGGGGGGTAAAATGTGTCAGTAGCTTATGGTCCAGTGTCTGCTTCAACAACTAAAGTCATCTTTTTCCTCGACACTTTCTTCTCTCGCACTTTTAATAAGTTCATCATTTAGAATTTGAAACCCAGGGTCTGACGCAGAGGCATAGCTAGAGTTTCCAGCGCCCGGGGACAATTGAAGAGTTTGTGCCCCTTTCTTTGTGCCAAGAATGGAAAACATTTTATTAAAAAATTTTGTAGCCCCTTGGATTTTGATGCCCCTTGTATGCTGCACTCGGGGACAGATGTCCCCCCTTGCCCCACCCTAGCTATGCCACTTGTCTGACGAATCACACACCATCCATTTTGCTGTGTCCTCAGCATTAACTTCTGAACATCAAGGAATTTGCAAAATAATGTTTCTTAATTCCTTAAGTAACACATTATCCCCATCGTCTCCTCTCGCTCTTCCCTTTTCTTGAGCTTCTTTTTCTCATTTTCAGTCGATTCTGAAAGCGGTTCAGATAATTGTAGTTGTACTGTAAGTAAAAAAATAAGCTAACCAGTAGGATAACTGAAACTTTCTTCTAATGATATTTTTTTCTGTTATTTTCTACAAAAGGAAATAAAGTATGTAATATATTATAATTAAATTATATTCAAATATAGTTAAATAAATATAATTTAAAAGGAACCATACTGTAAAGAAATGGATTAATGACATCTGATGTCTATCTTCAAAAAACGTATGAAAGAAAATGCTATGGCAGTTAAATATTGAAAGTATCCATTTTTTAAAATTTTTCTTTAAATAAAAGAAATTTGTATTTTACTTGAGCAAATATTGTTTTATTAAATTCCAAATACCAATTTTTTTTTTTTTTTTTTTTTTTTTTTTTTTTTTTTTTTTACAAAAAAGCAGATTGAAGAGTTACTTATTTGGTTTAATTTGTCCAATGTTTAATATGAGTATAAATTGAATGTAAAGAATTCTTAAACAAAATCATACATCAATAACATATTCAGTATTTTTATTATAAATATGTCAGGTTTCGCATATATTGTTCATTTCAATGTGACAGTTTTTCCTGCTGAAATAATTAATAAAAAATTGAATTAATTAAATAAAATAAAATAATTAAAAATTGAATAAAACATTTTTATTTTCAGCTTGAAAGAACAGATAAATACAAATAAAAATATCAAAAGAGAGAGTAAGCTGTATTCCTATAAAGAACAAATGGAGGAAATAGAACTTAAAAAAGTAACTTTTATTTTTTAGTATTTTTGGTATATTTTTTATTACTTTTGATAATTTTTCTTGTTCTTTTTTATTTAATATGTATTTTGAATTTGTGTTAGGAAATTGAAGCTAAAAAAAGGGCCAAAGGTTTAATCAAGGAGCCAGAGTTAACCAAGAAACAACTAGAAGCAAAAAATGCTCAATTAGAAAAAGAATCTGTTATTCGAAATAATATAAAACAAGTAATTATGTTTGAAATTTTCCAGTTTATCATGTAATGCATATATAAATCATTTGCTAAATGTCCTTTTTATCAAGTTGTATAATCTCGTACTGCATTATTATAAAATTATCATGTATTTAGTTTGATTTAAAAAAAAAGTAGTTTTAAATGCTTTAACTTTTTATAGATGCGAATAAAATAAGTTCTAATTTTTTAAATATAGAATTTTATTTCATTCATTATTAAATATATTGATTTCTTATACACTCAGTTTCTTTTCATGAGATTTTAGGACTGAATTCATAAAAAGTTAGTGTTTAAAAGATAACAGTTTCATTGCTCTTAGGCAAATGCTCTTGTTAATATTTTATTTGTCTTGTCATTTTGCTATAATTTCTGAAATGCTTTTGATACCCTTTAAAGTGAAATTTAATTCGTAGGTGACAAAGTAGTAACTGATATGTTGAATGGGAGAGAAAAGCATTAACCTCTCCCACCCAAAAAAAATTCCTAGGTTATGGTTGCCTAATGGGAAGGAAATGGTTTTCTTTTTTGATTTGACTTTAAAGCAGCAGGTTATCAACTGCATTAATTCCACTTCTTTCCATGAGATGGCGACATTCTGTAAAAAGGAATTTGAGATATGTCTATAATTTTTAGTTGTGATAATCATTTATGAGCAATTAATTGAAATCATTTATTGCAATTTGTTGAAAAAATTCAGTCTTAAAATTTTATCGAAGTGCATTTTGAATTTATTTCATTTTATCTTTTAAAAAATTCTAAAACAGATGTTAATTTTGTACCTCTGATTATTTTAGAGATGTGTTTATTATTAATTAAATGAAGTGGTAAAATTGGTTTTCTCCCTTTTCATTTTTAGCTTAATAGCCGGTTCCAGAATGCGTTAGACAAACTTCAGGCTGTTGTTGATGCTAATGCTAAAGCTCTTGGTTTTCATATGAAGGATTTAACTTCTGCTTTAATTATGCTTTTTCCATCTCCACTATGTTCATATCGAGCTACCAGAATGTATGTTAATCTGTCATCTGTTATATCAGCTGGTGTTTTACTCTCATGGGGTAAAGTATATTTTAATTGAATGAAAAAATTGTTTTTAAATCAAGTTTGCATTCTCTATAAGCTGCTTTAATGCATTCTAATGATTTTTAACATCGAGAAATGGCATTATTGCTTAATATGCCATGGTGTAGTTGCAGAATTATATTTATAACAAAGATAACAAAATCATAAGGTTATGTAAAGTATCTGAAATTAAGTTGCTAAAACATCTATAATCTGGATTTGGTAACCTTTTTATATGCACCACATTTTTAAATTACACAATTGATTATCAACATATTACATCAGTTGAAGCTGGTAATTAGTTTTTTCTTCATATTAGAGTTAAGGTATTTTATTTTGCATTTCTTTTTAATAGTAAAAGTATCTAGAGAATGTGACTTAATTTACAAGTGTAACATGGAAGAGAGTTTCCTCCCATTGTAATGACTTGAAAAGTAACTTTAAAATATTTACTTAAGAAATTTATCCTACTGCTAAAATATTTATCCCAAATATTAAACTCGGTACAATTTTGGAAGTCTTTAAACATGGTGTATATGAGCCAGTTTCCCTTAGAAAGTTCTCCACTAGGGCATCCCTCCCCTTAGGCAGATAGCCCTCGAGTGCTTTGTCGTAATCAAATAAACTAAACCAATTTTTAAACATAATTCAGTATTTACTCTAAATACTTAAGAACCATAACAATGAAGCATAAATAATATTTTATATGAAATCGAAATAATGTTATGTGTAAAATCAAATTATGTATCAAATTAATAACTTCTTAACCTGAAAAATCAAAGTAAACATAAAACAGAACACTTGCATATTTATTCCCATTAAATTTACTGCTATAATTTTTATCTCTGATTACTGTACTACTATCAGGTAATGATATTAAAGTTATTATAACAATATATATTTTTCACTTATATTTATTTTCTTTAACAGAATAGGGTGTTTTTTCAAACATAATAACTACAGATCTTTTTAAATAGATTGGTTATTGCAAAATAAAATGTTTAGCATTAACCAATTAGTCTGAGCCAGGATTGACTTTTTTTACATTAACATAGATAATTATTATAACACAGATTTTCTTACATCATACATAATAAATCAAAAGCACTTATCTGTTGAATCAGAGCTATGTTTCAAACCAGACTTTTAAATCTTGATGTTTAACGTGAGTCGCAATTTTCGACATGTAATTGAATCTGGAAAGAAACTTGCCAATCATCAGAGAACAGTATAAACAGCATAAGGTCGGGCACCACTTTTGTAACATGGAAGAGAATTTTCTCTTGTAATACTTAAAAATATTTGTTGTAGAAACTTAACATAAAACAGTTACAAAGAATTATAACATTATAGCATTTATAGCATGGGAGGGATTACTCATCTTTATGCCATAGTGGCTCCAAAGTCATTATCTATTTAGTTATCCCTTTCTGTTTATCACCAGTGGTAGCAGAGTTCAAAGGACGTAGAGAGAGGTAAGAAAAGTCTATTCAATCAGTTCAACCTCAAAATGAGGGGAGAAAATTAAATAGCTTTTTTGATTTGTTAGAAAATTTAATCACGTAATTAAAGTCATATCTTAAAGATAACAGTTGTACTGTCTTCTGATCAGTAAAGTGCCTATAATGTCTATGATTTGAATATTTGGATTAATCATTTTGTGTAGGTTTTCTGTTTAAATTTAGTTCCATCTGGAAAAGCAAACAGTCTTGTTTTACATTAATGATATTGTAATAAATTCATAGATATATTATTATCTTGGAATGTAAATAATTACACTAGAACTGAAGAATGTTCTGTTTTATACTTTCGAAAAATAGAGCCAAATTGATCTAATGACTTTTAAAAGTTTTATTAGCCAGAAAATCTAATCATTCTATCTAAAAGGAAATATTAAAATTCTTTGTTTCATCCCTCCTCATTACCCTAAATATAGGAAATGTGGGTGAAAATAGTGATTGTGTTTTCTAAAAATTCCTTTATTGAGTCTTTCAGAAATTCTTGATACTTTTCAAAATTTCTTGATTGGAAAATTGATAATAGTAAGCCAAAAAAATTATGCCAAATGGAAATATAAAATATTAATTTGTTTAATACTTAGTATTTATTCATTTAAACTGTACTGGAGTGTTTTACTTTTTTGTTAAAATAGCTTTTCATTACAAACAGATAGCCTATAGATACAACTTCATCGGTATTAAATGTAATCGATAGTGACTAAGAGTTGATTTTATAAAATAACATAGATTAAATGCAGTAACTTAGCTGTCACTTCTCTCAGTTTCACCATGAGACTCATTTCCATCATATCTCCCAATAGATCACCATATTTTCCACTTTCTAATTTTGGGATGCTTGCAACTTAATGCTTAAATTGGGAATATCCAATACCCATGAGTTATTTAGCCATCTCATCACTGAGAATGTTCTTTAAGGTGCATCCAGTTTTAAAGCCACAAGGGGGAAGCTCTATCCCAGTTTCGATGGAAAACATCCCAAAGGATGGATCCGAGGGTCTCCTACCCCTCCTTCCCTGTCACCCTGGGATAATGGTTAGAAACACTAGCTCCCTTACTGATGGTCCAGGTGTGACTCTCGAAAAAGGCATTAATATTATATCAGTGTATCATAGGTCTTCTTAAAATACCAGCAAGTTGAAAGTCAGCTTCGCGTTATTTGGTTGTAGGGAAAGAGAGGTGGAGGATCTTTAGATTGTTTAGGTGCTCACCATCAAAATTGGGGTGGAGCTGCACACTGAGTGAGGTAGAAATGTACAATCAGTAGCGACATTCTGATATTCTGCCCACTTGTACCTGTACACTTCTTTCTCTATCATCAAGTTTCTCAGGAGGACTTTAGCTTGCCAGTATTTAAAATATACCCATGAAGCACAGGCACTATGCACCTGTAAACGTCCGAACATACTCCATGAATTCGAACCCGGGCCTAATGATAGAACAGCCTCAAAGATCATAAAAATTAAATATAGGGTTAAGTATTAATATAATTTACATCAAAATTGTATTGTGAATAGTTCAGTAATCTGAATCATAATTATAAAGTGAATTTACATCAATTTAGAATTATTTTGAAATGGCAAAATTCCTGGAAACTCCTTTTTTTTTTTTTTTTTTTTTTTTTTTTTTTTTTTTTTCATATTTTGTGGTTGGCAGCTATGTAATAAGAAAATAAAGATTATGATATAATTACAAAAGGCATAATATATTTCTGTTGCATAACTTTCCTATCCTTATACTATCATCTGTGTCAGAAATAAAACTCATGGTCTTGATATTCCATAGCAATATTGAAAGATATACACCATACTACTTCAAATTCAGGTCTCCCCCTTTTTTTTCAAATTTTTTAGATTTAAAATTAGGAGGTAGCTTAAAGTCAAAATGAATATTTTAATGACTAATTTCAACTGATCTTCCACTTCCTAAAGATTAGATCTTAAATAATTATGGTCTTAAAAATCTAAATGATTTTGAAATAAGCATTCTTCAGTACATGATATAAAACCATTTGATTTATTATTTTTTGATTTCCCAATCGTAACATCGTGTTGGGATTAAATATGAGGATCGCTGCTTTATATATACATTGCCCCCCAATTATTAAATTCACTTCTGTTCCAATTATACTTTATTATATATATTTATTAAGCATCTGAGTTTAAAAGAAATTTTATAATTACATATTAGATGGAATTAAATTTTTTTACTCAGATCTACTCCAACCATATTTGTTTAGCATTGTTCGTCAACAGTCTTTCAGTTGTATTTTCAAGTTCATAAAACTGTTGGTAGCTTTTCCGCTGTTCACCTTTCAATTCAAAAGTTCTTCTTAGAGTGTGCAGTGCTCTTTTCATTTCAGCTGAGGTTGGAATGTAGTCATTTTTTTCCACATCACTTTCACTGTCAGTATTAATTTCTGGAGCTCTTTTAACACTTTCTATAATATTATAGCCGGTGTTTTCACGTGCAGTCTCAATATTATTATCAGTAGCAATGTTACACAAAACAAATTTTTGTGTAATTTCCCTCACTGATGTCCAACGTATTAGAATTAGTTTGCAATTCCTCTGTAACATTTTCTAAATAAAGACCACATTTTTTTTTAAAGCGATTTCTAAGTGTGTTGTGGGAGACTGCTTTCCATGCATTGACTGTAATATGCATAGCTAGTAACAAAGATATCAACTGGTTATCTTCTTCGAAGCGCTTACCTTTTCACAAGATTCAGTTTTGTTTATCTTTTATTGAATGATACCTTTTCTGTAATTACATTTGAAAGCTTTTATAATGTCTTCATCTAATGGCTGAATGATAGAACTCGTATTTGCAGAACGAAGAAACGCTAATTTGATGTTTTTCAGAGCGATATCAGAGGGTTGTGAGCTCAGTTATCTAACAGTAAAGCTATTTTTTGATTTTTCAGTTCACTGTACCATTTCAAAAGGAAATCAGTAAAAATACGGCTTGTCATCCATGAGTTCTTGTTATTATGGTAAGTTAAAGGTAAATTCTTAACTCCTTTTAAGCACCGAGATTTTCTACTTTTTCTAATAACCAGTGGCATCTTCTTAGTTGTTGCATCCATATTGCACGTTAATAACATAGGAACTTGTTCTTTTAATTTCTTAAAACCAGCTGCTGTTTCACATTTAAACATTAATGTGTGCTCTGGTAATGCTCTGTAAAACAGACCAGTTCCATCTGTGTTAATAAATTTTGTGTCGCTTGTCTTCTTTTAGAAACCCGGGTGAAACATGCTTTATCCAGTTTTCAGTGTTATAGTAAATTCTACAGTTTCTGCAAACAAAAGAGCCCTAGGAATTGGAACCTTTTTTAAGCTTATAGCTTGAAACTATTCAAGAAGAGCAGTATCAATATTTCTTAATTTTCTGTCTCTTTTGTGCTTCCTTCAGGCATTTGCATTTTTTGTTAGATCTATATCAGTTTTATTCCTTTGTTTCAGTAAATTGCACACTGCTGTTTGGGGAATTCTCATTTTAAATGCTAGTACTCTCAAGCGGAATTTACCTAACATATCATAATTTTTCAGTAAGTTATCTCTCATTTTGTTTAACATTTTTGGCATGTAACAAATCACACCCACAGCAAATAAAAAATGCTTCTTCCAGTGATTTGTTCAAAGTTTCTAGCTAGCGGAAAGATTCCACTTTGCCTGTCAAGTTTACCTGTCACTTTATGGTTATTATAGGTGTAATTAGTGCTTTCACTTCTTTCTTCTTCCACCTACATAGATCACTCCCCTTTTCCAATCAAAGATTTATAATTTACGATAATGCAAGGAAATATTTTGTGATGTTTTCTGAGAATACTTTGCAAACTGAATGTGTATGCACTTCCATCCCCTGTCAGCTGTTGTTAAAAAAAAGGGGATCCAGTATTCACTTAAGCACCACCTTTTCTTTAATCCTGAGAAGCATTCATTCATTTACAACATGTGGCTCTCGACTCTAGTTCGTACAAAGATTTATGAACAGTGTCTGATATTCTCTAGGGAAGGGTACCCAAGAACCCGAGGTACTAACTATACCCTGAGGGTCTTGATACTAATTGCACATGCTAAAAAACCTATTTTATTGAAGCAGTGCATGACTGAAAGGTAAATGAATGAACTATAAACAGCTTTTATCAGCCCCAAACGATTTATTCTGAATCTGAAAAACAGTCTTATGCCACTTTGAGTGTAGTGTCTGAGATGAGTTTAATAAGTACCAGTCTTTCGAAATAAATATGAATAAAGTTTAATAAATGGCAGGATATCTTTATTTTTGTGCCTGGAAATCTGAACATAATAAGTGGCTGAGTTTATTAACCCGGCATTACTCATGTGAGAAAAATGAACGGGATTGCTCGCTCTGGGTATTACATACCCAGGGCGGTTTCTTCCTCTCTTTTACCATTAAATTTGCACAAAATATAAAACAACAGAAACAGAGAAAATAAAACATATCTTTAAACGTATATTAAAAACTTTACCTTTAATTTGCACATTTCTGGCAAATGCATGCCATATGTTCTATGCATACATACCTAATTCCCCCCCCCACCTACAGCACATCTTTTATATGTCATCTTTACCTTCTTAGCAGGGGTTGTACCTGTTGGCAGTGGTGATAAAGACAAAGCATATTTTTCTTCCCATAAATAAAGTTGACTAATCTAAATAAAATTCATGCTTTATTCTGTAAATTAAAATAAAATAAGCTAACACTGTAGCCTTTACATTTAAAATCATTTGAGTGAAAGCATACTAGCATTATGCTAACTCATAATAACACACGTTTGCCGATACGGGCGTACATATATATAATAATCGGCCAACCCGCGGATCTTGACGTCATCGACCAATCAGCAGCAACCATGTTAGCTTACTGCCGATTGACCTCCGATCAAAATTTGCTTAAGGAAAAACTAAAGCCAACAGTACCAGCCTCATTGTTGCCCAGTTTTACTTTTAGACTTTGTGAGAGCATTGCTTGTTGACTTCTTACAATCTCCTATCAGTTGAAATGACGATGTTTTCAGTTTTCAGAAATGAACGTCAGGTTTGATACCCAGTAGGTGGTTTCTTTGTTGATACCAAAATTATCCATGCATTTATTGCAGCTACATTCAACATGTAATAAGAAATAGCCATAGGTGAATGACTTGTTCTTTAGCTGTTGAATATTTTGCAGCCATTTCATACACAACATCGACAACACCTTTAGCACATTTCTATTTTTTGGGGTGTATAAGAAACAATAGTTGTTTCTTTCTGAAACCCAGCTGCTCCCCTTTAATCGAGCCAGTAAAAATATTAGTACCTTGTACTAGTTTCTTTATCAAATCAGAAGATAAAAGTAAGTTCCAAGCTTCCAAGGGAGAAACGACATTTTTGAAATGCGTGTGTTTCCAGGGAGTTTCAAAATTATATTTCTGGCAGAAATTCCTACATTTCCAGAGAATTTCATTTTTACTCTATTTTGTTATATTATCCTTTCCCATAAAGTAGACATTTTCATTTGAATCAGAAAGATTGCTCTGTAAATCAGATTCAATTTCAGTTGAGTGTGTGTGTATTTTTGTTGTAAATTTCTTCAGCATCCAGCACTTCATTATCGGAAAAATTCAGTACCTTCCTCAAGACTTTCTTCAACCAAAGAAACAGTATCAAGTAAATTTCTTAAATGTCGCATTTCTTCATCAAACTTCGAAAACGCACCATAATCAGAGAACGATTTCAGTGCGTCAGAATCATAACAGAAATGTTCACGCTGGGTGTGACATACCCTGTAGTGGCGATTTGAAGATACTTATTTTTAGAACTCTTTTCCCTATTCTTCCTTTCCAAGGTTATGGACCTTGGGGGCAGCTACAAGAAGAATCACCCATTTTTTAAAAAGTTTGGAAGGAAACAGAGAAAAATATGGAGGGGGTGGGGATGAACATGTCCAGTGCGATCTAACCCGGGTTAACTGGCGAGTTTAGTAAGTGGTGGGTACTGTATATGTATAAATATTTTTCGATTTTCTGGTTTTGAAATCCTGCTGTGAGTTTATATGATAATTTGAAAATTGGTAGGGTGAAATTTTATTCTATAGTTTAAGAATATTTTCTTCAATTTTCTTTGATAGCAAACATCAGATCGCTTTAGGTTGCATCTTCTTATAAGATTTATGCTTTTTTAAAACAATTACTGCTCATATTTAATTTCACTTCTTTCTATGAATCTCGATCAAAACCTGTTGTATCAAAAACATTGAGCTTTTATCTCATAATTGAAGATTTTATTTTAAATTCGTATGGTATTTCATCTTAATCAAATTGTTTCTATATTTTTTACGATACGGCAATACATATATACACACGCACACATATATGTGTATATATAGATAAATCTTCATTTATATAAATAAGGTTTAGTGATAATTTATTGTCATAATAAGTCATAATTTGTTTGTTGAGATGAAATTCCCTCCTTTCCAATCCCAAATTCCTAAATCCCTAAAGTGTGAATTTTGTACTGCATGATATTAAAAGCTAACTCGTATTTTTTAAATATATGGAAAGTTTTATTTTCACATATGTATTAAAACATTCATTCTAAACTATCCTCTACATGTGTAAATTTCTACCGATGCACATTTTTTGCAGTTTAGCTAGTACGTAGGTGTAAAATACCTGTATTTATAATCGATGTCTTCAGAGCCTTATAAAACTTAATAATATTTTTGATATATATACTGAAGAGCTGTTACATTATGACCACCTTGTTAATAACGTGTAGAACCACCTTTAGCCTTAAAAACTGCCAGCACCAGACAGGGCACTAACTCCACAAGATGCTTTTATGTAGTTTGAGGTATCTGGTAACAAGCACTCACCAACTGGTCCTGCAATTCCCTCACATTACGAGGGGGTAGCATGGTAGGATAAATTTGGTTTTCCTGGTGAGATCACAAATGCTGTATTGAATTAATGTCAGATGAATTTAGAGACTGAGATATGACTTGAATGTCCCTCGAACCACTGCATAATGGTTCGACTGTTATGACATGGTGCATTATTCTGTTGGTAAACACCCGGAAATACTGTTGTCATGAATGCGTGAACCTGATATGCAACGATGTTCACATAGCGCACAGACACACATCATAATACCCCTGCCACCTGCTTGCCTCCGTCCAACTGTGTGTCTGAGAGCCAGGATTGTGTTTGTAAATCGCCGTATTAACACACTCCCGTCGATGAGCTGGCCCAGAAAATGTGATTCTTCAGACCATGCAACTTTCTTCCGTTCTTCTAATGTCCAGTTCCGATGTTTTTGCCCATTGCAGATGCAGCTGGCGATGACGTGCTGTCAGTGCAGGGACATGCTTTGGACTGTGTAGGTCCACACGCAGCAATGTACGCTGCACAGTGTGTTGAGAAACACTGTCTGGGTCACCATTGTTGTAGTTGGTGATGATGATTTCGGCTGTTGTAGCTCTTTGGCCATGGTGGACAATGCATAGCAATCTCCGCCCTCCTCTGAAATCAATACGCCGTCGATGACACACTGCTGGCCAGCGACTTGTCATTTCACCATCCATACACCACTTTTGATGTATGCTCACAACAACTGCACTGCACATGAACAGCCCACTAAACATGCCATTTTTGATACTGATGTTTTCTTAGCCATAATGATTTGACCTTTATCAAAGTCTGAAAAATCAGCTGCTTTTCCCATTATGTCACTAATTGTGCTATTTTTTTAAAGACAATACATAGTCACTTTATATACTCCACACACGCGCAGTAGTTTCGTTCCTGGATGAGCCCATTGTTATAGATGGAGGGTGGTCATAATGTAATGGCTTTTCGGTGTATATCAGTTGTTAAAAAGTTTATTTTTTTTATTGGTTACTGGGTTTTCAACTGATTTTATTTTTTTAAATACTTACACAATTCATTTATAATAGTATTTTCTTTTTAAGGTAAACCTGTTGCTTATGCCACATTACGGCTATTGAAATCTGCTTGTGAGCTTGAACCAGCCTGGACAGATATTGATCTTAATGAAGTGGTATCAAAAATAATTAAATTTCTTTATTTCAACACATGCCAAGTTGCTGTTGGTAGTTATGATGAGCACCTACTCTCTCAGACTGCAAAAAATCACTTGAGTGCACCTGGTTTCACTTATTGCTTTCCTCTCATGCAGCATTTATTATTGACACAGTCTTCAAATTTGATGTTACTTGAACAGATATTATGTATTATATTAGAACATTCGGAAATCAGAACTGTAGATGAAACAACAAACAAGGTATAGAATGAATTATGTATTTCTATATCTTATATGAATAATTATATTGCCATAAGCTATACAGTCAAAAGTCTTTAATCCGGACTCGTCGGGACTTCGATTACGGATTATCGATTTTTCCGGATTATAGATCATCAGTTTAAATCTGGTAAGATGGCATGCAGAAATTATAAAACTAAAAATATGAAACCGTAATTTATAAAATAATGAGCAATTATGATCTAAAGGGTATCCAAATTTACCAAAAAAAAAGTTTAATATGTATTTGTTTACTTTATTAAACATTTCTTTCAATGCGCACATGCATAAAGCATACATTACACATAGCCGACATTAGAAAATTGCAACCAGAAAACTATGTAATGTGTATTCGTGATATTTATAATGACGAGGAATTTGATTTAAATCATATCAAAGACGGAGTACATCGAGATGAAATACTACATTTAGTAAGGAATTATAAGCTGAATAAAATAAAAACATCTGCCCTGAAGATAAGGATAGTGTTGACAGATCAACTTCCAGTTCATTGCGCACCGCGTCGTCCCCCCCCCCGCTCAGAGCCACGTGAAATTGATAAACATTTCGGAATGGTTAGATAAACAAAGGATATGCCTTTTATCCATTTTTTGCAGCAATTCCGTTTTTTGTTTGATGGACATCGAAACATACTTTCGCTTTGTAGATCCTTCGGCAGCTCCAGAATCGGAAATTCTATTTGACATAATCGAAAGTTCAAGCTTACTTTTAGAAAATTGCTCTAACAGGTCTGCAAAAAATAATAAGCCGGATCCAATTCGAAGATTAAGGAACAACGCAATTATCAACATTAACTGAAATAGATAATTAGATAATTTTAGCTTATACCGTCCGTTATACATTAAACGCGCACGCGAAAACGTATTCTGCACTTGCGCAGATGCATATGCGCAGTCGTAAATGTCTTGCGCGCACGAGTAAAACGCCTATGCGCATGCGTCAATGCGGCGCATGCGCAGAAAGATTTTAGCTTTGAGGTCCGGATTATAGATCATTCCGGATTACGGGTGTCCGAATTAACAACTTTTGACTGTAGTTAATTTATATTTAGTGTGTATCTACATAGAATTTCTGGCAGCATACATTTAACATTTATGGAATGTAGTTTTTTTTTAATTAATAAATATAAAATGAAAAGAAATTTCTATCTGTTACTCTTTTTTTTAATGATTCAAATAACTATTTCCTAAAGTGCTTACTCTATATGTATGTCAGATGCACTGTGTTGTTTCAAATGTTTGTCTTCTTTTTTTTAAGTTAATTTTTAATTAATTTTGTTAATTACTGTAGAAAAGCTATTGTACTATGATTCTAAACTAATAAGTGGACTGTATAGCAAAAGAACTAACTAATTTATTTACAGTAATTAACTATTCAGATCTAATACTTGCTCTGGCATGTTGCTTAGCCGAATCCAGATGGCCAAGTGAGAGTTTCTCTACTTATCCAACAGGTGGCGCTGTATTCTAACTTAACATACCGCCGCCCGTTGAAATTACAAATTTCAACATGTAAATTAGAAACAAACATACAATTTAACAATTCAAGAAAAACTAATTCTAGAATACAATATGAAAGCTAATAGATAATTTTTCATCATTGAAAATAATATAAAATAATTTTAAGAACATAAGCATTCACTATGCTACAATCGAACTTATTCTTTAAACAGTTCCATTTTAATGTAAAGCACAATTTTCAATAAAACAAATTTTACTAATACATCGAATATACACACCATTTGATGTTTTCACTTTAACAACTCTGGCCTTATTATCTTAAATGACTTAATACCTGCTTCCCATAAACCACCAAATTTCGGTTCTCTAAGTGAAATTAGTTTCCAATTTATGCCTTCAGATGTTAAGAAATCTGCTATGTCAGAATTAGATTTAAGGACTAAATTATGCAATTTTTTTCAGTTCTGATTTTGCACCAACCATATTAGTACCGTTATCTGACATTATAGTATTACATTTTCCACGTCTAGCAATAAATCTTTTAATAGTAGCAAGTAATGAATCTGTGGTTAAATCAGTTACTACCTCTAAATGTACTGCTTTAATAGCTAAACATATGAATATAGCAATGTACACTTTTGCATAATTACCCTTTCTCTGATTCTTATACTTGATGAGGAATGGACCAGAAAAATTGAGTCCATATATTAAATACAAACCCTGGGTTAACTCTTTCACCAGATAAATTTCCCATAAGTTGTTCACATACAAATGGTTTAACCTTAAAACATGTTACACTTTCATATACAACTTTTCGAGCTATATCTCGACCATTAATAACCCAAAATTTACTACGAACCTGATGCAATAGTGCTTGAGCACCAAGATGTAAATATTTAACATGGTAATACTGAAAATTAATCTATTGAATACATGATCTTTTGGCATTACATAAGGAAACTTTTGGTTGTAATTAAGATTACTATTGGCAAGTCTGCCTCCTACTCTCAAAAGAGAATCATTATCTAGAAATGGACATAAAAATTTTAACTTACTTTTGGAAGAAACACAATTCTTATTTTTTAAAGATAGAATATCCTTGCTAAAATTTTGTAACTGTACATACCTGATCATGATTTTCTCAGCGTCATCCAATTCTTCAACAGTTAGAGAACCTATTAAATGTTTTCCCTAACAATTGGCTATAAATCTACAAACAAAACTTAATATACGAATAATATGAATGTAGTTATTACTAATGTTAAGAATATGATCTAAAACAAGGGAATTAGAGTTCACATTTAGATAACTAAGTCATTATCCTTAAGTTTGAGTTGTTTGACGTATTCCACATTATCCATATCAGATGAAATTAATTCACAAGGATTAGTCAAAAACCTCTCCTAAGTCAAGAGAGTTGGTCCATACCACCATAAATCATTATGAAGAAGATCTTTAGGTTCAGCTCCACATGATATCAAATCAGCTGGATTACTGTGAGTGCTAACATTGCAGTCATGCTTCGAATAACAGATACTCTATTAGCAACAAATGTCTTTAGTTGATAAGGTTCCTTCTTAATCCATGCCAACACTATTGACGAATCAGTGAAGTAATACACCTTGACTATAGGCAGCTGAATAGCCTCTAATATTGTTTTCATTAGTTTTACCAACAGAACTGCACCACAAAGTTCCAAACGAGGAATGGTAATTGACTTCAGAGGTGACACATGAGATTTGCTGCACAGAAGTCTTGATGAACATTCATTTGAAGATGACATACATTTCACATAAATTGCAGCACCATAGGCTTTCTGACTAGCATCACAGAATCCTATAATTTCTACTTGCTGTAATCCATTGGTTAGGAACAAATCTAGGGATGCGATAATCGTTGACTATTTTGAGACTATGCAGAAATGCCTTCCATTCTTCCAAAGTAATTTTTAGGAAGAGGTGTATTCCAATTTAATTTTAGAAGCCAAAGGTTTTTGTAGAAATATTTTAGCTTTTGTCGTAACAGATCCAATTAAACCTAATGGAATCACAGGAGGCGACCTATCGTTGATAAGACATCTCTTTTCATTCGTGCCTGTTTCTTCAAAGTCAAGGTATCTTTAAATCGTAAGAAAAGCAGTCTGTAGACGTATTCCATGACATTCCTAAGGCCTTTGTAATTTGAGGCTTATCCGTAACTTGAAAGGAGTAATCCTGAGTAGCACTTTCTTTATTCTTCAATAATTCTGGATTGTTTGAACACCATTTGTGTAACTGCATTCCACCACATTCTAGAAGACAGGTTAACTGTGTCTGCAACTCCTTGGCTTCTTGCATCATATTAGCTCCAGTGATAATGTTGTCCATGTAACAGTCCTTCAGTATGGCTCTTGAGGCATGAGGAAAGTCTGTCGCTTCATCCATTGCTAACTGCTTCAACTATAATAGCTATAGGACAATATAATATAATAACTATAGGACCCTTGTTGCAAGGAATGGTGCATTTGCTGTTCCATATGTTACAGTCCTTAGACGGTAAGTCTGCACAGGACTACCAACTGATTCCTTCCACAAGATCAACTGCAGGTTTCGTTGAGATGGTTCAATAAGTATTTGTCTGTACATCTTCTGAACATCAGCTCCTAATGCATAGTTCTACTTTCGAAATTTAATAATAATAGAAAATAAATCTTCTTGAGGTATTATCCCTTTCATTGAGTTCAGTGACTTTCCGTTGCTAGTAGCCGCGTATGCATTAAACACAACATGAAGCTTGGTAGAGGCTTTCTCTGGCCGATAAACTCCATGATGACTAAGATAATTGCAAGTCGATGTTTGAATTTCTTGAACTTCTTCCATGTGTTTTAGATCCGTATATTCCTTAATAAAATTCTTATATAATGTTTTCATATTCGAATTACTTTCTAGTCGATTTCACACTTGATGCAATCTTTTCTCAGCAGCCAGCGTTTTCGATTCTCCTAATTCTACGCCTTCCTTTATGGGTAACTGAACTACATATCTTCCATCATTTTGTCTATAGTGAGTACGCTTGAAATGTTCTTCACAGTATTTTTCTTCTTCACTCAAAGCATCCTGGATATTCTCAATGGATTCAACTTCCCAAAATCTTTTCAAAATTTCTTCAACTCTTTCTTCACTATTTAGAACTAAACCACAATAATTTACTTCTGAGTTACTCTTGCATGCACCAGACGCGATATATCCAAAAACTGTTTCTTGGAATATCAACGGTTGATTTTCTATTTGAAACTGTCCTTGTTTTAAAATCTCAAAGAACAATTCGGCCCCTAATAACATATCTATTTTGTTAGGTGTTCCAAATTGCGGATTCGCTAATTCAATATTAATGGGAATATTTAATGACTGCACATCTAAAGTCCTTGATGGAGTTACATTGGTTATTTTAGAAATAACTAAACAATAACTGATCTTACATATGTTAAATCCTTATTCGAAATCTGTACATTTAGTTGATAATTAATATTTATAACGTTCTCATTAATTCCGGATACAGACCCTATATGTTATGGTACTGACTGTTTACACGTTTTCAACAGAAGTTGTGGTCATACTGCCTGTAGCAGGAGTATGGAGTTGTAGGACCCAAATTATTGACATTTGATTTTTTTTTTGTGTCATAGTTTCTAATGGCAGTACTAATTGCATATTATAATTGTTTATAATTGGTCACATAGCTAAAATTCATAATGTACTACAATGTTGACAGTTCATCACATAGAAATCAGCACCTTTTGTTGGTGTACACATTGTGTTGTAATATTTCTTTTGTTGGTTGCTTGTGATTAAGCCACCACACATTTTGCTTTCTGTGTGTCTTTCAAAATTTTGTATCTGCTATCTGGACCATGTTTTTTGTGGAACTGAGTATCCAGATTTTTTTATCTTGTCTATAGCTGTTATATATCTAAAAGTCGCTGCTGGGTATGACATATTGGCTTTTAAATGTATGTACTGTGATTTTTAAACTTTTTAATGCTTCTGCGTTAACTACTGTATCGCAGATGATTAATTTCAAGCTTATGGCCAACATTACTAGCATGGAACTTTGGGATCGGTCTGTTCATAGTACCTTTACTTGGTTCATAGTACCTTTACTTGGCATGCTGGCAGTGTGTGCTTTATTCACATCAGCAGTTTCAAACATGTTATATGCAAGTTTGAACTTATGCAAAATAACTAATTTCATATTTTTTTGCTCCATTGTGTTACAACATGCTTGTGATTGGCATTTAGTAATTTCTATTATAAAACATGTCTTTTACTTATTTTTGTGATTTGGTTTTGTTATAATTGGCCTGTTGTTATAAAACAATGCAATATTTGTGCTAGGTTTTTCACCAGTTAATTTTTGCTCATTTTTTTTGCAGCGTTTACATAATGTAAATTTTATGTCTTTGGAGTTTGTGTATATTTTCTGCATTTTATTAATATATATTAATTTGTTTTAATAGATATATCAAGAATGTCTGCCAACATTACAAATATTTGATGTCCTCATAAAAGTTATTTGCAATACAATTGGTCAGATTCAGGTAATTATTGTGTGTATGTGATTCTTCATTAATGTACAGGTCATTCCAATATGAATTTCAGTTTTCTAGTGTGATTATTTTCTATTTAGGCTTATATATGTTGTTGATTGAAGCTTAACTATAGAGCAAGCACATTGTAATATGGAGCCATCATAAATGGCTGTATGGGCCAAAAATATTCATGAGTTAGTGGTATTTATTTATAGCAGTAAAAAAAGTGTCTATTCATGATTGCACTATTGGACCTTCCCCCTCTCTCCATGAGAAGGTGATTATGATATACTTGAATATGCTAAAGAATATTGTTTCTACAGATAGAACAATGTGAAGAGGTTCATTCAATAGAATGAAACCATAATACATTATGCAACAATTGTGTGAACTTAAATCGTCAATTGATTTCATGGAAAATAATCAGAAGAGATTCCCTTGATAGATCACTGCAGTGTCCTAGTATCTTTCCCGGGGGTTTTATTTTGGGAGATAATGTAACTGTAAAAAACAGTATATGTGTCCTGTTCCTCTTTTTTCCCCTTCTGTAACTTCTGTCTTTGAATCATTAAAAAAATATATTAATCTTGATCTGGCTAGTTATTTATCAGATAATCCATAGTATAAAAAATTCTTTAATTTTTCAAATATTTATAATTAGCTTATAATTTATATACATTTAAGTGAATGTTATTTTGTATATATCCATGTTCATTCTGTATGTATTCATTATAAAGCAATTTATGCAAGGAGGTTATTTACTTTTATATTGTAAACTAATAGGAGGACTATCTGTTTAGAGTAATTTCATTGTCCTTTTATAAGTTCATGAACTTTACACGTTTTTTTTTTTTTTTTTCCCTTTACTCCACATCATTAGTTATGTCACTTGTGAACATAATCAGGCTAACAGTAGAGAGAAGGACAACCTTGATCCAGACCACTGACCAGCCCAAACACGATAGTACATCCAACTCTCCAGATTTTATCTAAATATTAGGTTAAATAGTATGCAATTTTAGACAATATAGAATTTTAACTTTAAACTTAAAAGGGTTAAATGCATTTTAAAAGTATCTAGAAAGTTCCCTTCATCAATGGTAAAAATAATGCATCTTTGAATTTTAATGAGGTAAACTACTGAGCATTTTAAGAATGCATTTAGCCATAACTGTATTCATATTTGCATATCTTTTTGTCAAGGCAGAGTCAAACAGAAAACTTCTGATTCTTTTTTTGTTAAGCATTTTTTCAGTTACCTATATTTCAGTGTGTTTTGAGTTTTGCATTCAAACACCTTTCTTAAGTTATCACCATACTGCAGTCCTAAAGTATCACCGTACAATCAGACTTTGATAAAGTTCAAGTTTGAAAATTCAGCTTATTGCAGAAAGTTTTAATTTTGAATTCTACAGTATTCATTTTAGTTTTTAAAAAATTATGATTTGTGGTCATTATACAACTATAGTTGGATTATTTATAATAATGATCCAGTTCTCAACAAATTTAAAAGTTTAGAAATCAAGAACATTAACAGCTATGACTTTGAAAACCTTTATACTTCTCTACCACTAGATGTTTTTACTAGTTTAATGCAACTCCCACAATTTTTTCCTGACATGCTTAACATCCTTTAAATTGATAGATGAAAAACTTGAATTGTGCATTATTTAATAACTACATTAAATTCAACAATAAGATCTTTCAGCAGGTGAGAGGAATACCAGTGGGAGCAAACAGTTCAGCACAAATATGTAATCTATTTCTTTTTGCTTATGAATATAAATTGCAACTAAGTTTGAATAAGAATGAATTAAAGTTATTTGCATATACATTTAGATACATTGATGATATTATAACTTTCAATAATAATTCTGCTTTTGAGCAATTCAAAATTTACCCAAATAGGCTAACACTTAATAAAACTATTACTAATCAAGATACCATTGAATACCTAGACCTACTTATAATTAAACACAGCAAAATTAAATTATATGATAAAAGGAGGAATTCCCAGTATAATACTATTAAACTAATTAATTGGGACTCTAATATGTCTAGAAAAGTAATAGGTAACACTTTTTATAGCCAAATAATCAGAATAAAAAATATATGTACTGAAATAGAAGATTTATAGGAAGAAATAATAAAGTTAATTAATGTTCAAGTTAATAACCAAGTCCGAACACAATTTATTAATTTATATATTAAAAAGGCAGGCATTAACTTTTCTTTATAATTTTTGACATTATCTTAAACCTTAACTGGAGGGTAATGGAGGATTTTGAAGAGTTAAGGGATTATCTTGTAAATATTTGTAAAAAATGTATATAATTAAAACTAAATTATTTTCTTTTACTATTGAAGGGCCAACTCTTTTCAAAAGTCTCAACTATAGCCCAAATTGAGTGAAGATTTTTATCTTTTTCTAATTTTCCTTACTTTTTGGCCAGTATTTAGTAAGTTTTGATTAAACCTGTTGAAATTCAATTTTAATAAATTAAGACCATTACAATAAATTTCTTACTTTAATTTAAAACATTTAAAATTTTTTTTTTCAAAATTAAATTTATTTGATTTTACTTCAAAAATTTTTTCGTACTTTATTTCAAAAACATTTTTATTTTTTTACAATCCTTAATAGTTTGCAACCATTTTTTCACATTGTTACAGTTAGCATTTTCACACATTTTTACACATTACTTACACAAAAGTTAGCAAAAACATTTTTGCAACAGACACACATTTTACATTACTTAAAAGTTTACAGAATAGGTTTTTTAAAATAGATCTAACAGATAGCAGCTTAACACTCAACTTTGCCTTATTATTAACGCCCTCTATTTATAAAGTTAGAAGAAACACACTATTTAACATCACTTAGTTTGGGCATGCTGCTCTACTCTCCAAATACAAATATAAGTTGGTAAGTTAAATTAAAACTTACTATTTACTTGCCTTTTTAGTATTATTTATGTATTATTTTTGCATTTTTTATATAACTAGTATCTAGTTTCTTTTTGGATTTATATATGCATAATTCGTGTCGGGGAAGTTTTCTGTAGGCAAGAGTTTCTAAATTACTTTGGTTTTTCTGAAAATATTTAAAAATGGTTTTCTACTCTTAATTGACCTATTTAATTCAATTTTAGAATTCTAGTCATTTACTTGCTAATTTCTCAAATTCCACTTGTTTAAATTTCCGTTTTAGTAATTCACAACATTTGGTTTTACTTTTGGTTTTGAATTTTCCTTTTACATTTACCCTTGCCTACATGGATGACGAAACACGAATTGAATAATTGAAGAGTTAGGTTTGGAAGGCAACTTCCCCTTGATAAGTCTGTCTCCTGCCTGCTCAACAATTATTCACTTATACATTTTTATAATTTTTTAGGACTTAAAATTTTTTGGGGGATATTATATATTTATTCATGATTTTGACTACTTGATACTTATGATTTACATATGCTCTCAGAATTTAAATGATATTATAGATTAGTTTTGCAGCAATAATTAATCATTTATTTGTAATTCAATTTCATTTAAAATTTAATTAACTTTAATTTGCTTTTTACAAAAAGAATGTTTTGCTACATTCAAATTTCATTCCTTACAGCAATGGCACAAGAAAATTATTTTAATTTATAAATTAAAAGAAAAATTCTTAAAATTGAATTAAAAAAATGGAACTATTAAATTTTATAACAAATTAAGCTATAAATTGAAAAAGAATTTTAACATTTTTTTATAAATTCCAAGAAATATTATGAAGAACTTTAAAAAAATACTTTAAAGTGAATACAGAAACCATTTATTGATATCTCATTGCTTCAATTGACTCTTAAAGGGGTAATAGTTTAAAACATTAAAACCCGAATATTTAAAGAGTACTGAATTCACAATTCGATCCATTTGACTTTTTTTAACAAAAATAAAGGCAAAAAGAATAAAAAACAATAATTACATTTGCACCCACTTTCAAAGAGTCAAGCAGTTACCCTGATGTGATTTCAGTCTCTACAACAAAATAGTACAATATATTTTAAACAAATTAAAATAAAAGACAATGATAAATGTAAAATACAAATCTGGTTTTCAACATGTCAGTCTACAGAGGAATTAAAATGATCAATTTAACCATAAAATATAAAATTATTAAAACTTTTTGTGCAACAAATTTTGCCAAATGGCAAAGAGAATATTAAAAAATTTAGTAGTAAAATATCAAAAGCTTCCACTCAAACCTATATAATAAAAGTGGGAAATTTCTATTTAAATAAAATAATAAGAAAAGCTTACTAGAATTTCTAAACAAGACAAAAGTGATGAAAAACTTGCGATCAAAGTTAAAATGGTGTTAAATTTCAGCTTTCAAACGTGTAGCATGGAAAGTATGGAGCAAGTTTGCCATTTCTTGTGAAAATCATTCATGTACTATAATAGTCAAACTAGACAATGTAATTTAAACAAAAGCAATGCCAAGGCTGTCAAAGAGAAATTTGGCAGCCGAAAGCAAGAAGGAAGATTAACAAATTTATTGTACAAGTAGCAAAATATATTATCAAGATGTAAAAATTAAATCAAAATTTTGGTGGTTAACAGTCAAACAGGAAGATCCTGCATCAAAATTCAAGCAAAAACAATTTACCGGAAAACTTAGAACCAAAATTTAAATAAAATGGTAATTACCTGGTTATGATATAACTGAGAATTAAATTTAAAAAATTGAATGTAGCAAATGCGTAGAAAGCTGCAAACCTGTTTGTTAAAATGAAGAAGTGTTGAGAAATTTAAATTAAGATTATAAATTATTGAAGTCATGTAGTATGCTGCAAAATTAATCATATAATCAAGATATACTAATTAAATAAAGAAATCAAAATTTTGGTGGTTAACCATGTAACAGGAAGAACTTGCATCAAAACTAGAATAAAAACAAAGCAATTTATTAAAAATCATAGAATCAGAATTCAGATTAGAAAGTTAACTATGTTTAAAGATATAATTGAGAATTAAAATAATAAATAAATTGAATAGTTGTGCTAAAAGCTACAAATCTGTCTGTTAAAATAAACAGAGTTAAGAAATTTGTTGTTTATTATATAAATGTATTCCTTATATTATGTATACAATTCCATAAACACTGAAATAGCTTTTGAATGCAGAACTGGAGTTGGGAATATTATGACTGACCTGTAATATAGGACAATCTGTTGTGCATATAGAGGCAGATTTGTAAAGTTATCTCCTATTACAGAATCTATGAGCAACAGCTAAGCAGTCGGTTGCAAATGTCTCTGCATGTACCAATAACTTAAGAAGAAACTCTGAAATGCAGATCCATTGGTATCTGATCATCAGTATAAGTACACTCTTTTGAAAAAAAAATCGAAGCACCCAGAAGGACTTTTGCGATTGTGATGAAATTTGGTATGGAAAAACATCTTGATCAAACATACAAATGATCAAAGTTTCAAGGCAAATGAACAGGAATTGTATCATACAATTCGCAAAGTATAAAACCAGTAACAGAGGCAGAAAATTTATTTTTGTTGCTGCCATTGCAATACCCTAAAGAAGCAACTAAAGATGCCACTGCAACAATATCGAAGACCGTACAGACAACTAAACCACTTCGAATGTGGTTGCGTGAAGCTGGGTGGTCATACCGAACAATAGGCCGCCCGCCACCTGCAGTGTTCAGACACTGCCATGCAGAGATGTTGGCAGCAATGGTTGGTACAAGGAAATTGCCGATGAAATGAAAGGCTCTGGAAGGCCAAGGAACACAAATGCAAAGCTAGATAGAATGGTTGTTTGCCTGGCCCAAACCTACCCAACGGTATCATTGTCGACTATTCAACGCACTACAGCCACGTCTATATCTCCTATGGTACCGTCCACCATCTCACAGCACTTGTGAGGAGGGGTTACATTCACAGAGGCCTTTAAGACTTTTGCCTTTGACCCCACAAGATTGTGTAGTCGTCTGGAGTGCTCTCGCAGCCTATCATCATGGCTGCCATCAGACTGGCATCGCATAGTGTTCAGCGAAGAATCCCGCTCCACTCTTAAAGCAGATGACCACCATGTTCTTGTTTTTGGAGAGGACAGGGCCAGTGGTCCCAATCAGCCTTTCTAAAACATGTGGACTTTGTAAAACTTGTTTGTGATGTTGTGGAGTGCTATTTCTTATGACAGCATGTCATCTTTAGTCATCCTTCGTACATCTTTCACAGCTCAACGATATATTGATATCATCCTGCGGCTGGTTGCATTACCCTTCATGGCACAACATCCTGGAGCCATTTTGTAACAAGATAATGCCAGGCCACATACCCCTTGCATATCTCTGGACTGTCTCTGTGCGGTTGATAGACCTTGCTGGCCAAGGAAGATTGCTGGCCTGGAAGATCACCAGAAATGGAAATTCATTTGAATAGTCAATGAGAATGTGATAATATTTAAAATAAGGATTCTTCTTCAAGCAAAGCAAATTAAAAAAGATTTAATGTAAGATCAGAATTTATCAAAAAGATGGCAAACAAGTGAATATGAAATAATCAAAAATAATGTGCCAGGATTTTATTAAGGAGTGTGGCATGGTATTTTAGTATCTGCTATTACACAGTATCTGTACTTATTGAATGATGCAAAAAATTTATCTCACTTAATATAATTTTATTTATTTATTGTACAACTGCTTTATGCTTACATTTTAATTTAATTTATTTATTTTAATATTTCTTCTTCTTTCTTTTTTTTTTTTTTTTTGTGTGTGTGTGTGTGTGTGTGTGTGTGTGTATGTAGACTCTGGCTATGGAAACTTTGGTGAAAGCATGTGAAGCAGCATCCGGGGGTGAATATTGCTCTTTTGCTGGTATGCCAGAAATAAATGTGCTGTTGTTTGCCCTCTTGCTAAGCGAAGAAAAAGCAAGATTAGCAGCATTACAAGTAAGTAATTTGTAATTTTTCAATAATTAAAATTTTTAATTTATAACGTAGTTCCTTAGCTTTGCAATAAATTTTTAAAGATGTACTATTTGCAAAGCATTATATTTATTTATTATCATTGCTTCAGCACTTGTTTCAAAGTAAACCTTATAAAATAGATTATATTTGATTCTATGAAAAAAGAAAGAAAAATATGAGACATTCTGTACATTTATAAACATTTAGGATTTAATTTATAAAAGTTGAAAACTGAAGAAGCAGTGCAACCTTTTATCACTGTAGGCTTATGCATGCTTTCATCGTGTTAATTTTGTATGCTACTTTGCATGTTCATAGAACTTCTAGATTCCTTTGTAAAAGTCAGTTTGTTATCTTTTATGGGCAGCAGCTCTCTCTCAGATGAGAAAACATGCTGTGCACCAATGGCTGAGTTATAAAATCATGCAAGTTTGTTACTCTCATACCCTTGGTGACTTTATCCGTGGTCACCATGTCCCACAGTGCCTAGAAGACTATTGTTAGATGCAATAGCCTTTCATGAAAATAGCTAAACCAATAGATATGAATGCAGCTAATTTTTTTTTTTTTTAAATTCAATGATTTGACAATTTATTCTAGAAAAAAACAAAATTTACAGAACTACCCTTAAATTAATTTTGGATAAGTTTGTTTGAAGAATATTCAAACTATCAAAACACTATTCATATTTTATTTCCTTTAATGACTGTGTATTTGTGCAAGTTTGGTTTTTCAAATTGCTCTGCTACAAAATCCAAATACGGAAACAAACTTGATGATGCATCTGATTTCAGAGTTCAGGTTTCTAACAATTTGCCTGACATTAAAAGAATTTGTAATAAGTGTGGCATAAAAATTGGATTTATTTATCTAATATACTTGTGTTGTTATTTATTATAATTAAAAACCCAGATTTACTCTAATGTTCTTTAAAATTTTTAGAAGTTAAAAGTGTTCCGCTGTGAGTTAAGTTTGGTAAACACTGCCTTAGTTAGTGTAGTGTAACTAAAATGCATTTTTAATTCAGATTTCATTTAAATTGTTCTCTTGTGTAATGATTTATTTCATAATTCTTAGAATCTTATTTCATTAATAAATATTGTTTAGAACACACATTTTGAGAAAATATTGCAAGATTTAAAATTAATATATATTAAACATACAATTGTTTTAAAACATTTTAATTTTTGTACATAATATAAAAGTGACTATATGTTTTACATTTCATATTTAAAGTTGTAATATTCTTGTTTTCAATTTTGCATTTTTATAAATGCCGTAATCAGTCTTCATGGTGAAACTAGACTTCTAAACAAATAGCTGCATAAGTGTTGTTGTAGGCACATTAACCAAATTCTTTATATAAATTCCAGATTTAGTAATGATTATTATTTTAAAAAATATTTCAATTTCTTTTTCTTTGTAGGGCTTAATGACATTACAAATAGTGTTGCCAGATCCTCAATCTAATCATGAAAATGGCATGCGTGTTGTACAGCGTATTTTTGTTTCTTGTTTTGATCCTGTTGAACAGAACCATAATACTGCTGAAAAGTAAGTTATACTTACATGATTTTAAGTATGCACGTCTTGATTTCGGAATATTTAACATTATTTTTAATTTTGATCAGTATATTTTTTCACCCCCCCCCTCTTAAACTAAAGAATTATCCAAAAGAAAATGTTTAGATATGCTAAATTTTTAATTCATATAAATATTTATTTATTTATTTATAAATATTTTAATTTATATAAATGAAATTTTTAATTTCATTTAGACTTGTTCTTAATGACAAAGGAATCATGTTCATTGAATAGGGGAAGACTTACTTGAATGAAGCTCTGAAGTGAAAGAAGGATATATTTTTATTTTACAAATGCCAAACATTATAGCACTTAAGCCATTAGTTCATAGACTCTCCAGTACTTTTTAACAATGTCCTCATATCGAGAAAGTGCAATACAGTTATTTAAATGTTCAAAAATCATTGGCTGATTGGAGTCACACAAAATAGTTTGGGAAATCCACCACTCCAATTCTGTAGAGATGTTCTTTGCAAACAGTCATATCTGGTCAGGTGTCTAAATAGAGCTACCACTGCCTTTCTTCAAAAACTGGAAATGAAAGTTGTCTTCCCTCCACCTGGGCATCTCTGGCAGATCAGGTTGCCATAGCATGTTACTTTTACCATAGCATGTTGAATCATATCCTGCTTGAGAATTTCCTGAAGAGTCAGGTTAACAAACAATTTAGTTGTATAAAAAGGAAGCAGTTGCTTAATGTGTGGCATTATTAAAGTTCCTTTCTTAGCCAATATATCAGCTATTTCATTTCCTATAATTTCAAGGTGGGCTTGAATCCATTATAAAAAAATGCTGTGTACCATTGCTTTGAACAAAGACCTACAGTCTTAAGATTCTCTGGGAACTACTTTGATTATTCAGAAGAGTTCGAAGTGCACTTTTGGAATCTGACAGTATGACAGCCTTTACAAAAGCGTGGCTATGAGTCAACACATATTGAATAGCCACAGCAATGGCAGTAGTAAGAGGGCCCATTGATAAGTAGAAATTAAGAAGCTTGCTATGGATACCTGCTCCAGCACCATACATTCTCTCTAACATAGAGGTGTCAATGTAAAGAAGGATGTACGTAGCGTATTCGGAAACTAAGTACCATTTCATTCTAGCGCTGTGGCAGGCGTCCCGTGCATGCGCACTAGTCTTTTTTGTTCACTGACTTTCAATTGTCGCCATTTTGGTTCCTCTATGTTGTGTTTTCAGTTTGCTGTGCACATTCAAAATGTTTAAGACAATTAGTTCTCCCGCTGACTGTGAGATTCGTGCCGTGATTAAATTTTGAACGCGAGGAAATTTATCGTCAAGTGACAGAAGTTTATGGTGAATACGCGATAAGTGATGGAATGGTGAGAAAGTGGGTAAGAATGTTTAATGCAGGTCAAACAAATGTCCACGCTGAGGCTCAGAGTGGTCGGCCTTCTGTTGTCACCGATGATTTGGTAAGGAAAGTTGATGAAGCAATTCATGAGAACAGACGCTTCACAATGACAACTCTTTCAGAGGCATACCCATGAATTTCACGTACTGTTTTGTTCGAAATTGTGTCTGACTGCTTGAATTATCGCAAACTGTATTCCCGATGGGTTCCAAAAATGCTCACTGATGTTCACAAAACAAAGCGACTTGGTAGTGCCCTGACATTTCTCACGCGGTACAGTGATGAGGGAGAAAACATTTTAGACCAAGTTGTGACAGGTGATGAAACTTGGGAGTGCCATTTCACACCAGAATCGAAACAACAATCGATGGAGTGGAGACACACTCATTCTCCGAAAAAACAAAAGTTCAAAGTGACAATGTCATCACAAAAAATCATGTGCACTGTCTTCTGGGATAGGAAAGGTGTTTTGCTTACTGAATTTCTTCCCAGAGGTGAAACCATTAATGTGGCACGATATTGTGAGACTTTAGCAAAACTAAGGCGTGCCATTCAAAACAAACGAAGAGGAATGCTCAGTAAAGGAATTGTGTTGCTCCATTACTATGCTCGGCCCCATACTGCTGGTGTCACTCAATCGTTAATTCGACAGTTTCATTGGGAGCAGTTCGATCACCCGCCGTACAGCCCGGACTTGGCGCCGTCCAACCATCACTTGTTTCTGCACAAGAAGCGCGAGCTTGGTGGCAAGCACTTTGTTTCTGACGATGACACGAAAAATGCTGTGGAGTCGTTATCGAAACTGGCGGAAAGTTTCTTTGATGATGGTATACAAAAACTGGTCACCCGCTATGACAAGTGTTTGATCATTGGCGCAAACTATGTTGAAAAATAGTTTAAGACATGTATTTTCATGTAAAAATAAAATTGGATTCGAAAAAATTGTTTTACTTACTTTTTTTTTTTTTTTTTTTTTTTTTTTTTTTCAAAATGGTACTTAGTTTCCGAATACGCCTCGTATAAGTACCTGTAACTTAGATATGAGTGGTAAGCATGATGTAAACTAAAGCAATTCAAAGATAGCATCCTAAGGCATGACATGCCAGAAACAATTCAGCTGACTTCCCATTTCATTAGTACTCTGGTATGAATACTGCAGTGTAACATCATTATCCTAAACATATTTGATTTGCCAGAGCTTTAATGATCCAGTTTGCATATAAAATGGTGTTAGTACTATAAAAGACTGTCTTAGGAGATTACAGTGTTTAACTGGGCATATTTTTATTTAAAAATGGCATGTAAATTCTGGCATGAGAATAGTAAAACAAGTTGCAAAATGTCGCAGATCTACTGAATGTCTGGTAATGAATGTCTTGAGATCTGCCAAAGCTGCCCAGCTGTTAAAGAAATCATTTCCCAGATACTTGCTTCTAGCCTGAGGGCTGCTTTGATGATTATGATCATCAAGACTCACTATGTGTTGTGACTTCTGATTGAAGACCTCACAACTCTAGAACTCTGTCCCTCACTGATTTGGTCAGGTTGTTGTAAATAGTATGGGTGATCCTTACTACTCAGTAGAAGGGGACAGAAGAGAAACTTTATGAACTTCTATCCTTATTCCAGAAGCTATTTTAAGAATGGTGCAGAAGGGGATTTAACAGTGCATAAGTCAAGATAAAATGAGCCAGAATATATGAGAAATGAACCTAGAACTATATCTGTGACCCATAATTTTCAGCCAAATAAAGTGTAAAGGAAAAGTATAGCCTATCTGGGATATGTAAAATCATCTTTATTAAAAGCATGAAATTGCAACTGGATTAAGAATAAAACAAATGTGCATTTCAACCATCATTATATCTGTTTTCAAATGAATGGCTTTGGTTTGGCTGGATATAACAATTAACGACAACTGATCAGTCTATGAAATTTTCTAGTTTATTATCACATTAACACGAGGACATTGTTCATTAAACACAACACTCAACAATTGAACTTTGAAACAATAAAACTTTGAAAAGTGGCTAATAAAAGCTTAAGGCTTAGCTGAATTTCTTCTAAGCATGTTTTGCAATCTTCTGAATCCATTTCAGCTGCAGTAATATCTTAAGCATCATTAGGTCATATATCACATTTTCGCAAGGATATTAATTTTTCACTAAACACTCAGCAATAAACATTTATAATTCTAAAAATATGGGGTGATTTTCCTGCTTCAAAAAGGATATGTTCACTCCTTAGAAGTTTTTCAAACAGTTGACAATTTCCGTCCTATCACAGAAATACAGTACAAAAAATTAAAAGTATATTTTCTTTTTAAAAAATGATGCCCCCTTTTTTTTTCCTATGAATATTATGGTCATGTGCTATTACTACTTATACAAATTATTACAATAAGGTTTTTTTATGCCACATGAGAATTAGTGATAAACCATCATTATTTGTAAGTCTTATCATGGAAATGAAAAAACTGTTATCCTGATGTCAATAATCTGGTATTTCCGTTATGACTCATTATTATTCGGTAATTATGACGTCATTATTTGGTAAGTATTTTTTCTTCAATATTTCATACTTAGTGGGACAGTTTCCGGAGCCTATAAACTGAATGTTTATATTTTGAGAGGCAACGCGAATTTCAGGAGTTGGCGGATTTCAGGTCGTCAGATTTTCGGTATTTGACTGTATAAATACAAATAGTGAAGCTGTACCCATTTCACTGCAGAGCTCTGCAGGATCTGTATAGATTACTCTCAGTGATGCAGGAGCTTTTGTGATTAGCTATTGCAACAGTATAAAGCTGATAATTCTTTCACTGTACATCTCTTGCTGATGAATGAAGTATGTTTCATATGTGATAGGATGCTCAACTGTCTCAACAGTCATCAGTGGTCACAGTCCATTTCTCATGTGCAGTCTTCTCACAAAGACATAAAATCACCTGGCTGTGTGAATGTATACTGGGTAATTACATTATTGATTATATCTGCCACTTCCATATATCACTTAACATTCATATTTTCTATTTCTCCATGATGTTTCTTGATTTCATACCCTTATTGGTACTACATGATCTTTGGTTCCAGCATGATGAAACTCTGTCATATTTTAACTCTGCTATGTGCGATTGTTTTGTTACAGAATAGGTAAATTGCTAGATTGAGCATGAAGATCTGGTTATGTGGCCACCAAAATAACCTGTCCTGCCAACTTTGAATTTCTTTCTCTAATGTCATTTGAAGGGGATTTGTATTTCAGACTTCACTTATTGCAGAAAGAAATTTATTGGTTCATCTTCATATGCTATATTTGCTGTTATGTCCACTGTGCTGATAGATTGTGTTCAATCAACTATTCAACACAAGCATGCATTAGTGTATGCAGCAGTCATTTTGAGTATCTTATATAAATATAAGGCCATGCATACTAATATTTGTTTCCAACAAAGCTTGCTTTACATCTAACGAATGTGTTGTCTTATCTTTCATGTTTTTCTCAAACAAAAATTTCTTTTTAAAAAAAATACTGTATTCTGTCTGTGGAAACAAACCTTGTTTGTGTGGAAACAAATCACAAGTACAAGTTTATGTAGTCTCGATGGGACATCCTGTAATATATAAGTACTGTTACGTGGTTAGATATAATGAAAAGCAACTTTATCAGTGCTGTTAGTGAATTTTTCACTAGCAGATTGTCTTGGTATTCCTTTTGTATTCTCCACTGTTTTCATGCAGTTAAGTCTATATGAGCTTATACTGTTTAGGTATCTACTTTTATCCAAAAAAGGGGGAAAAAAAAAAAAAACTTGTATTTGTGGCAATTTTTAAACAATATTGTTGATTGATTTCGAGGGCAGTCAAATATGGGTTCATCATAACAGGAGGGGGGGAGAGAGAAAGAATTTTATTTTGCTCATTTTCTATAATTATCTAAAATTGCTTTATTGTTCATTTTTAATGTTACATTAGTGTTCCCCACCCCCCAGTCACCAATCTGCTATCTTAATTATTCTGGCATTTGAGCTCTGATTTTGTTATTTTGAGTATAGTGTTTTTGTTTTTTGGTGAACTTTCATGTTGGTTATTGTTATGATTTCTTAAATGTTTGCCTGTTTGGGTTAAAAAATTTAGATGTAGTAAATGCAAGAAAAACTATGGATCTAAAAGTTAAAAGTACTTATTATTTTAAATGGAAGATTGTACCTTAAGTGCATCCATTTGCAGAATGCTCTTTTATGGTGCAAATCAAAAGATGTATAAATATTGTAAAATTTATATTTAAATTTGCTATTAATTATTAAAATATGGTCTACAGGATTGTTAAACACTTTCTTAATTAATATCATCTAATCTTTTTAGTTCAAATCATGTAATTTCTGATCTCTTTATTATGTTTTAAAAACTTTTTGAAGAAAACTTAGAAAATAATTATACTAATGCATATACAATGCTTTTTATATCTGGAAAACTTTGTAAAGAATTTATATTCCTCTACAGATTGTGGAATGATTTAGAATTCACAAAATGTGCTGAACTCTGCACTCTCATCCTAAATGACTTGATTAATCCAGAAGCCTTGGTGAGGCAAGCGGCAGCTGATGCTCTTGCTGCATTATTTCCTGATTTCCCTGAATATATAGCACCTACTATAGAAAAACTTCTAGAAATTTATCATGAAAAGCTATATGTAAGTTAATGCATGTTTCTTTGGCTAATAATGATTTTCGATCTGAATTCAGTCTTGAAGTTGTTAACAATGTTATTGAAAACAGGGTCTTTCTAAATGAATAATACCTTATACAGTCAAAGTCCGTAATCCAGACTCTTCCGGATTAGGAGTTTTTCCGGATTATAGATCATCAATTTAAATCTGTTAAGATGGCATGCAGAAATTATACAATTAAAAATATGAAACCGCAATTTATGAAATAAAGAGCAATTATGATCTAAAGGGTATCAAAATTTACAAAAAAAGCTTAATATTTATTTGTTTACTTTATTAAACATTTCTTTCAATGTAAGTTGTTTAAGTTGCTTCATTTTGTGTGCTAATACTTTCTCTTTAATTCTATAAACAGACATAATTTCTTGTTCAGTTACAGAGTTCTGTCCTGTAATTGCTGTGTCGAGAATACCGATTAACTTGTCAATTGAAATTTTTTTGTTTTCAATAACTAACAGTTTCTTCACTATCGGAAACATGCATGGATAAACGCTTTACGCGCATTAAACATGCATGCGTAAATTTGTGGCTTTGAGGTCTGGATTATAGATCATTCCAGATAATTAACGTCTGGATTACGGACTTTGTGCTGTAGTATTTATTACATAAAACTTAAAATTATAATTAATACATGAAATGAAAAAGCAACTTAAACAGTTATACCTATAAAATTACAAGTGTCCAATGTGAGCAGCTCTTTCCAAGCATTGATTATTGTTTGTGGTGTAATTGTAGCAACAGCTGCTTCAGTCCTATTTCTTAGGTTGGGTAGGTCAGCTGGTAGTGGAGGCACATAAACGCAATCCTTTATGAACCCCCACAGGTAGAAATGACATCAATCTCTCACTCGTTCAGCACTCTCTTCACCAACCCTTGATCGTCCTGTGCTCTTTCCTTTTCAAAGGCATTTGGGATTTTCACACTGATGATACCATCTACGGATGTTATTATCACTTGGGGGATGACATCCGAACTTAATCCGGAATGCACGCTGTACAATAACTACAGATTCAATCTTTGCAAACTGCAGAACACAAAAAGCTTTCTGTTCACTAGTTGCCATTTCTGCTACTAGCGCTTTCTGCCGCATGCATGTACCAACAAACAGAACTATTTGAGTTTCTCTTTCATTTCATGTATAAATTATGATTTTAAGTTTTATACTACAAAGCATTAAAACACCAATATTCATTTAGAAACACCCTGTATTATAGTTTATTTTACTTCTAGCACAATTTTTTTTTTTTTTTTCTTTGTGAATTTTCAATTAATAAATTTTCTTTAAATCTTCCAAATCGATGGAATTTAGAGCAGATTTTCGGCAATAAAAATAAATGAAATTTAATTTTAAAATACATTAGAAGAATAATTGTTATTGACTTTATCATTTCAAATTGTTTATCTAGTTCGTTTTCTTACTTATGTACTCTTTTATATATGCTTAATATGCTTAAGCCAAATCAGCAAACATTTGACATGACTATTTTATTACACGATACAATAATTTTGTAAAGCTTATTAAACAAATGTAGTAAACTGCTTGTATTGAATATGTATTAAGTCTTATGGGCTAAATATTTTAGAATTGAAACAATGTAAAGTATCTTTATTTATTAATTTTTCATCAGTTTCAATTGATGAATTTCTTGACTAGTAATAAAATTTATTAAATTAATATTGTATATTAAATCACAAGCAAAAAAAATATGTACTTATCTCTACATATCTTATGAATATCCTATGTACTCCCTCTGTCCGAAAGTAGGACATTTGAAAAAGTTATAAAGATTGATGATATAGTTAAAGAATTATAATCAAATTTCCTAGTGTGTAAATTCACATGCTAATCAAGCAAATGAAACAGTTGCTGGGTGTTTGATTTTGTCTATATCAGGAACATCAGCAAAGCTACGTGATGCGATTAGAAAGTTGTAATGTAGGACCCACAATTGCTAAAAAGAAAGGGGGTAGGTTTGCCTTCTGCTGTAGAAAGGAAATTTTGATGATGCTAGAAGAAACTGACCTCGCCGAACATGCAAAAGCAAATACAGTCAAAAGTCGTTAATTCGGACACCCATAATTCGGAATGATCTATAATCCGGACATCAAAACTAAAAACTTTCTGCGCATGCGCCGCGTTGACACATGCGCAGAGGCGTTCACACGTGCACGTAAGACCTTTTACGACTGCGCATATGAGTGTGCGCAAGTGCAGAATACGTTTTAGCGTGCGCATTTTATGTATAATGGACGTATAAGCTAAAATTATCTAATTATCTATTTCAGTTAATGTTGATGATTACGTTGTTCCTTAATTTTCGAATGCATCCGGCTTTTATTTTTGCAGACTGTAAGAGCAATTTATAAAGGTAAGCTTAAACTTTCGATTATATCAAATAGAATTTCCGATATATTTGTTAATATGTAAGGATCTAAAGCGAAAGTATGTTTTGAAATCCGAAATCTGTTTATCATTTCACGCTGCTCGGCGGCGGGCGCAATGATTGGAAGTGATTTGTCAGCACTATCCTTATCTCAGCGCAGATGTTTTTATTTATTTGGCTTAATTCCTTACCAAATGTAGTATTTCATCTCGATATGGCTCCGTCTTGATATGATTTAAAACAAGTTCCTCGTCATTATAATTCGCTTCCGATAGCGAGAAACGTGACAGATGGTTATTGAAAACAAAAAAATTTCGATTGACAATTATCGGTGTTTCTTGACACAGCAATTATAGGACTTGAACGGCGAACTTTGTAACTGAACAAGAATTATGTCTGTTAATAGAATTAAAAGAAAAGTTTATCACATGAAACGAAAGCAAAACTTAAACAACTTACATTGAAAGAAATGTTTAATAAGTAAACAAATAAATATTAAGCTTTTTCTTTTTGCAAATTTAGATACCCTTTAGATCAAATTGTTCTTTTATTTCATAAATTACGGTTTCATATTTTTAATTTTAGAATTTCTGTATGCCATCTTACGAGATTTAAACTGATCATCTATAATCCGGAATCGCCGAAGTCCCGACGAGTCCGGATTAACGACTTTTGACTGTATTTCATTGCCAAAGTGATGTTTATGGATGTTGTCACTTGATTACAATCCACATTATAAACAGTTTTTTGATAAAAAAATTAGGATATGACTGTTTATTTATCTAGAACCAGCTAGGCAAAATTTGAGAAATAATCCTAAAGGAACCTTAACAACAAACAATGGGGAATTTGTGGAGAAAATTCTTACGACAATCCTCTCATTAATAAGGCCAGGCTACGTCATGAGGGATGGTTAACAATTACTTTAGTTTGTGTGCAAGAGGGGAACAAACTAAAACATGTTTAGCTTGAAAAAGTATATCTCATATAGTTAAACTCCATTTATTAATTTAAGGCTGCTATCACATGTCAGTTTGTTTCGGAAGAACAACTGTTTGGAACAATTTTTCTGCTTTGTCACCACAGCCAGTCACCATAGATCGCTTTGGGGTCAACACAGGGGAAACTGATTCCCCAAGACAAAGAAACTGACAGCCGATTGGTTGAAAACGAACAACTTTTTCGGAAAGTAAGGAAAAAGTCTCACATCTTTCTTTCAATAGTAAACCAGGCAGAAAAATTGCCCGAAACAATTGTTCATGTGAAACAAACGCCATGTGATATGGGCCTAAGGCTTAACTCAGCATGAATTACAATTGTAAAATGTGGGTCATAATTGTGAACAAAAAAAATTCTAAATCTTTACCTTATTTTCAGACAGAGATAGTCTTTATTTATAGTTCACCACTTTATTAAAGTACAGTGATAGAATTCAAAAACTAAACAGTAGGATATATGGCAGTAGAAACACCTATTAGCGATTGTATTGTGTCTTTAAATGTCTCAAAAGTTATTGCATATATTATAAATGTATTTACAATTGTGTCAAATGGTATATTTTTTGAAGAATTAAGTAAAGCTTTTAGATTATTTAAAAAATATTTATTTTTTGAATCAATATGTTCACTATTTGTGAATTTTGCATGTATTATATTTGTGTTAGTACCTTTGGCAAAGCATAAGCTCTTATACTTTCTTAAATGAGAACTCTCGCAGAATTAGTTGTGTGTGAAGATGCATAAATGATAAATTAAAAATCTAATATTTCTTTCGTTGATAACCCAAGTGTGTGAATGAATTTAATGCTTAGTAGGTAGTTTATATATATATATAAACTAAACTCAGTGGCGCAAACAGCCCTAATGGGCCAAGGCCTGCAGTGCCCAGAAATCTGCTTTCTTGACCGCGGGTCCCAAGGTGCGTAAGCATATACCCTGAACAAGTGGACATCTTATTGCAGGACCCCCAGTGTTTAGTCCCCAAATGAACTTAGTACTAATTTTATTGACCCAAGGGATGAAAGGCTGAGTCGACCTTGCCCAGCCCAGGTTTCGAATCCCGGACTTGTGGTGCTGCTGCACAATGCGTTTAGTATTAACAGGGTGTCCTGCCACTTAAAAATAAATCTAACTAGGAAAAAGAATGGTAGTATTAATAGTAGTAATACAATTTCATGAGAAGAATGACTATCTAATTCAATCCAAAATAAATATCAAAATTTGAAAATAAAAAATATAAATTGGATTTTAGAACATTAATTTCATATTACACTGGAAGCATAAAGCTACTTTACATTTATTATTGTTGAAAACATTTGCATCATTTCATGCAGTAAATGGCACATGCATTCAAATAAGTAAAAATGTAGATCCTTTGTTCTCACTTTATGAGGAATATTAAATTATAGGTTTTTTTTTTTTTTTTTTTTTTTTTTTTTTCCTGCATGGAACACATACAATAAAACATAAATTTTAAAGCAGGGGTGGACAAATTTTTTGAATTCAAGACTACAATAAAAAGAAAGGAATTTTTTGCAAAATTAACTCCATTACTGAAGAGGGGGCAGGAAACATAATTATGGGCACGGGTTTGGTGGCCCTTGCTTTAGAGTATTATTTTTATAAAAGAACAAAATACTGATATTGATTGATGGGAACATATTTATATAAAAATATTAAAAATTACAATTCTTAAAAAATTCTTAGTTTAACACCATACATGAGCTTGGTGAACTGTGCAGATTAAGTTTTAGAACACAGATAAGGCAATGATAAGGCCAGTTGTAGTTATGTTCTAAATTTGCCATGCTTTCTTGTTTCTTTGTTTTAGTATTAATTATCACTGAAAATTCTACCTCACAGAGATATAATATGGAAATTAATAATAATGCATTTAATGCCTCCTTCCCCAGACCTGGATATTTATCTTGAAAAGAGATTCAAAATTTTTTAAGCATTTTTGCACTGAAATTTAGTTTTAATTCACGATATGGAGACACTGACATCAGTTTTTATTAATTTAGAATAAAACTAAAGAAGTCGAGCAAAACAAAATGATTTCTTATGCATTCCAGTTGTTCCATGTATAATAATGAAAAATATATTTCAAAATTTCCTATTGTTGTTAAATGTCTGACTATTAAAGAAATGATTGCATCATTTTTATCTCGTACTGAAGGAAACATTTCTGTGTTTCTTTCCCTTATATATCTCCTTCACGGTAATTTCTTTCATAGCACTAAATTTGTCAGTCAGTGTAAGAATTTTTTTTTTTTTTTTCCCTTGCACACTTACATTGGCAGTATTAAAGTAAGCAAGAATTCCGCCAACTACGTGAAATTAATACACCAACTATCATTTAAAATATTTTCCAAATGTTTTGTATTTTTCTATTTCCAGTAAATAAATGAATAAAATGGTAATTTGTTTCTTAATTGCAACATACAATTTAAAACCTTTCTACATGACATTTGCCTCACTTTTGTGGAGAAGTCATCTGTAATCTGCTTTCATAGGTAAACAGAGTTGTCAGAAAATTTTAGAAATGCAGCTTTTCAGTGGTCTTATTTTAATAAAATTAACCATGAAAATTACTTGATCCAGTACTTTCTGTATTTTTTTAGGTACTGTCTTAATGATAAGTATTTCTCAATGCAAGAAACGGTAATGAAGTACTATGTTTGGATTTATTGTTTTCACTAAAGTCACAAACTTTTTGACTGATCCCATCATAGAGTGCTGCTCCATAGGTACAATATCATTGATCCCATGATAATCTTAAAGTATTTAAGTGTAATGTTATCACATCAATTAAGTCCTAGCCAGTTGTCCACAAAATTTCTTTGCAATGAAGATTTATTTATTATCTTCTTTTCATAAGTTGTACAAAGCTTGAGAGAGAGTAATTTAAGAAATGCACCGTGCATTTTAATCAGTTGATTCATCTATTTGTAATGCAAAAAGCATGCTAAGTTCACTTGTTACTGTTCTTTCAATGCTTCAAGACATGTCATTAATTCTTTTGGAAATGATATAATCAGATTCCAAGTATGTGATATCAGATTTCATGGTAATTAAGTGTATATAAAGTTTACAGTACTGCGTGTATAACTAAAAAGTTTGTTTGTTCATATCTGCTGAGTACAGTCCCATACAAAAAGTATTTTACATTGATTTTTCTTTTTCAGCAGTTTTTAATTGTGTATCTGATTTTTTTTTGGCTGACCATTTGAACTGCCTTCATGGAATACTAGTGTTTCACAGACACAGATATACAGATACACAAATGAAAATCTTGAGGGAAGGGGAATTATTGGATGAGTGTTCATGATTATTATCTTGGTTACAATGATATAATACAGTCAAAAGTCGTTAATTCGGACACCCATAATCCGGACCTCAAAGCTAAAAACTTTCTGCGCATGCGCCGTGTCGGCACATGCGCACAGGCGTTTTACGCGTGCGCGTAAGACCTTGACTACTGCACATATGCGTGTGCACAAGTGCAAAATACGTTTTCGCCTGCGCGTTTAATGTATAACGTACGGTGTAAGCTAAAATTATCTATTTCAGTTAATGTTAATGATTACGTTGTTCCTTAATCTTCGAATTGGATCCCGCTTATTATTTTTTGCAGACTGTAGAAGAGCAATTTTATAAAAGTAACTTGAACTTTCGATTATGTCAAATAGAATTTCCGATGCTGGAACTTGCAAAGGATCTGCAAAACGAAAGTATGTTTCGATGTCCAACAAACAAAAAGTGGAATTGCTGCAAAAAATGGACAAAGACATGAAGAATGTGACAGAGAGGTTAGTGAAAACGAAAAAATTTCGATTGACAAGTTAGTCGGTATTCTCGGCACAGCAATTAACGGGACTTGAACAGCGAAACTTTGTAACTGAACAAGAAATTATGTCATTTTATAGAATTAAAGAGAAAGTATTATCACATAAAATGAAGCAACTTAAACAACTTACATTGAGAGAAATGTTTTAATAAAGTAAACAAATAAATATAAGTTTTTTTTTTTTTTTTTTTTTTTTTTTTTTGTAAATTTGATACCCTTTAGATGATTTTGCTCTTTATTTCATAAATTACGGTTTCATATTTTTAATTTTAGAATTTCTGCATGCCATCTTACGAGATTTAAACTGATGATCTATAATCCGGAAAAATCGATAATCCGGAATCGCCGAAGTCCCAACGAGTCCGAATTAACGACTTTTGACTGTAGTTCATGTTTCATAGCTGCTGTTTGTTGCAAATTTTACAAGTGACTACATTTAGTTCTTAGTTGCATAATTATGACTGGCACCCATTGAATGAAAGGTACTAGAAATTTTGAAAAAAGTGTTTCTAACGTTAAAAATGCATTTTTCGTTAAAAAATTTGTTTCAAAGCTTCAAATTTCTTTGTCAGTTTTTGAAAAGTGTTATATATCCAGTTTTATACTTCATAATTTCATAGGAATTTTAGTCATAAGAGTTTCCATGACCAACAATTATGAAATCAGCAACAAAACACACTGTTTTTGAAACTTGAGTTATTTTTTTTAATTAATTTATTATTTTTTAAATGATCTTGTTATTTATTTTCAGTTGCCGCCTCCAGTCCTGGACAGTCTACATCGTGTTGTTTCTGAATCACCACCTGATATGTGGGAGGCAAGAAGTGGAATAGCATTAGCTCTTGGGAAAATGGCACCATTTCTAAATGTAGATCAAATCATAAATTTGATGTCTTTCTTTGTGCCAGAAGGACTAGGCGATAGACATCAAACTGTACGAAAACATATGCTAGATGCTGCTGTAGCTATAATTGATGTTCATGGTAAGGTACGTATGGATTTATTATTGGTTAATTAATCCTTTCTTTGTGATTATGATGAACATACACAGGATAATTTTAAAATAAGGATCATCTGGCAATGCATTTTTAAGGTATTTAAATTCATAATTTTCAGGCATAGTGTGTCCCTATGTCCACTGCATACAAGCGTATGCTATTTTGAGTCATATGTATTTAATAATAATAATTTGCAGATAGCTTAGAAAGCAAGAATATTTTTTAATCCAAACAGCTGTACTATTATTTTCAATTTCTAGAGCATCACAAACATTATAAAATAAATAATGCTTTCTGCTGAGAATTAGTAAATGCAGATCAGTAACTCTTGATATAAAATTATGGAGGACTATTAATGAAGAAATGGCATTATACATGATTACATTGTATTATTATGCATGAGGAAAACCACTTTTACAAATATGAAGTTGGGACTTGAAACAGCAGATGAAAGAATGAGGTGGAAAACGCAATGTTAGTTGAGTTTTGAATATGTTTGAATTTCCATTTCATGACAAATAAGTCTTGTTAGATTTCCCAACACCCCTTTTTTCTGGTCACGTGTGTAGGTAGAAAGGTCTTACAATTGTTAATACATTAAAAAATACACGGAAAATTTTTTTTATTAAATATACATTTTCAAAGATTAAAAATTTTTGCATTTAGATGAGAAGTAAAAATAATGCATCTGCATTCATTCCAGATTAGTTTTATATGCTGTGTCACACACATATTGTAAATTTAAAGACATAAAAAAAAAATCTGTATAGCACCTAAATTTTAATGTGTCCCTTGCTACTTTTTGCAGATATTCTAGTATAGTACTGCTGACATCAGATTTAATATTAGCTAAATTTGTTAAAATAACTTTCTGCAAGATCAACTAGTTCTCTTGTTTTATTTCTCTGTAGTAATACCATTTCTTCTTTTGTGGATTTCAACCTTAATTATATTTTCTTTTGTTGGAAAAGTTTGCAGTTCTTTCAAGTTAATTTCTTCATTCCTTATTATTCCTGGGATCTTCTTGGTAATTATGGAATGTCTACTGTTTTGATTAATTTCCTTCTTTTATTGTATTTGGATGTGATTCTGCCAGTTTATTTTCCTTAAAAGTCCATTGTATTTCTTCAGCTTAATTGTTTATTTGATGAGATTCTTCCAGCTGGATTGCTTATTTAATAAGATTCTTCCTCTCCTTTTTTTTTTTTTTTTTTTTTTTTTTTTTTTTTTTTTTTTTATTAAATTGAATATTATGCCTCTGTGATAACATTGTTTGTAAATAGTATGTAAGTTCTGTATCCTTTAGAATGATTACTATATCCAATTAAAATTTCTTCTACTTTTGTTCTTTTCTGCTTTAGAATCAGGCAAGAAGCTTTGCTGCTGAAAACACTGATATGGCTTAAATTTGGCTTTTTTTCATTTCAAAGCTCATGGGGTGGTTTTTTTTTTTTTTTTTTTTTTTTAAATTATTAATCTCGATGGTAGATAAGTGGCTGTCATTACAGCTTCACCCCAGAATTGAGTAGTAAGCATGATTTCCATTATGAATCATTTTGTTTTTCTTATATGACCATTCTGTTGTGTAAATATGCTGCTGTGCTTTGATGTTCAAATCCTTCTTTTTTATATAGTCTGTAATATCTCTGTTTGTTTATTTTCCTGCATTATCTGCCCGTAGAATTATTTGCTTTTTTTTCCAAATTTGTTCTTTGGCATTGACATTGTTACTAATAACTTCATCTTTTATGGCTAGCAAGTATCCATTAGTGTATCTCGAAAATCATTGATAAATTTTATGAAGTTTTTCTTTCCTCCTACTAATATTATGCCAATCAGTCCACAGATGTCCGTATGTATTAAATCCAGAATTGATTTTGCTCTGCATTTGTTTCGCTTGAGGTACTTTGTGGCATTTATGTTTGTTTTATTACGAAATATAATTTAATTTACTTCTTTTTTTTCCGCCTCTGTTTGCCAAAAAGTTCGTTGATTTGAGAATTTATGTAAATTTGATTGGCAAGCAGTTTTACTATAAAGTTTAGAAATTTTCAAATAAGAGAGAGCTTGGTCTGTAGTCTACTGCCTAGGCAAACAAAGTCTGTTAGAGGTGCTGATGCAGGTCTTGCTATGCATTTTGTAGATTGAGTTTAAACCAGTGGCAGATCTACAGCTGTCGAGATCCAGGCTGAAATATTCCTGGGCTGCCCCCTTATTTGGAATGATCACTATACAAAATGTTGTCACAAATGTATAATTAACGTTTCTTTGATTAAAATAGTTAAAACGATTTGGAAAGCAATCTTAAGGCTAAAGAAAAACAACTTACATCTAAAAGGCAAACATACATTTAAAAAAGCTTATTTATCTGTCATTTTTGATGATTTTAAACATGTTCAACTTTTCTGACAATAAAAAAAGCTGAAACTGTTCTTTTGTGAGCTTTGATTTCTGTAAAAATTTTGAAACTTCATCAAAATTAATGTTTTCAACTACTCCATTTCCACTGGAAAGGATTGCCAAACCTTTGTCTTACTTGGCCCATTGTTGATCAAAGGTAGCTTTTATCAACATTGAAAAATTTCTAAGATATCTGATACACCCACTGTTAAAAAAGTTTTTAGGACCAAATGTAAGTTAAGAACTGATTCTTGAAGATAGTAACTATAACATTTTTAATACAAACCACTTGTTTCATCCTTTTTTATATTCCTACTTGTAGGTATGTATACTAAAAAACTTAAAAGTTTTTTTTGGAAGCATCTCCCCTCAGTGCACCCCTGAGTTAGATCCTGTTTTGGTAAGTGTGTATTCGAATTTCTGTCGTGGTCTAGGTAAAACTTTTATTCTTATAGATACTGTATGCATTAGCATCCTGCTAGACAAAACTGTCAGAAAAGGCATTTTAAAATGTGAAGAACAAATAAAAGGAATCAAAAATAACAAGGTAATCAATTAGCTATTGATTAGAGTAAATCTTTTGTGCTTCACATTTACTGTGTTTTAGTAGTTGTACTATATTTTGAATCTTATTTAACTGAAGTTTATATAAGTCAATGGTGAGGAAAAGGAAATATCTCAATCATTTTAACTACTGAAAAAAACTATCTTGTTTCATTTTAGTAAATAAATATTATATTTTTTAATGTATTAGTGACTTCAAAGGATCCAGCTAGCATAAATCTTTTTTTCCCTTCTATTTAACCGTTTTTGTAATTATTTTTAAAAAGCCTATATGCATAAGATAATTATAAAATTTTTAATGTGTATAATTTTTCATTTGATCTTTTTCAGAATGCTCTTGCTGATTTGCTGCCAGTGTTTGATAATTTCATGGATAAAGCTCCAGACAACTCAAGTTATGATGCTGTTAGACAGAGTGTAGTTATTTTGATGGGGACACTTGCTAGGCATTTGGATAAAGATGATCCTCGAGTCAAACCTATTATAATAAAACTTATTGAAGCTTTATCAACTCCATCTCAACAGGTTTCTATTGCATTTTTTTAGCTACTTCTAATATAATATAATTTGTTTCTGAATTCTGGCAAATAAATTCTTCTGCCAAGAATAAATGAATAAAGTAAACAAGTTTGGAGTATTTATTTTTTGTTTATGGTGATTACATATCATATCGATTTTAGATAACTATATTTTTTTATTCCTTGTACAGAAGTCTTGTACTAAAATCTTATAGTATTTTTGTTTTATTATCCTGTTATGCCATTTTTCTTTGCTTCTCTCTGGAAAATTAAGTTTTCTAGAATTTACATAGAATATAGAAATAGTTATTTTAATACACCAGCCAGTCAAAATATGTATAAAATACATTCAATATATGTTCTAATACCCATTAACAAGTACATTTACATACATCTTGAAATGTGCCCAAATTATTAGGACATTATACAGTCAAAAATCGTTAATCCAGACTCGTCGGGACTTCGGCTTTTCCGGATTATAGATCATCAGTTTAAATCTGGTAAGATGGCATGCAGAAATTATAAACTAAAAAATATGAAACCGTAATTTATGAATTAAAGAACAATTATGATCTAAAGGGTATCAAAATTTACAAAAAAAGCTTATTATTTATTTGTTTACTTTATTAAACATTTCTTTCAATATAAGTTGTTTAAGTAGCTTCATTTTTTATGTGATAATACTTTCTCTTTAATTCTATAAACAGACATAATTTCTTGTTCAGTTACAAAGTTCCGCTGTTCAAGTCCTATAATTGCTGTGTTGAGAATACCGACTAATTTGTCAATCGAAATTTTTTCGTTTTCAATAACCTCTCTTACTTTCTTCGCTATCGGAAGCGAATTATAATGACGAGGAATTTGATTTAAATCATATCAAAGACGGAGTACATCAAGATGAAATACTACATTTAGTAAGGAATTATAAGCCAAATAAAATAAAAACATCTGCCCTGAAGATAAGGATAGTGCTGACAGATCAACTTCCAATTCATTGCGCGCCCCAGGCGTTAAAGATAAACAAAGTTTAGATAAACAAAGCATATGTCTTTATCCATTTTTTGCAGCAATTCCACTTTCTGTTTAATGGACTTCGAAACATACTTTCGCTTTGTAGATCCTTACATATTAGTAAATATATCAGAAATTCTATTTGACATAATCGAAAGTTCAAGCTTACTTTTATAAAATTGCTCTAACAGTCTGCAAAAAATAATAAGCCGAATCCAATTCGGAGATTAAGGAACAACGCAATCTGCAACATTAACTGAATTAGATAATTTTAGCTTAGCTTATACCGTCCATTATACATTAAACGCGCATTCATAAACGTATTTTGCGCACGCGTATTCGCAGCCGTAAAGGCGCCAACGCGACGCATGCGCAGAAAGTTTGTAGCTTTGATGTCCGGATTATGGGTGTCCGAATTAACGACTTTTGACTGTATTGGATGAAAAAGAATCCAGGTATAAAGTGTTGAGAACATTTTGTAATATCAATCAAGGAATTACTTTTTTCTCATTGCCATTTTGGAATCAGACTTTTGCTTGCTTTGAGAGATAAAACAGTGTTAAATTAGTATTTTCTGCTTTCAGTTACAAAACTTTGCTCTGAAATATTTCTCTCTTGGATGAAAGATATTCAGTATAATTGTGTAGAAACCGTCTACATGATAAAGAATTGTCTACATAATTATCATTAATTAAATTTTAAATGCAATGTATGTTGTATTTTTTTAATAAGTCAAATAATTTAAGTTCAAATGTGTGTAACAGGTTCAGGAAGCTGTAGCAAACTGTTTGCCACCCCTGGTACCAGCCATAAAGGATGAAGCTCCATCTCTAGTCAATACTCTATTGCAACTATTATTAGAATCAAGTAGTTATGGTGAAAGGAAAGGTGCAGCATATGGATTGGCAGGCCTTGTTAAAGGTCTTGGAATTTTGTCTTTGAAACAGCTGAATATAATGAATACTTTAACTACAGCTATTCAAAATAAGAAGAATTTTAAACATAGAGAAGGTATCGTTTCATTTTTAATTATTTATTGCACTTTAGTAAGAAGTATGAGTTTTATATTTATTTTAGTGCTGTGTAATTTTTCTGCTTTAAAATGATGTATATTTACAAATTTTTCATCTATTTTCTTAGGCAATATTTTGTCTTTGTTTAAATTCAACAGTAAATCTTGAGACTTCTCAACTTCATCTTTATAGATAACACCTAATAATAGATTAAAATTAAAATAATTGAAAGATTACCTTAAATAAATAAAATAATTAATAAAATTTAAAAATAAACTTCCAGTTTTATTCTTTCAAATTTCAGCTTAACATCCTGTGAGATATGTAGTCTTCCTTTGTTATAACTTGTGACCAGAACCTCAGTAAGAATGTAAGTGACTCATCACTAAGCCTTAAAAGTACTACAGAGACTTAAAAAGGGTGTAATGACCCTTTATTTTAAACTAAAATAGATAAACAAAAGACAAGACTGGTGCTTACAAATTGGCCAGCATTTATGGCGAGATCTCAAGCAGAAATTCCAAACTAAAACTAGATATCTAATAGCTTAAGGCTGCACAGAGTAAATTAATCGCGAAGTTGTCTCTAATGTTTTCACTGGCATGAATTACTATTGGCAAGTATAATGCATAGCCAAAGACAGAAACTTCCATCTTATAACAATCCAAGTAACATGGCCATTGATAGGCACAACATGCTCTGATTTACAGTCACAAGCCTTTCAGTTACATGCGAATTAATTTGTTTTCTGGTGTGGAAACAGAGAAAGAGAGGTGATAGTGACGATTCTAAACATAAACTGGTTAAACAAGCTAATTAAATCCTACAACGCAAAAGGTGTAATAACTTGATATCATTGCTACTTGTTAAAAAAAATAATAAATAAATAAAGAGTAATATTTGGTCAAAAGTAAAATTTATAATATAGATTTTTTTTTTTTTTTTTTTTTTTTTTTTTTTTTAGTATGTCTGTGATATATATAAACTCAGATATAAAGATCCCAATTCTGTGAAACGAACTTTGCTGAAATACAAACCATCAGAAAGTTGTGCAAATATTTATCTTCCCATTTTAGTCTTTAGTCAATGTAGTAATTTTGCTGATCGTATACTACCATAGCTTTTTGCAATGGTATGTGAATGGAGAAATGGAATGGTTATGTACTTGCAAAGCATGTCATTATTCGAAATATTTCTGATCATTCTGGACTTGTTCAGGCCTTTCTTTGAAAAAGCTAACAGCTGTGAATGCTGTAATGGTAGAGGATGCCTTAGTTATTAGAATTAGTGTGACGAACCTGCATTTTTCCATGGCGGCTCGTAGAGCAATCACAAAACATCCGGTAGTTCAGTTTTTCTAATACTATTTATTATTTGTTATATTTACATATTTACAACTGTCCTATTGTTAGGTGGACTACCTTCACAGAAATCATGTTGCCTAATCAAACGACATTTCGTTTCTACTTACGTGCATTGCGCTACTGCCAAGCAGCGCCCTCTACTTCTCTCTTTACAACACTCCCCACCTGTGACTCTTAAGGTCACAGAAATCGAATACAAAATAACCCATAATTTCTAAATCAAACACAACATTTGAATACTATATAAACGACATCAAATTCAAATAAACATTAAGTAATGTTTAACACATTAAATCAACTTATAAAGTAATTACTAAATAAGAAACATATACTAAATCAAAATTCACAAGAATTATATAAACTAAACTACATTAGCAAAATCAATAAAGATACTCAGAAGGTGATATATTGCAAACAACAAATTAGATATTACCTGTAATTCTTTACTATAATTATGCACTTCAAGGTTGTACAGCAATTGTACTGGTCTCTTTAGATTACCTGTTTGAGTTTTAATGAGACACGAGGAGAACCTGACCATCTCTGCCAGGATAAGTTCTCTTATCTTACCTAGTGTCCACAAATTCCTAGGTAAACGGTCGTCATGTACAAGGACTAGTCATTAACATTAACGTGACCAGACACTTTAGTAGGTGGACATAAATTCACCGATCTTAAAGAAAGCAAGTAATCCTTCTTCACCTATTCCAAAAGTGGTTTAACAAGGTTTGTTGATGTTTATACCTTTTGATCAAGGAATTTAGACCCAATCAAGTCTTCTCTGCACACTCTTGTAAACTGGAAGAAAAAGTAACGTTTACCAATTAAAAAATGAGCAGGAGTAGCGGTGAGGTTCTGAAGGTATTGTAGACATACGTTATGGGTCTTGAATTAATATGGCTTCGATTTTTACGAAGACGTTTCTAGCTCATTCAACAGAGACTAGAACGCCCAACTATTTTCCAAACAATTTTGATCGTTCTATAAAATGCCTTCCCAGAACCTCCCCACCATGCTCCTTTTTCCACAATAAACTCCATGTTATAGTGGGAAGAAAACAAATTTTGTAAGATGGATGTTGAATACACTTCCAAATTTTTCACAACTCTAGATCAGCACTTTGAATGTCTTGGCATTGTCCAAATATATCGTTCAGCACAACCACGACGAGAAATTACCTGCGAACACAAGCAGAAATTCTCCACGCTCATAGAAGGGACAAGTTCTAGATGGTAAAGCCGAGTTTGAGCACATGTAAACAAAGCAGATAATGTTTATTCTTGCTGTCCTTGTAAAAAAAGGGACCAGCATAATCCAGCCTGTTACAGAAAATGGAGATGATTGAAGAACACGATCAGGTGGTAAAGGCGGTTTCCTGTTGTACCGGCACGCCCCTTGTATCGTTACACAAAAAGCACTTACTTAACGTGGAAATGACGAATTGGCGTCCTTTTATGTTCCAAAACTTTCTCATATCGGCCAAGGTAGCTTCGACTCCAGCATGAAACAATTGTTATGAGACTCAAAAATTACTAGTCACTGTATCTATCTTATAAGGTAACAGCCATGGTGTTTTTCGAAAGCAACGTCTGCGAATTGAGTCTGCCTTTAAACGCAGAAGACCATGGGTATCCAATTCTGGGTTAAGTAATAAATCGACGATGTCTTTTCTAAGCATTTTTCACTTGATAGACCTAGAATCTCTATCGCAAAGTATTTTCGCTGTGTAACGTTTCACCCAATAGAGCTCAGCTTCGCGAAATCTCAACAGAGCTTAATGGACCTTTGACTTTCACTGAATTTCGTTTTATATTGTTCGTAAACCGCATAACATAAGTCGTAATTTGATACACCTTCAGCAGCCTGCTGAATCGCGTTGACTCTAGTAATGCCGAAGATTCTACGTCTTGAACAGAAACATAAAGAGATGTTTGCATCCTTGCTTCCTTTCTGAAGGCTCTCCTCTGTCGATGTTGGTCTGTTGATTTACTGGTTAAACACTTTCAGGTTCGAGAGAGCCAGCTAGGTCCCAGGTAACCAAAGGGAACTTCTCACAAGGTTAAAGGCATTTCTCTCGAGATAAAAGGTCAGCAGGGTTTTCTCTCCCACTGCAGTGAAACCAGCAATTCAGGATCCGTGAAGTGACTGAATATCAGAAACTCTGTTTGATACAAAGGGTTTCCAATTTCTTGCACATCCCTTTATCCAGTAGATAGTTATTTGGCTATCACTCCAAAGAAACTTTTGATGACACAGTTCAGGAAACAGCTTTGTAAAATACATAGACAATTTGGCGGCTACTAAAGCAGCCATCAACTCCAAACGAGGTAAAGTCATAGTCTTGAGTGGAGCTACGCGACCCTTTGCGGTAATGAAACTGGTGCAAATAATGTTTCTGAATCAAGGTATCTAAGTATGCTACTGCGCCGTACGCTTTAGGGCTAGCGTCAGCAAATACATGAAGACTAACATTAGATTTTTCACTACTACCAAAATATTTTCTCGGAAGAGAAAAAATCCTCCAACACCTGTAATTCAGCTTGCCAGCGACTCCAGTCTTTAACTATTTCTAATGGAAGCGTATCATCCCAGTCCACACCTAATGTCCAAATTTTTTGTAAACAGAATTTTCATTTTCATCACAAAGGGTTTTGAACACACCAATTGGGATCGTAAACTTTGGCCACCATTTGGAGAATAGTCCTTTTTGTGGGCCTCAGCACTGTCATGGGATAAATTTCCTAAAAATTCGCAATTCAGCTTGATCTTATCTGCTTCAGAGTTCCAGATCATGCCAAAAAATTTGACTCTAGCTGGTTCTATTTTATAACCTTTTCCAATCCACCAGGAATTAAGTTCCTCGGAATTTGACCTTAATTTTCTCAAATTCATCTCAGCGTCTTTAAAAATCTTAACCGCATCGTCTGAGGATAATCGAAATGCATCTTCAATAGTGTACCTGCACCGTAGTATAAATCGTCTACATATAACGGGAATCTAACATTCATAACTTTCTGGATTGTGCTTTTATATTTTTTAATGTGGAATTTTATAGTCATCGCTAAAATTGCTGGACTACAGCAAAGTCCGAATGGAAGACGTTTTAAACCTTAAAACTTTATATTTTTCCTCACTATTCCCGAACCAAAGAAATTTTAAATATTCCCTATCCTTTCTAAGATTCCTATCATTAAAAAGGCCTTAGCTAAATCTCCGCTGAAAGCAATTTCATATTTCCGAAATTTCAAAATTATGTCCAAAACCACGGGGATCAAACTAGGTCCAATGTCTAAAAAATCATTTAAGGACTTTACACCTTTAGTTCTAGAAGAGCTCACGTCGTAAAAATCCTACAATTGTGGTTTCCTTAGGTTTATTATTTCCCTGTGCGGCATAAAATACGATGCCTCTGTTATTTCCTGTGAACACTTCTCAACTATACCCTCCTTCATTTGCTCTTCAATTACGGATTTATACTGCTGATAATCTCAGGATTTCTAATGAGTCTATTTTTAAGACTTTCAAATCGTCTTAATGCTACTCCGAAATTATTTTCTAATTGCCCTGCTTCCGATTTCCATAATAAACTGACATTGTATCTATTACCTTCTACCCGTATTTCCTTTTCAAAGCTGTGAACCATTTCTCTCACCTCGTTAGAAATCGCTGAGTCATCGGTAAGGCCCATCAAATCTAAAGTCCACAACGATCTCAATGAATCAGTTACGCAAGAAGAAAGGTTTACTATTGCCGTGTTTTGAGATACTATTTCGCTCTCTTTATCTTGAAGACCAACTGGGACCCATCCAAACATAGTAGAAATCGCATAAATTCCTTTCCTAATTGAATCTTTTCCCCCTTACCATCTTCCAGTCATAATCCACACCTATTAGAATTCCAACGCTTCCTTTACATAAACAAGCGATTCGCAATCCGCACTCATACATCATTTTAGTGTTTGTTTTGACGGCGTGGTCATATGCGCAGCCGTTATGGCGTCAGTGACGAGACAGCTGATTTTTATTTTGTTCTTTTGCTTCGCATCCGAAAACACAGAATTCGACAACCTTATATGTTTTAGGTACTGCGTATTTCATTCCGAAAGAATAAATAGACAATGTTTCTTCTCCAACAAATTTTAAGTTTAATTTCTTAACTACACTAATATGAACAAAACTTCGTGTAGTACCACAATCGAAAATTAAATTAGTTAACTCTGACTTTCCGTCACAATGGTGCATCGTACGGCAATGTTTGGATTTGTTAAAGTGAACTTCACGAGGAAGGATGTGTCCAGACCATGCCCTAGGTAAGAGCATGATTATTATTAAATTTTGAACTGCCACGCGGGCGGCCCGGGTTCGATTCCCGGCCGATGCACCATTGTGACGAACCTGCATTTTTCCATGGCGGCCCGTAGAGCAATCACAAAACATCCGGTAGTTCAGTTTTTCTAATACTATTTATTATTCGTTATATTTACATATTTACAACTGTCCTATTGTTAGGTGGACTACCTTCACAGAAATCATGTTGCCTAATCAAACGACATTTCGTTTCTACTTACATGCATTGCGCTACTGCCAAGCAGCGTCCTCTACTTCTCTCTTTACAACAATCAATTAGAGATGCAACAGCAGATCTCACTCACATATACAACTCATATAACTCGGATCCCAATTCTGTGAAACGAACTTTGCTGAAATACAAACCATCAGAAAGTTGTGCAAATATTTATCTTCCCATTGTAGTCTTTAGTCAATGTAGTAATTTTGCTGATCATATACTACCATAGCTTCTTGCAGTGGTATGTGAGTGGAGAAATGGAATGGTTATGTACTTGCAAAGCATGTCATTATTCGAAATACTTCTTATCAATCTGGACATTTTCAGGCCTTTCTTTGAAAAAGCTAACAGCTGTGAATGCTGTAATGGTAGAGGATGCCTTAGTTATTAGAATTAGTTAGAGATGCAACAGCAGATCTCACTCACATATACATGACAGACATTTTTTCTGTAATGCCTGTGAAGCTTGATCAAATTTAGCAATTTCAAGATATTTTCCCTAACTAAAAAACCTAATGAAAATACTTTGTTCATTGAACCGAAGCTCTTTCTGCTTACTCATATTTTTTTGCAGATATCACAGTGACTGATAAGGTTGACACAGTACTGTAGGTAACGCTGGAATATCCAAAGTCCTTTATATTGCAGAATTAGTCATGCATTAGAACTTACTAAGCATTTTTTACTAATTTAACTCATTTTATCATATAATCCTTATTTTGTGCTATCATTTTTATATCCACTTATCAAAAAACAAATATGTATTAAATGAACAAGAATTTAAAAGAAAAAAATCTAAAGGAACAAGCTACATATTAATACAGGACAGGATCATTAAATTTAACTTTCCATGCAAATTACAAAAGTTCCATAATTAAAGTACATGAGAATGGTATTAGAAATGTCTTTTATTACAGTAATATAAAAATTATTGATTGCTGTGAAAAAGTGAAAGACATCTATACATATTGTTTTTAAATGCCTCAATGTGTATAATGATTTTTGAGTTAAAATAAGGTTTGGATTAGCAGTAGTTTCTGTTTATTGAATTTATAATAATATAGTTGTTTCTTTGATAATAATTTAGTAAAATATAGTCATAAATTATTTTCATACTTCCTTTTAGGTGCGCTATTTGCTTTTGAAATGTTGTGCAATATGCTGGGTAGGTTATTTGAACCATATGTTGTTAATTTTTTGCCACACCTTTTAAGTTGCTTTGGAGATGGAAATCAATATGTTCGAGAGGTAAGTTCTTCTTTCTTTAGATTGGGTGATATTTGCTTTGCTTATTGAAGGGGACTTGGTACCCCCAAACCAAAGAAATTACCGATTTTTCAATTTTTTGCTAGAAAAATACCTTAATACCCTTACTGAAGAGAAATTTTGAAATGAGATGAAGAAAATAAATGGTATAAAAAGATTTTTAAAAATTTTGATACCTTTTTAAATGCAACACCCCCTCAATGTTTATTTTTATTTATTAGTCCAAAGGAACTTGAGTCCCGAAGGACTATTACTTTCGTTTTGGCGTTTTGCGTGGGACTCATAAATGTCGGTTCACTTTTCAAACTGTTGCCATAAAATGTTAGAGTCCTGCATTATATTTGAAGAAATTAAATAATGAAAATCTGCATAAATGTATATTTCTCACATTGTCATAAAATAACGGTACATAGAGTCATCGAATTTTGAATAACGTAATCCTCCAACGAATATGAGCATGTGGAAGACCAAATTTGAAATTTGTTTTATGATCGATTTCCTATTTTTTAAAACTTTGACGAATTTTTGATTAACAAACTCAAGGATTTCAAAGCAAGCAATGGCAACGTTGTGCAGAAAAAACATTTTTATCTCCAGCGCGTGAGTCTCTGTATCGGAAATTCTAAAGATATGCTCGTTTTAAACTATTTTGCGATATTGCTGTTGCACGGATCTTATGGTTTAAGTGCAAGGAACATGATATTTAATAAAGAAAGGTTAACACACAAAATGTTAAAAAACGCCCTTTGGACGTAATTTAAAATCTGAAACATTTCAGTTTTTTTTTTTTTTTATTTATTTAGTTATTTTTACTTCTTAATTTTTTCAGTAACTTAAAAATCAGTAAAGGAGTGTAATTAAATATGACTGCAACTATCAGCAAACTCTGTTTATGTGTATAACTGATTTATTTAAATACAAAGTGAAGTTGGGGAAAAAATTTTTCACCTTTAAACTGGCAAGTTTATAATATATATGTGTGTGTGTGTGTGTTGTGTGATAAAATCAAACTCAAAAGTAATGACCAGCAGGAATTTTGATGGTGTAGAAGTGTTGATCCATAAAGAATAGGAAATTGGAGGCGAAGGCAGATTAAATCTTCATTTTTTTATTTCAGCAAACATGTTGCGGCCACAAAAAAGTTGGCACATTAAATGTGCTTATTCCAAAAAGCTTACCTTTTAGATAAATTTGCAGTAAGATAGAAGGAGTGAGCGGACAGATAGCAGTCCAGCTAGGCCAAAGTATTGAAAGCAAGTGCATTATGTTCAGGGTGAAATCTTAGTTCAGACTGAGTTAATTTTGGTTCTCAATGTATTTTGATTGAATAGTTAGTACTTCTGTAAAATTATTATTGGCTGCTTTAGTTGTACATCTTCCATTTTCATCATCAGAATTACGTAAGAATCATATGATATAGATTAGTCTCGAAATGACGCAGTGCCAATAGAGGTTACTATTTTTAGATTTGAGAAGGGTTGCTACCTTAATCTTTATTTTTCTTACATATTAAAAATTTTAAAATCTTCTATTCGAAACTTGCTATGGAACCATCTTCATTGAAAAACGTGCATGACATTTGTGGACTTACTGGCATTGAGAGACTTTTAAAAACATTTCATTCGACTTCAACTATTTTTGTGAAAGGACTCTAAAACAAAAATTTCAATTTTCAATGGACATTTTGAAGAAAATTGAGGACTTTTATGATTCTAATTTATTAGTTGGCATTATTCTTATATATATTATTGTCTTATTGTTCTAAATTAGATGTTAGTTATAAATTATATGCTTATATATAAATCATAGATTCCATTATAAAATTATATAATTAAGCATTTTCTAATTATATGAGGAAGAACATGAGTTATGATAGGGCATAGTTAAAGCCTGTAGGCTATGTCCTGGAGGTTTTTCTTCGTGTCTTTCCTCATATTCTAAATTTTTTCTTGCTTCACTAATGTACTAATGCTTTGCTATCCTGGCCTTTCGTTTTGGCTTGGAGGGGGGGGAATGTAAAATATAAAAAGTACGATGGCTTTGCTCTGTGCAAACAGGCAACCTATAATTAACTTTCCTCAAGTTTAGGATTTTCCCCTAGACCAGTACTTTCGAGAACATTCTGGCATGTTATAACCGCTAGTATAAATACCAAGTGCACTCCATTTTTCATCAGACTGCTTTCTTCTCCTGCTGCTGCTCTTCCCATCTGTCTTCCCTTTGTTAGAACAGTTATGGTGTAGAAAGTCTAAATTTAATCTTACTTAGTTTAAATCACTATTGAATATGTAATTTGGAGAATTTCATCCAAAGGAAAAATGATCTGCGATGATAATTGAATAAAGATGTGAAATCTAAAAAGCTGAAGCCTCCTTTGTCATCATTTTGCAGCCTTCCACTCAGCCACAACAATGTCCGGACTCTGATGTAGTTATATCATCAAGCTTTGTCATTCCGGTGCCTGCCTGCCAAAATATTATATATATATATTGAGCTCAACAAATATTTCTATATCTATTACCAGTCAACTTTGCTATGCTTCTTTAAAAATTGGCGTTATTTCGGATAAGAACAGAAAGAAGTAGTGTAATGAAAGTGATCAAGTTCCTGACTGTAGCATTATTGAAATAGTGCTGGAACAAACATTAAACTCTTTAGTTAATTAAAATACACCTAAATTAAATTAAGATGTAATTTATATATGAGAGCAAATGGCTAAAAGAAAAGAAATCACATATGCTGCTGAGTGGTTTTAAATAAATATTTTGTGTCTGTTCATATTTTGCTTTAAAAAAAAATTTAATAAATTGACAAATTAGTATTACTAATATTGATTATAAGTGTTTAAGAAAATATAATTAATTCATGTATTAAAATTGTTTGAACATGTTTTAAAAAACAAAAACAGATAAAGAAAATTTCTACTTTCATTGTATGATTCTTTTATAATATTTCTAGCCAGATAAGGTTTTAAACAAAAGCTTGTAATTTATGTTTATATTAACCAATTGAACAATGCTAGGTTTTATTATATATGTATTGAAATATTAAAATTCACAATAAAATGTTTAAGAAATTTGATATGACCATTCAGACAGTTTACATTCTTTAAACTGCATTTTCTCAGTTTACATTTTTTCATTTTATTCTTTTACTTAAAAGTCCTAAAACTTGTACAGGTATGGACTAAATTATTCAATATTTTTACTGCTCATTTAAAATTATATACTTAATAGAGACAAGGATGGGTTTTGCAAAAAAATAAAAATTATTGGAAGTGAAAATATGATTGAGATCTTTTTTTTTTTTTTTTTAAGTTTAGCATAAAAATGTCCTTTTTATATTTTTTCTCAGAAACTAATTCATTAATTTCAAAATCGATCCTTAAAGTTATTAAGAACACTCACATAAATAGAATAAAAAAATTGGGGGCAAAAACATTTAAAATTGTAGGAGAGGAAAGAATTTTAAATTGTTAAATTTTTCTTCAAAAATTTTTTCAACTTAAAATCATTTTTTCTAATAAAACCACTTAATATTATTCATAAAAAGTAGATGAATGTTCTTAAATAATAATAAAAAAAATCATTCAAAGGTTACCAAGTCTTCTGAAGTGTTATCTCAATTTCACATTTACGATAATTCCCTATTGTAGCATCTCTAAATTGTTTTAGTAAAGGAAACCCTTTTTCATGTCCACTTTTATTATGGAATGAACCTTGCTTTGCACATATATGTAGCTACAATTGGTAAAAGTGACAACTGTTCCTTTCCATCTTGCAGCAAAATATCGAAAATGATTTTAACACAAAAATATAGTGACAGCTGCCTTTTAAGGTCAAATAAAGTTTAAATGGTTATTTATATTGCAGTGGTTATTTATTGTTGGCAGTGGAATATAGAACACAAAATATTAGTTTTTAAAACTTCAGAGATAGAATATAACATGTGTTCTCCATCTGCTTTAACCCTCTGAATGGCCAGGGATTTCGCTAAGAAAGCACAAATTTTCCAAAACTATTATGAGAACAAATTATTTTTTGGATTTTAATGTAAAACCTCTCCTGTTATTTCATACCTGAATTTGTTTTCTTCCATTTAATATATTGGCTTAATTTCTTTGACATAATTTAATATGCACATATATATACGTTCTTACAGATATCGCAAAAAATATTCTAGGCCATATATATATGGCCTTGCCGCTTAGAGGGTTAAATCACATGGTACTTAAAAGTAATGATAATACACCAAGTAAACTTTTAACATCAGCTTCGAATCACGTGGTAGGATAATATTTCAGTTGGAAGGTATGCATAATAGAATGTAGCTGTATTTTATTTCTTGTGTGCGAGACTGTGTATCAGAAATTTAAATGCTTGTTTAAATATTTTATGATATTGCTGTTGAATTGAATTTTATGGTTTAAGTACAAAGATAATGATATATAATAAATAAAGGTAACACACAAAATGTTTAGAAAAACGCCCCTTTGGGCATAATATAAAATCTGAAAGCCTTCAGATTTTTATATTTATTTATCTTTTCCTCCCTTCCCGTAGAAGCATGAAGTTTTATTGCTTTTTTTTTTTTTTTTTTTTTTTTTTTTTTTTTTTTAAGTTACTTTCTTGATTATTATGGAAAAAAAGGACATAAGTTTCATGGAACCCTTGAGTGATCTCCACTGAACTTAAAGGTTCCATGAAACACAGTTTACAAAATGCTGCTCTATATTTTTAGCCCAAAGGGACAATTTACACAGAAAGGCTATTAATTTTGTTTTGGCATTTTGCATTGGTTCACTATAAACGGCATTTCACTTTTCAAATTGTTGCCATTAAATATTAGATCCCAGAGTTACAAGAAAAGAAATTAAATAATGAAGAATCTACAGGAATGTATGTGCGTTCCTTGCACTGTGAAAAAAATATGGTACCTAGAGAACATGAATAACATAGTCCTCCACTTGAATATGGGCATTTGGAAGCCCAAATTTGAATTTGGAATTTGTTTTATTATCTATTTCATATTTTATAAAGCGTTAACAAATTTTTGATTAACAAACTCATTTATTTCAAAGCGAGCAATGGCAACACTGTACGGAGGGGAGGTGTAATCTCTTAACATGCGAGATTGTCTGCGGGAAATTCTAAAGATATACTCTTTTTAAATTATTTTGTGATATTTCTGTTGATTAAATTTTGTGTTTTAAGTGCGAAGAACATTTAATAAATAAAGATATTCCAAACATTAAAAAAGGTGCCGCTTTGGTCATAGTATCAAATCTAATTCTTTTAATATTATCTTTTAGTTTAAAGAAAACTTGTTTTTTATTCTTTCTTTTTTTTTTTTTTTTTTTTATTATTATTATATTATTATTATTATTATTATTATTAACAGGCTACTGATGATACTGCAAAAGCAGTTATGAGTCGTCTTAGTGCACATGGAGTGAAATTAGTTTTGCCATCATTAATTAATGCCCTGGAAGAAGATTCCTGGAGAACTAAAACTGGTGAGTAATTGATTTTCTGACATTGCATATTAATGTCATTAAATAACAATGCTGCAATTTATATTCATTCAAAATTAACAAAATATAATTAAGGAAGATGAAAATCCAAAACATAATTTCCTTTTCTCTGATTTATGTTATAACAGTAAAGCTAAAATAAATACTGAAAAAGAAACTGTCAATAAATCCATTTTTCTTCTAATCTCTGTTTTAAAAAACGGAATTTTGAATATATAATTCCTGTAGGTTTATGCAGTGATGCGTGAGTGGTTTTACTGGGAAGAAGGAAAAGTAGTCTTTGATTATTCCAAAGTTCATACTATGCTCAAAGTATTCAAGAGAACTGGTTTCCAGGAGGGGGGATTTAAAACAACTTTCCCAACTTCTTCAGTATAAAATTATTGTTGTATCATAAATTATAATACGACGTTTAGCTTAAGAGAGCTTCTCCTGGCGCATGCGCTGTTAGCGTTTATCCGCGCAGTGAATGATGACGTAACTGTTTATTACGTATGTACAGGGTGATTATAATTAAAGTTTAAGTTTCAAAACGCTATAAAAAAAGAACCACTGATGAAAATGATGTGAAATTTGAAAGGAATGTTATTGAAGAAGGCGGAAAGCGTATGGCAGAAGAAAAAATTTAGTTTCAAAAGTTAGCAACAGATGGCGCTGTAAGCGGCAGTATCCCGACGAGAAAAGAGAAATGATTCGTAAAACAACGGCTAAGATGGAAGTTACACATAAAAACGCATTGACAAATTAGAATTGTTGAATAATTTTATTTGCATGACTGTACATATCACATCGAAAGGGACGAATCGGTTTCAAGAGTTTTGCGGCGACATACCGCATAAGAACCATTCATCAAAGAAGTTCGGAACTGTAGCGAGACTGGCGCAAAACATGTTCAATATGGTGTCCACCGTTGTGTGCAACAAGTTGAAAGCGACAAACAGCATGTTCCACAACGGATCGCAGTGTCTCCGGGGTGTTGTTAAGAAAGTGTTGCGAAATGCGTGCCTTTAATTCCGCTAAATTTGCAATTGGAGCACGGAACACAACATCCTTCAGATATCCCTACAGCCAGAAATCACACGGAGTAAGATCAGGCGATCGGGACGGCCAGGCTGTAGGGAAATGACGGCTGATAATTCGAGCATTTCCGAAATGGCGCCTCAGCAGCTGCTTCACGGGATGTGCAATGTGCGGAGGAGCGCCATCTTGCATAAAAATGATTTCATCCACACATCCACGCTGTTGCAGAGCTGGAATCGCGTGGTTGCGCAAAAGAGACGGATACCTCTGACCAGTGACGGTTGCGGTAACAGGACCGGAAGCATCGTCTGCTCGAAAAAATATGGTTGTAGGATGAATGATTCCGTAAAGCCACAACATACCGTGACCTTTTCAGGATGAAGTGGTACGGGGTGCGTTGCCAGTGGATTTTCTGTTGCCCATATTCGACAATTCTGGGTATTCACGTATTCTGCCCTGTCAGATGGAAATGGGCTTCATCTGTCCACAAAATTTTCCACGGCCATTCATTATCCACTTCCATGCGAGCCAGGAATTCTAACGCAAACGTCTCCCTCCCTAGCTGTCAGGTCAGACGGAAGAAGAAACTCCTGCACATGGCCAATTTTGTACGGATAGCATTGCAGGATGTTTCGTACAATTTTCAGCACCGTGCTCGTAGGCCTGTCCAATGTTCGGGCAATTCCTCGTGCACTGCACGGTTGCACACCACCGGCCGACCCCTCCTGTAATGCTGTGGCCACTTCTTCAACTACCGTCGAATGCACTCGTTTTCTCCCTCTACCAGATTGCACATCAAACGAACCTGTCGTTTTCGAATTTTTGCATCATTTTCTTTAGACCTACGACACTCATTGGACCAACGCCTTCTTTTATACCCTTCAGTGTCCTGAATTTTTGCAGAGCTACTCTTGCACAATCATCATTCTTGTAATACAGCTTTACCAGCAGAGCGCGGTCCTGCAGTGAAACACCCATGGCGAACGTCTGAGACGCGAAATGAGGAACAACCTGGTACCTGGCGGCTTTATAACACTGAAATTTAACTAACATTTTAATTTACGTCTTCTTCCGCTTGCAGCGCCATCTGTTGCTAACTTTTGAAACTAATTTTTTTCTTCTGCCATACGCTTTCCGCTTTCTTCAATAACATTCCTTTCAAATTTGGCATCATTTTCATGAGTGGTTCTTTTTTTATAGCGTTTTGAAACTTAAACTTTAATTATAATCACCCTGTATGTATATGTATACCATTCTTACTTCTTCGCCTTTTTTCCTCTGTACGCAACTATGTTTTTAAGTTAATTTCTGTCATTAAAAATGTTCATTGATATTACAGTCTATTTAGGCTTATTTATTTCTTCAATGGTTATGGGCCCAGGAGCGTTTCAACTGTGCCTAATTAGCAAAATACTTATTTTAAAATGAACATTTTGAAGTTTTCAAGCATTGAACTCTTAAGCCTAATTCAGTGCAAGAACTGTTACGTCTAATCAACGGTAAGAACTGATCAGCGTTCAGTTAAGCCTATTTTTATAGCGCTCAATCTTGTTTTTTTGGCTGTGAGAGACTGTATTACATTATGTCGCATTTGACTACAATAGAAAAGCTCGGAAAAGATAATTTTGACAGTTGGAAATTACAAATAGAAGCAGTATTGATTAAAAACGACCACTGGGATTATGTAACCGGTAAAGTGCTAAAACCTGCTGAAGGAACCGAAGACGAAAAGAAATGGCTCCAAGCTGATCAAAAAGCTCGCGCAGATATAATTCTTGCAATTAATCCTAGTGAACTGTGTCATATAAAGCATTGTGTGACATCAAATGCTGTGTGGAATAAACTCAAAGCTGTATATGAATTGAAAGGACCTGCGAAGAAGGCTACATTATTAAAACAGCTTTTATTTAGAAAAATGGCGGAAAGCGAAACGATGTCTGAACATTTGAATAATTTCTTCAAAATAGTTGATAAGCTTAAAGAAATGGAAATTGACATAGCTGATGATTTATTATCGATTCTTCTGCTCTATAGTATTCCAGAAAATTTTGAAAATTTTACATGCGCCATCGAATCAAGTTACCTAGTTACCTAGTCCCGAATCTTTGAAAATCAAAATGTTAGAAGAATGGGAAGCAAGAAAAGGGAAAACATCTCAAGATTCACAGAATGCATACTATACTGATTATAAAAGAACAGAAGAAAAATGAAAAATGGAAGGTAAATTCAAACAAAAATTTTCCAGCTGAAAGAAATTTTCGAAACTTGAAGTGTAATTACTGTTCGAAAATTGTGCACAAGGCATCTGAATGCAGAAAGAAAATAGCTGACAGAAAATATGCGCAATTAAATAAGGGAAATCAAGGTTCTATGATGGCTTCTAATTATGAAGAGCAGATTAGTTTAGCTGTAAACAATGCTTATCAGAAGACCTCCTCATGGTGCTTAGATAGTGGCTGTACATCTCACATGTGCAATGACAGAAGGTTATTTTCAGAATTTCACCCTCGAACGAATTCAACCATAAAGTTAGCAGTTAACAAAACAGCAAAAATTACAGGAATTGGAACTGTCCTTATAACAGTACCTAACGGAAATAAGACAATTAAACTTACGCTCAAAAATGTGTTATGTGTTCCGGAATTAAAATGTAATTTGCTGTCAACATCTAAAGCTACTGCAAATAATCGTTCAGTGATTTTTACAGAACGACATGCTAGAATAATAGAACCAAATGGATCTATACTAGTGCAGGATATTCGTCATGGTGATCTTTATTATATACATCCAAGCACTGAAACAGCTGCAATAGCACAGGTAAGTGATTTTTTAAAGTGGCATCTTAAATTAGGTCATTTAAATGAGTCTGATTTGAAAAGACTTAAGTCTGATAACATGGTTAGAAATTTAAATTTTAATAACACTAAATCTTTAAAAGACTGCAAAGTCTGTATCAGAGGTAAACAAACTGTGCAACCTTTTCAAAAAGAATCAAAATTTCAAAGTGATGAATTACTGTACTTGATTCACTCAGATTTGTGTGAACCTATGAGAGTCCCATCCCATGCTGGTTCGCGTTATTTTGTTACTTTCATAGACGACAAATCGCGTTATGTCGAAGTCAGTTTTCTTAAAACTAAAGATGAAGTGAAAAATGCATTCATTAAATACAAAGCTGCTGTCGAAAATCGTCTAGGAGAGAAAATAAAAATCCTTCGGACTGATAACGGTCTCGAATATCGCGGAGAAGAATTTAATAAATATATTCAAGAATGCGGGATTAAACGAGAATTCTCTGCACCAATGACTCCTCAACAGAATTCGAGAGCTGAACGCATGAACCGCACTTTAACTGAAATGGCCAGATGTTTGTTACTACAAAGTAATCTTCCCCAATTCTTTTGGGCTGAAGCCTTGAACTGTGCTGTTTATATCCGTAATCGTTGCCCAAATCGAAGCCTGGGAGTAAACAAAACACCTTATGAGTTATTTTTTGGCATCAAGCCAACTGTATCTCACTTCAGAGTATTCGGACAGAAATGTTTTGTCCTTAATAAAAGGTCTAAAGGGAAATTCGATCCTCGATCAGAAGAACATATATTTGTAGGATACTCAAATGAATCGAAAGCATACAGGCTGTGGAATAAAAATTCCAGAAAAATCGTTATAACCCGAGATGTTAGATTCATTGATGAATTTGAAAACTGTACTAATTATGATAAAGATTTAGAAGTTTTATTTCTCGAAAATATTCCTGATAAAAAGAAGGAAAAACCTCTGAATGTAAATCAAATATCGGCTGATGAAATAACAGAAGACCCCTCAAATATGGCAGAAGCATCTGCTGAATCATCTGATAATGAAAGATTCTGATTCCGAAGCACTACCTGAAATGCAGATTAAAAGGGGGGCAGGTCGTCCAAAGAAAGTCAAGACTGGGAAGCCAGGAAGACCAAAAAAGGAGTACCACAATATAAATATAGAAAAGGAAGAAGCACAAATTGCTGAAGAAGATACAAATCCGACATTAGAAGAAGCATTAAATGGAAGTTATGCTGAAGAATGGCGTAAGGCTATGCAAAGTGAGTATGAAGCACTTGTTAAAAATGGTGCATGGAAATTAGTAAAGCGACCACAGAACAAAAAGGTAATAGGATGTCGCTGGGTTCGGGTTCTTAGAACGAAATATAATGCAGATGGAACAGTTCAAAAGAGAAAAGCTCGATTGGTTGCTAGAGGATTTGCACAGGAACCTGGAATTGATTTTAATGAAACCTTTGCTCCAGTAGCCAGAGCAAGTTCTATAAGAACTGTGATTGCATATAGTGCTGAACAAGACCTTATGTTATATCAACTAGATTTTGTTATGGCTTATGTTAACGGAGATTTAAAAGAAGAAATTTTCATGGAACAAGCTAAAGGTTTTGAAGACCAAAATAATCCTGATTATGTTTATGCTTTGCAAAGTCTCTTTATGGTTTGAAACAAAGTGGACGACAGTGGTATGAAAAATTAGACAAAAAACTCAAAAACTTTGGATTACAACTATTACGATCAGATAAGTGTGTATACAGGATGAAAACATCTCAAGGTGAGTTAATTCTAATTTTATATGTTGATGACTTAATAATAGCAACAAATAGCTGTGATTTATATGCTGAACTTAAAGGTTATCTTTCTAAAGAATTTCATGTTAAAGATTTAGGCAAACTTCATTATTGTCTTGGAACAGAATTTAATCAAGATGTAAATAATAATTCTATTAGTTTATCTCAGCAGAAATATGTTGATAATATTCTACGAAGGTTTAATATGCAAAATGCAAAACCAGCATCAACTCCTTTAGATCCTAGTGTAAAGTTAAATAAAGAAATGTGTCCTTCTGAAACTGAAAAGGAAGAAATGAACAATGTACCTTATCACCGTCTAATTGGTTCGCTTATGTATCTTTCTGTGTTTACTAGGCCGGATATTACATATGCCGTCAGTCACCTAAGCCAGTTTAATAACAATCCTGGAAAATTACACTGGTTGGCTGCAAAGCGCGTTAAAGGGAACTAAAAATTATTGTTTAAAATTTCGAAAGACTGGAAAAGCACTTATTGGATATACTGATGCCGACTGGGCGTCTGATGTTAATACTAGAAAATCGTATATAGGTTACCTATTCAAGCTAGCTGGAAATCCGATAACATGGGAATCACGAAAGCAACAAACTGTTGCATTATCAAGTACTGAAGCAGAGTACATCAGTCTTTCAGAAAGTGCCAAAGAAGCAGTTTATTTACGTCGTTTTCTTAAAGAATAAAATTTTACTGCTGATTATCCAACCATTATATATTGTGATAATCAAGGTGCACAAAAGCTTATGAAAAATGCTGTTTATCACTCACGTACTAAACACATAGATATTAGACATCATTTCATTCGTGAAATTTATGAAAGAAATGAAATAGACGTTAAATATGTACCAACAAAGAAAATGCCTGCTGATGTACTGACAAAAACATTGACTGCTTCGAAACATTCTAAGTGCTGTAAATTAATTGGAATGACTGTAAGTGATTAATGTTTATTTTTTTTTCAGCCGCCAAACGTCGAAAGGGGGATTGTTGTATCATAAATTATAATACGACATTTAGCTTAAGAGAGCTTCTCCTGGCGCATGCGCTGTTTGCGTTTACCCGCGCGGTGAATGATGACGTAACTGTTTATTACGTATGTATGTATGTATATGTATACCATTCTTATTTCTTCGCCTTTTTTCTCTGCTGTACGCAACTATGTTTAAGTTAATTTCTGTCATTAAAAATGTTCATTGATATTACAATCTATTTAGGCTTATTTATTTCTTCAATTATTAATAATAATTTGTTGCATATTTCATAAAAATGCATTATCACCGAATTCAAAAATTGGTATGGAAATCTTACTAGCCTTACTCTAGTGTAAAATTATGTTATAAGAAAATATTATTAATATACATTTTATACTTTTTTCAGTCACTTAATTTTCAGTTATTGTATTAGCTTACAGACTGAGTCTCCTTCAACTGTAATATGTTACTTTAGAATAGGAACTTCCGTCTAATTTTCTGCTGCCTAGTTTATATAGAATTACCATGGTTTAAGTTGTTTAAGCTGTTTACTGTGTTTCACTTTATAAAAGGCAATACCTTGAACTACATTACCAAATGAGATGGAGAAAATGAATGTTAAGTAGTAATGATGGCATGCATTATGTTCGCAAATGGGATTTGGATAGCAACATCCTTGAAGTGCCTATTTTAAAGGAACACTATAGAATTATAGGGTTACTATTAAACTGGAAGCTAAAGTTCTGCAGACCCTACTTGACAGATACTGAGTTATTGCTATGTTTTAAATACTTACAAAGCACTGAAGAAGGTTTAAAATAACTTTTTAATTTTGGTCTTTAGATTGAGCACAACTTGTTGCTGTAGATAAAAACCACCACTTGTGGCTATTTAAATTAAGCAATAATAGACAAATAAATTCAAACAATTGAATAGAATAAACTGGTTCAAGATATATTTTGCCAGCGCACAGTTTAATTCATCAACTATTGAGAATGATAATGCTGGAATATTAGTTTTATGCAGAACTGGCAAGAAATTCTAACAGCAAAACATGATTACCAAAAGCTCTCCTTAAGATTTAAAACCTTTAGTTTTAAATACACTCAAAGCTAATTTTAATTTGCATTCTGGTGAGGAATATGGAAGGGAGAAATCCAAAATCTTAATAATTGGTTAATTGACAGAAGATTATATGTAGTATCGAATCACGTTGTTTAAGAGATGAAAAATTTTCTTCATTATAATTTCTCTTTTTTTAATGCAAAGTTGATTGTTGCAAAATTTGTTACAAACCTGTGTGTTTGATGACACATTTTTAATCAGTTTTATGGGACCTTCTGATTTTTAATTTATATGCTTTATTGTTTGTTTGTTTTCCCCATGTTTGAGATAATTTCTTTATTCCTGAACTCTTCATTTATTCTCTGCATTAGTTCTCACTGGAATGCTATATTTAGAGTGAATTCAGATTAATCAGTAAATTATATGCATGCATGTATTCATAGTTAAAGTAGCATGGAGGCATTTCAAATTAAGTGAAATGGAATTGATTTTTGTTTTAAAGCAAGAAAATGTCTCACATTTATTTCTGTATATCTGATAAATTATGTTTTTGTATTTTTATCATAAAGTTACATCTGCAGATAAACAAATAGCAAAAAATGCATAGTACTAATAGTTTGATTTTAACACTGTGACTTTTAAAGGGTGGTATTTTCGTGACTTTCCATTCGATTAATATAATACTGATATTTTTATGATTTTCTGTATGATTAATATAAACATAGTTTCTTTTAGAAATTCAATATTTTATGTCCTTTTGTACAAACATAAGAAGTCATAACATGAAAACTGTTTTAATGTCTAGTGATTTACAATATTTTATACATTTTGCAGGTCTAAGAAAATTTTACATTTTAAAATACAAAAAATGAATGATTTATGTGAAGATAATACATCTAATATATATGGAGATCTTTTTTATTATTCTATCATAAATTTTAAGCTCTTTTAAAGTAATAAATGTTTACACATTTTTGTAACATATTTTTTTAGGACTTACATTGGTTCTGCAGTTCACTTTAAAAAGTATTCATGTGTATTTCATTATTGTTTATATAAATTATGGTGACTGAAAAAGCTTATGAATTTTAAGACTGAAAAAAAAATTTTTTTTTTCTTCATACAAACATTCTTCTGTTCCTTTTTTATTATGTATGTAACATTCATGAAAATGTCATTTGACTGCTTAAAAGTATGGCTGCTGACTGCTTTAAAGTATTTAATGTCATTTGACTGCCAAAAATGAAATAAAAATTTCTAAATTAAACACAATGAGAACTCCTCATGTATTTATAAATGACTGAGAATTTGTATTATTTTAATTACTGTATTATATATTTATATATTTTATGCTTTCCCTTTTATGTGGACATGGGATTTACCAAGACCTAGATTTTTAATAAATGATTTGCTGCCAAATAGGCATTTTTTGCTTCATGTTTGATTCTCTGCAGAATAATTTTCCTGTTAAATATTTTTATTTCATTTTGTACACTTTGCTCTGTGTTTGTATGCTTAAATATTTGTTCTAGTTGTATGATTAAAAAAGAGAGAAAAAGGACACTATATACCATTTATAATTTATATATATATATATATATATATATATATATATTAGGCTCTATTGAATTACTGGGTGCTATGGCATTTTGTGCTCCAAAGCAGTTATCATCTTGTTTACCAAGTATTGTGCCAAAGTTAATCGAAGTATTGTCAGATTCTCACATGAATGTTCAGAAAGCTGGTGCTCAAGCTTTGAAACAAATTGGATCTGTTATAAGAAATCCGGAAATCCAAGGTTAGTAATTTAAAATATGTTTTGTCTTAGTTTCAAATAACCTATCTAAAATTTTCTGTTAAGTTTTTTAAATATCAGGTATATAAAAAGAATAGTTTGCTAATTTTATGAGAAATAAAATTTGTATGTCATATGAGTGCAGTTAATTCATAAAAACTGAGATTAGGAAAAGAAAACTTTGGTGCTCCTCAGTATCTTCTTTACTTTTTTTTTACCATGCATATACCTTCTTTCTGTGATTTGTATATTACTTGCTATATTTGTAGAGCTTTTATATGCCTTCATTTAATTCTGATGTTCCTTTGGCTTGTATGTTATTGCAAAATCAGAATTGGCAAATTTCTTTTGCAGCCAAAAATAGGGGGGTCTGTGGAAATACGTTTCTTCCGCCAAATTGGAAGAAATGGAAATGTGGTTTGATTTACTTGTTGCTGGCAAAGCTCGCTAAGGCTATTTGTCTAAAGGAAGGTATGCATTCATGAAGAACTTTCTAATGAAAAATTGGCTCGTATCCACATCACACATGGGGCAAACTGGCCTTACAGCCACCCCGTTGACCTGGAATCGAACTCAGGTCGAACTACTGGTTTTCAGTGACTTTACCACTTGTCTGATGTTAGTGGTCCTGGAAGAAAACAACTTTTAAATGTATTTCAGGTGTACATTATTGTATCTGTGTTTATTCATAATTTGTGTTACTACTTTAAGTGGTAATATAAATTAGGAATAAACACAGATACAATAATGTACACCTGAAATACATTAAATACATTACCATTTTCGATATAATTTAAGAAGCTTCAGTATTCTAACCTGTCCCCTTATTTTATTATTATTACTGCGTGTATTTATTTTTGTCCACTCACTCTGAAATCTCTTTTCACGTCTGCGAATATAGACGAAATCTGAAACTGAATTTCTGTTCATATGAATAACAAAAATAGCGAAGTTATTAAGAAAGAATAGAAAACAAAAGAATGCAAAGTGAAATAAAAAAATAAAGGAACTTAAATTACAAAACTGAATCTACATCATCATAAAAACTATTTAAAAAAAGTCCCCCCTCCTTCTTTTATTACATGCGATAACCTATTTTTAAGTTTTGGTATTAAAAAAAAAAAAAAAAAAAAAAGTTTCCTGTTTCGAATGTTGTTAAAAGTGTACTCTTTTGAGTTTAGGGTTAGATTTAATTTTTTTTGGGGGGGGGGGGTTCCAGAAAGTAGGCTCAGTTACCCACTCTAGAAAGTGTGAAGGAGGATATATATTTAAATATGCAGTTGCACAATAAGAAATAGGTTTTATGTATATTTTAATATACAATTCATATGAGGTACTTGCTTTTGCATTGATCATTTCAATATTTTGAATTATCTAGGCAAAAAATTATTTCAAAATAGCTTATTATTAAATATGAGAACTGAGCAAATATAAGTTTGACAAGTAGTACTTGTATAGTATTTTTTTCTGCTCACTAAATAATAAACAAAAGGAAGTTTCTTGAATTTGTAAATTAGACATCAATTGAAATTAAATGCAAATATTATTCCATACATTCCAGGAAGATTATATCATTTTCAAAGTACTATTTTATTGAGAAAAAAAAATGTTTTATAACTTCTGATACCTATAAAAATTCTAAAAATTTAGATTTAACCTCTCTATGTTTATAATGAATACTGCGAGTTTAATTATGAAAGGAAAAAATTTAGGAGAAATAAATCCTGATTGCTGTTATCTCTAATTTTGGAAATTATACAATTTCAAAGGACCTAAATACCAAATCACTTACTTTTACTTTAGATGAAGTTTAAAATACTTCATCTGACTTTTACTTTTGGGAATACCTCATGGGGCTGTGTAAATAACTCAAAGACTTAAGAATAGCTAAAAGAAAATATCAAAACTGAAATTAACTGCACTCATGATATGCTTTTCAAGAAACATCATGGAGTAAGGTGCCTTGAAAGTAAAGTAAAAGGTAGTTTTGACTATGGATATAGATGATGGAATGTTTACGATGTTTATCTTATAAATATAGAGGTTTAAATCTAAATTTCCCCTAGTATTTATCGACTTTAGAAAGTACAAAATGTTTTTCTTAGTTACACGTGTATTGTCTTGATGGTTTGATTCAAATATCCCATTAAAGTGGAACATGAATTCCTCAAAGAGAATCATGCAATAGCTCATTGACATGTTTTGTATCTTAAAATCTAAAGTAAATAATGTGTTGTATAATTTTCAAAAAAGGGCAAATTAAATGAGACATTAAGTGCCATCCATAATGAATGGAGGGATTATAAATTATATTTCAACAGTAATAGGTATTGCATTAAACTGCAACAAAAAATTGAAATCTCCTGTTTAACAAATTGTTATTAATCTTAAAATTCACAAATTTATAATGTTTAATATATTTTATTTTTGTTCACTTTAAATTACTTCATTCCTTGTATCATCCAAAAGAATTGTCTCTATGATCCACTTCTTTTTTAATTCAAAATTAATTTTAATTTTAGAAAATGTTATGAAATTTTAGTTCTTAAGTTTTATAATAAAAGTTAATAAAAATAATAATGATAGTAAATAAATTATTTTGAACCCGTTTTCCCTATTTTTAGCAATTGTGCCAACTCTATTGGATGCGCTCCAAGATCCATCAAAGAAAACATCTCCATGTTTGGCTGCTTTACTCGATACTCGATTTGTACATTTTATTGATGCACCATCACTCGCTTTAATCATGCCTGTTGTACAGCGAGCATTTCTTGACAGGTCAACTGAAACTCGAAAAATGTCAGCTCAGATCATTGGAAATATGTATTCATTAACAGATCAAAAAGTAATGTAACTTTTTCCCTCTTTGTATATTGTCACAAGCAAAATTTTTATATTGTTAGATTATTATCTTTAATTTATAATTAATCTTTGTAGTTCTTAAAATAATTTTTAGATTAAAATTTGTTCTGTGTTCATATTATTGTATAAGATTTTGAAATTAAAAGTTAATATTCCAATCTGTGCATCAGTAAACTGCATTTCAATAAAGTAATACATGTTATTATTTGCAAAAATTAATTCTTAATTTAAATTATATATGCATATATATAGTTACTGAGAAACATTGCATCTTCAAGTTGCTCTCGTGTTCCATTTATTTTAGTGTTAAACATATAACTCTTTATATTGTTGAATTTGGACAGGGTAAATAGCTAAATTCTGAATATTACATTCATATAGAAATCAAAATTTTATAATTACTGTTTAAGATGATAAAAAAGTATTAATTATGTTTTTGCATGTGTCATATTTATAGTATATGTAAAATCTTCTTACATCATTTTAAAAATTAAAGTTTTCATAATGGAATTCGTTGATGCAGTTGAGGAAAAGCTCTAAGTTTTAATGGTTTAATATTCAGTATCTGAAATGAACTCTGTTGCATACAAATAATTTCAATGTGTTTTTAGATGATCCTCTATAAGTATACCAAAGATCATTTATTATTATCTAAACTAGAGTTATGTGTATTATTCATTGGTATTCATTTCACTTCATACACTATATTCTGTTTAATTTCTTTTAAAAAAATTTTAAATATGCTTTTAGAAAATTGCAATCTCTTAAAATATTTCCAACTGTACTAAATCTATTTTTCAATTTATTTTCAGGACTTAGCACCTTATTTGCCAAACATAATACCAGGATTGAAACAGTCTCTTCTTGATCCTGTGCCAGAAGTTAGTATGCATTTAATATATATTTTGCACTGTGTAATGTGATTTATATGCATGTTCTATTGATTAAAGCATGAAATTTTCCATCTTTTCTGATTGGATTATGAATAGTGTTGCAGTAGCTTTATGCATGTAATACATTCTGAAAGAATTGGTGTGATTACATATTTATTTAAAAAAATTAATTTCTTGTTACAAATGGATATGCAAACAAATATATTCATCCAGATTCTTACAAAAGTAATGCTGTAACTTAGGAAAGTAAATACAGAGATTACTTAGTTATTTGAAATGCCTGTGAATAGGAGTAGACTGTAATATTAAAATTTAATGTTACTAAGAGTAATAAGATTTTTCATTATATGGTATCAGTTTATTGTACTGGGAATAGCCATTTGTTTAATAATATATTGAAACAAATAAAAATTTAAAAAAAAAAAAAAAAGAATTACAAAGGCAATAAAAAGAAGTTGGGTGGGTGAGATTGCAGTAAACTCTCCTGTCTAAATTGAAAATGTATCTAACGACATATTCAAATAGCTTATTGACCAGATAAAGATATATTTTAAATAATACAGAATAAGAGGTAGAGAAAAAACGCATTGAATTTTATATTAATACACTTCATGATTGAGTAGCATTAGTTACTTGGAGACTATCAAGTCTATTCACATTTTCCCTCCAGACATTATTAAGCAATTGTGGGGTCACAGTTGCCATTTCTGTGGTAATTTGATTTTTTAATTCTTCAATGCTGCAAATCTCTTTAAAAAAAAAAAAAGAAGAAGAAGAAGAAGAAGTGGTGTGACATTCAGAGAGCAGAGTGACCATGAAATTGATCCATCTCTACCAATCCAGTAGTCTGGAAATGTTTCATCAAAGAAATCAAGTAGCCCAATGACAGGCATCCCCATTCTGTTGAGGAAAAAAATGTTTGGCTGCATTTCTTCAAATTGTTGTATAGCAGACAGACCCAGCATATCAAAGTAAATGTCCAAATTAATTGGTGATACAGAAAAAAAGAAAGAATCAGTCACTTCGTTGTGAGTTAATAAGCACCAAATATTAATTTTTATGCTACCTCGCTCAATTTCCCTTACACTATGCAGGTTTTTTTACATCAAAATGCTACAGCTATGTTGATTAACCTCTCCTGTAGAATAAAATGATGCTTCATAACTAAATATGATTTTTTTTAAATTGATCATCATTACTGATCTGGTCAAGAATGTCCATAGAAAATTCAATACCAATGACTCGATCATTAGGTTTGAATTATTGACAAATATGCAATTTATACATAGTCGGTTAGTTTCAACAGTTTATGAATAGTCAACCTAGGAATTCCAGTTTGCACAACGAATGAATTTGCTGGATCTTCACAGAAAAACATCTGAAGTGATGAAAACATTTTCATCACTGATACTTGGCTTACTTGCAGCTCCTGTATGCAAAACATGTACGTTTCTCATAACTATTTTAACCACATTTTAATAGATTATTCCATCGGTGGAGGTTTATTAAATTCCTGCCGAAATCACCTCTGAACTGTTTTCTGATATTTTGTTTCCCATAATCAGAGAATGTACATTGCTTTTTTACTGAATGATGCCATTTTGTCTGTAAACAAAAAGTTCCCTGTTCCGTTCCCAAAAATTAGAATAAATGAAATTCCTGGAAGTAAAGAAAATTATATCCGGTTACTTCATAAAATTAAGTTTCAATTTGATTTGTTTTCCGATGATGTGTAGTGGCTAAAAATATTTTCTAAATTAAAAATCAACAAACAGTTTACTTATTTAGAAAAGTATCTTTATTTAGGAAAAATTTTGTCACTTTCTTTAAAGTCATAAAAATAATATTTTATGCATCATTCTTGAAACTTGCTTGGCATTGTATTTTTGAAATAAATCACCAAAATTTAAAATTACTTTTGATTTACTTCAGAATTATGTGTTTTTAATGAATACTAGAAATCTACGAAATTAATTATTCATTTAAAACTACTTATACTTTTGCTTCCATAGGTTCGAAGTGTGTCAGCACGAGCATTGGGTGCCATGGTAAAAGGAATGGGAGAAAGCAGCTTTGATGACCTATTACCTTGGCTCATGCAAACCCTTACATCGGAGGCTAGTTCTGTTGACAGGTCTGGTGCAGCTCAAGGTAAGATTATGAATTAAATAAAATCTCTAAAAGATGGAAATACTTGCCTGATTAAGAATTTCTAAATTATTTCTTAGTGTGGTGAGACAGAATGATTTTTTTACCCATCTGTTTCAAACAATTTATACGAAAGCATTTAACTTAAATTAGTACATGTATCAGTTAATTAATCGTATTGTTGAATTTAAAGTTTTTTTTTTTTTTTTTTTTTTTTTTTTTTTTTTTTAAATTTTAAATGATTGAAAAAATACTCTGCTATAGTAATACAGTCAAAAGTTTGCTATAGTAATACTCTGCTATAGTAATACAGTCAAAAGTCGTTAATCCGGACTTGTCGGGACTTCGGCGATTCTGGATTATCAATTTTTCCGGATTATAGATCATTAGTTTAAATCTGGTAAGATGGCATGCAGAAATTATAAAATTAAAAATATGAAACTGTAATTTATGAAATAAAGAACAATTATGATCTAAAGGGTATCAAAATTTACAAAAAAAAGCTTAATATTTATTTGTTTACTTTATTAAACATTTCTTTTAATGTAAGTTGTTTAAGTTGCTTCGTTTTTTATGTGATAATACTTTCTCTTTAATTCTATAAACAGACATCATTTCTTGTTCAGTTACAAAGTTTCGCTGTTCAAGTCCTATAATTGCTGTGTCGAGAATACCGACTAATTTGTCAATCGAAATTTTTTCGTTTTCAATAACCTCTGTGTCACTTTCTTCGCTATCAGAAGGGAATTATAATGAGGAGGAATTTGATTTAAATCGAATCAAAGACGGAGTACATCGAGATAAAATACTACATTTAGTAAGGAATTATAAGCCATGTAAAATAAAAACATCTGCCCTGAAGATAAGGATAGTGCTGACAGATCAATTTCCAATTCATTGCGCACCGCGTCGTTCCCCCCAGCTCATCAGTAAACATTACAGAATTCCTTTAGGCTTTGTTGAAAATGACCCAATTTTATGGGCCTCTAAGATTTCTCAAATAAAATTCATGCAATGGTAAAGCAACTGATTTGAGTTGCTGTGACAGCTTAAAGGTCTAAAACCACACTTCTTAGTTCACTTCATAGTTTCTTCAGGCAAAAAATGACAGAAAACTGTCTCCAGTTGCTGTTGGGTGCCCTTACCAGGCTGTCTATAAAATGATTTGCTGCTTAAAAACCAATTTCAAGTTCTTCATAGGGAAATTTGAGATGTATTTTATTCTTGAGCAACCTTGATTTCCCCCCTTCTAATTCTTCCAATTAACCATTACTTTGGCCCTTCACTTGGTGCCTTTGAGTCATAATTAATGGTCCCTCACAGAAATCCCATTTATTTTGAACGATAGCGCAACCCCAAATTCCAACATGTGTCCTTTGTGCAGTTTATTGTTGGTTATCTAATTTGCATATTTTATATGCTAATAGAAATTAGTCTTCTAATTACAGAATTCCAATTTTGCATTCAATTTCTGTTAATTAAAATAATTAAACGTTTGGGTATCGATGGAAAACTTTGACCTGTGAGCATATTTTTTTCAGCTTATCCTTTCATTTTAATGAGCAGTGTAGTCTAAAAATACATGAAACATTTTGCTGTTGTTATTTAACTGTAGAGTTTATTCAAAAGCTTGTTCAGTTGTATCATAATTAAAGAATGCTTTTATTGTATTAATATAAATTATCAGTAATTTATTTTAATATGTTCTGTAATCAGCTGCTAAAATTTTATCACCCTTTTTCCCTCACTATTTCAACATTTTGGCTGTGTTTTTTAAAATAATATGAACTTAATTTCGTTCTTATGAGATTGCTTGCATACATTTTTAAATTTTAATATTTATGAAAGCTTATTTATATTTGATCCATCAAATAAAACTGTTGTGCATTATGTATGTGGTGTACTTTATCATTAAAATACTAGAATTTAATTTTTTCACTGATGTAACTGTTTTAACACGTTTGAACCGAGTTCACAAAGAATCTTGAATTGAATTCATCTGTAAGCAGTTCTGCTTCATCCAAATTTGCACTGGAGTTCATTCTGACTAAGTTTTCTCTTTTGCATGTTGAAAAATATCAGTGGGATACATTAAAAAAGAAAGAAAAATTGTTTTTAAATCTGAAGGCTTTCAGATTTTAAATTACATTTAAACGGGGTTTTTTAAACATTTTGTGTGTTACCTTTATTTATTAAATATCGTGTTCTTTGCACTTAAACCATAAAATTCAGTTCAATGTCACAAAATAATTTTAAAATGAGCATATCTTTAGAATTTCTGATACACAGTTCCGTACGCTGGAGATAAAAAGGGGTGTTCCCCCCCCCACCATAGAGTATTACCATTGCTCGCTTTTAAATCGCTCAATTTGTTACTAAAAAATTTGTTAAAATTTTACAAAATGTGAAATCGATAAAAAAAAACAAATTTGGTCTTCATGCCCATATTTGTAGGAGGATTATGTCATTCAGAATTTGATGGCTCTATGTCCTGTAGTTTTATCACAATGCGAGAAGTAGACATACATTTATGCAGATTTTTCATTATTTAATTTCTTCAAATATAATGCAGGACTCTAACATTTGGTGGCAACAGTTTGAAAAGTGATTCACAAACGAAACAAATCGTAAAAGGAAAATAATCGTCCTTCAGAGACAAAGCCCATTTGGTCTAAAAACCCAAACCCACATGTCCCTTAAGTACAATATACTTAAACATTTATACTTTTGCTTGTTACAATAGTAATTTTATATTATTTCTTTCAATAAATCAGTTTATCACCGTAATAAATGTAAATATTTACCATTTAGAAGAAACAGTTTTCAATTTAATTTAGAAGTTAAACAACAAAAATCAGCATTATATTTTCACAGGACAAGTTTCGACGATTTTTACCAAACCGTCATCCTCAGCTGCCAAAGCGCAAATGAACGAGATAAGATAAGAATGGCTGGACAGGAGTTAAGCTATTGGTGCCATCTGTTGATGAAACAAGAACTAAAACACAATTTCCTTAAAGGCTGAAGGCAAAGATGGATTGGAATTAGGGTTGTTAACTAGAACATAAAGATTTGGTTTTTTTTTTTTTTTTTACTTCTAATTAATACTTGTTCAGCATGTTATTCTATCTTAATCTTCAGTTTCTTCTAATGCAGTAATGCTAGAACTATACACATGTAACAATGGAAATTTAGGTTATGAGATACAGTAATGAACACAAAGTTAGTCAAGTATATAAAAACTATTCTTGAAACACCTACATGTAAAAATATAACATAAAAGGGAACTTATTTGTAAAATTGAAATAAGAATAGCTGTGGCTGGAATTTATATGTCCCATTAAGCCCGATGAGTTAAAAGAACATCTTAATAGTTTTATTTCTGTATTGCAATAATTATGTAACTTACTAATCTATACTAACTATACTTGTATCTATATTAACTTCTTTTTTGCTAAATATCCTGGATCAGTTTAACATTTCTTTTGAAAATTATTTTTAGTTAAAATATACCCATATCATGATAGTATTTAATTAATTAATTTTTATTGGATCCATCCTTAGGATTAAGTGAAGTTATTGGAGGATTAGGTGTAGAAAAACTTAAATCCTTTATGCCTGAAATTATCAGCACAGCAGAGAGAATGGACATTGCTCCACATGTTAAAGATGGCTATATTATGATGTTTATATATCTTCCAATGGTTTTCAAGAAGGAATTTACTCCATATATAGGGCAAATTATTAATCCAATTTTAAAGGTAAGTTATGGTTTAAATTGATTTAATGTATGGTATTACCTCTATATCCTGATGACAACTTTTAAGACATTGTTAATTATTATTTAACTGCAGTGTGAATATATACACACATTTGTAATAACAGCTTGTCATCTAAATTAATAAAAAGTTATGTACTTTAGTAAACTGATATTTTTAAATGGTCACCATAGATAGTGTTTTGAAAATATATATATACTGTTCCCCTCATTGTTTTACCATTTAAAGAATATTTTTTTCTGCTTGACGCTTATGAATTAACATTGTATGTTACATAAGAAAAATGTGCTTCAGTATTATTTAATATTATATAAATATCCCTTTTCATTCTTTCATATATTTATTTACGTATTAATTTTTTAAAAAAAAGTTGTGGTAATTCCCACACCCACCCCATTGTTGTTCCTTTTACCCCTATTTATTTCTAATTTTAACTTTTTTAAATGCATGATATAAATATCATGAACAGGTTTGATAAGTACTCATTCACACTCATGTCCATAAATTAAGGATATTTCGAAGTCACGTGGAAATCGAACTCTAAAATAAATATGTCACCTGTAAAATCACTTCACACATCTTCAAGACTCGTATGCAAATTTCAGGAAGTAACCAGATGACACCGATGGTACGTCACAATGACGAGAGTGTAAGAGAGTGATATAAAAGGAATACAGGCAAAGACGTAAAATTGTTCGCAGGAGCTTTATAAGCATTTCAGTGCAATAACCGAATAATTAGGACACAAAGGACGCATTTGGATGATTTTTTATGTGGTAGAATTATCGGCCATCCGGAATGTGGGCGTACCCAACTGGTAGTATCAGATGAACTTGGAATTGCCCAGAGTGTCATCTCCAGGCTTTGGCAATGATTCCAAGATGATGGTAATGTGAGTAGATGTTACAGCACTGGTCGCCCCAGAGTTACAATGCCGAATAAGGACTGGTATTTGGCAGTTACTGCCTAAAGTAACAGGCGGAGCACAGCCTCAGACCTGTCCCGTCAGCTCTCTTCAACCACTGTTATGACAATTTCAAGGCAGACCATGTACAGACGCTTAGGACAGATTGGTATATATGCTCGTAGACCTGTCAGATGCGTTCCACTTACTGCAACTCACTGTCGCCTGCGGTTATCCTGGAGTAGAGAGCATGCATTATGGACACTGCAGTGGGCTTGTGTGATGTTTTCCGACGAGTCCAGGTTTAGCTTGCAGTCTGATTCTCGCTGGACTTTCATATGGAGAGCTCCAGGTACCCGTTACCACCAAGAAAACATCATTGAAAGACACCGTTACGGTGGTGCAGGAGTGCTCGTTTGGGATGGAATTATTCTGGGTTCCAGAACTGACCTGCATGTTCAAATTGGAACCATGACAAGCCAAATCTATCGGGACGTCATTCTGGAACAACATGTACATTTGTTTAGGGGTGCCATAGGCGCACAATTTTGTGTTTATGGATGACAACGCCCGTCCTCACCGTGGGAACATCGTAAGCGAATGCCTTCAATCAGAGGATATCACTCGTATGGACTGGCCAGCATTCTCACCGGACTTGAATCCAGTAGAGCACGTGTGGGACATGCTTGGCCGACGTGTTGCAGCCCGTCAACCTCCTCCTACATGTCTACCGGAACTTCGGAGAGTATTGCTTTTTGAGTGGTGTGATATCCCCCAAGATCAGATCGATAATTTGATACTCAGCATGCCTAGGCGTTGTACGGACTGTATTGCATCATCTGGGAGACATACAATGTATTAACAATCATACCAACCATGTAATATTGTTTTTTTGTAAATAGGTATTTTTTGTAATTTGCTCCAGGGAGAAAAAATGGCTAATATTTTTAATAATATCAAACATATAGCACCTTTTGTTTAATAAATAAGCTTTACAAATAAGTCAAATTTGTTTTGCTTCTAACTCTTCCTTTGCCTGATTTTGCATTATCCTTAATTTATGGAGATGAGTGTAAATATCTATATCGTAGCTACTAACTGTCCTAGCTTTACTATGAGACTTCCATTTTTTCACCGCAATAACTAGTCTCGTGGGAGATACTGAATCACCTGATTTTTAATTTTTAGTGTGAGGAAAATGTTTCCCACTAATAAATTAAAGAAACTTAAATTATGCAAATTATATCACCTAACAGCTTGAGATTTTCAGCATTATTTTTCTTATTAAGTTTTATTTCATCTGAACTATCCTAACCTACTGTAGACATTTACAGAACATTTTATGAAGATTTAACAAAGTTCAGGTAACCGAGAGTAAAAATTGGGAGTAGTTAATTGCTTTAATTTATTCATTTCCCATTTACTGATAGGTCCTTAAAAGTACTTAATTTCTGTGTGCAGAAATGTGTATGAACCCTGTATAGCCTCTTCATTTATTACCACTTCTCCACATTTCATCACAGCTTCCATTAATTGGTAAATTTCACCTTTTGTTTGCGATATCTGAAAATCTTCAAAACCACGGCTATCATTATAAAGTTTAGCTAGTGTTTGCTGTTGACAATCTATTCTGAGTTTAGTGACTAAAGATGTTGTTCTGCTAAATTTTGTCTTGCTTCTATCGCATGTCGACAAAGTTAGGCCTGAATTACATTAATTTAGTTATTTATTATACTCCTGCACAAGCTCAAGTGTTATCTGAGTTCAAAATGACTAAACAGATGCTTAAAATGTATACTTAAAACTTGTTCAAGGCCAGCACTACACATTTTATGGCCCAGTGTAGTCTCTGCTGCTGCCAAGTGCCTTCCTAAATTCTAAAAATATTTTCACCCCTAATTTTGCATCCTTTGCTAAATTCTAAAGATTTTGCCATCTCTTAATTTTGTTGCTCAGTGCATCTCTAAATTCTAAAAATTTTGCTGCCTGGTATGGCCACATCAGCTGTGGCACCAGTCCTAGGCTTAACTGAATAACAAATCAGGTATTCTTATTTCAAACTGCCTTAATTGTAATCTTTTAGCCTACCCTCTGAATATATTTATGAAATTATTTTTATTTATCAAGTATATGGTGTAATATTTTATTATTTAACAAATAAGTATATTTATTATTAACAACGCCATATTTGTATCTTTTAACCGTTGCTCAGTATCATAAGAAATTGTTATTCTGAAAGTTTTATCAGCTAGTAGATGTATGAAAAATTTGTAACTAAAAGACTGTATTCAAATTATGTATCTCTGTAAGCTAAAAATAAAGTTTATGTTTTACTAAGAAGATAATCTGTTGTTTTGTCAAATACTGCAAAATATGTTACAAGGGAAAGAATTTTCTATTGAATTTCTCCTGGTCAACATACTCAACACTTAGCAGCAGTTAGCTATATCTGTAATCGTCCACAAGCATTAAATACCAAACAGCATGCCATAGTATATGTAGAACACTCAATGGCATGATGTTTGATATTTAATTATTAATATGATGGCATGCTGATACATAAAGATGGCATACTGTATGGCATTTAATTACTGATATTAAAAATAATAATAATAAATGTATTTAAACTTTACAATATCCATATATTAAAAAAAATTTGACATTAAACAATTCATTCATATGTGTACATAGTTCTCAGTTTTATTCCATATTTATCATTATCCTTTTTCTGTTCAGGCTTTAGCAGATGAAAATGAATATGTTAGGGACACTGCCTTGCGGGCTGGCCAGAGAATTGTGAACATGTATGCAGATACAGCCATTACACTTCTATTACCTGAACTTGAAAGGGGTCTATTTGATGATAACTGGCGAATAAGATACAGTTCTGTTCAACTTTTAGGAGATCTATTGTACAAAATATCAGGTAGGTGGTATATTAATTATTTAGGCGTATTTAGTTTTCAATTTATTTTTGTTATAGAATAAACGATGGACAGGTAATTTTTTCTTTTGGGAATGGGAGTGAGATTTTGAAAATTCTTATTTATAAGATCTAACTGGTCCATAACTTTATTCATGGTGTTCAGGGATAATTGTCATGTGAAATTTGATTCGGGGTGTCATAACAAGAAATGTTTCCAAAGCCTGAACGGAGCTATCTCAGTGGAAATTTTTTGCATTTGTATATTATTTAAGCTGAAAATTACTTTAAAATAATTGCTAAATATATCACAGAATAAACAACAGGTTACTTCCTCAATGTAGAATTACACAATTTACATTGCTTCAAAACACTTATTTTTGTTTTTTCTTTCTTTTTAAATGATTTTAAATTTTTTATCTTCTGAAAATGCTGAAAAGTATGAGTGTTCAGTTTACACTTTCAAATTAAAAAAGGAAGGAAGACTGGGAAAATTGGGAGGGAACTGTGTTAAGAAGTTATGTGTCTCTCACAATTCCAAGGTAATGAAGTTGTGGGGAGAAGATGGCAATGCTCTGATGCTTCTTTTTGAAAGTTAAAATGATTTTTACCTCTAAACTGGAAAAAAAAAAAAAAATTTTTTTTTTTTGGAAAAGACAGTTTAAATGGATATTAGATAGGGATTATTGTATGTTCTTATTCATTTGTTAATTTTGCAAAACTGATAGTTTAACAAAGCTGAAATAAATTTGGGGATTTTGGCATCATTTATTTTTTGAGGTTCAGTAATAAATAAAATTAGAAAAAAGGGGGCCTAAAACGCCAATGATATTTTGCAAAACTGATAAACAGATGACTGTATTTAATTCTCAAAATTGGGGGGGAAACAGTTAATAAAAATTAGAGTAACTAAGGCTCCTAAACGCTAGTCAATGATATTTTTTTTTGTGATTAGTGAGTAACATGGGTTACACATGCGGAAAGAGTAACGCAAAAATAAATTAAATGCTGAAATAAATTGGCTTTTCTCATGAAGTTTATTAGAATCATCCAATTATCATATGAAAAATATTCAAACTAGAAATAGCTTTGTTGGTTGCCATTTGAAAACGGTGTTTTTAGAATAAGAATTCTTTTTCTGCAGAAACGCTTTTTGGAAAGATTTTCATTAGCATAGTTTATGACAATCCAGAAAGCATAATAAATTTTATTTATTCAATCGGTTAAGCTGATCAGCTGTAGGTGTAGCTTGCTATTTTTCATCTCTGTGGCTTTTTCAATCAACCTAATATCTCTATAAAGTGAATATGTAGGGAAAATATATATATATATATATTTTTTTATGCTGAAACCTGTATGTATGGAAGTATATGTCTGTGACCAAAGGTTGTGAAAAAAAGGCCAGGTAAAAACTTCTGTGGACATGGTGTATATATGTATAGTATACAAAAGAGAAGTATCTCAAAACCCATTCAAACAGATCTTGATAAGTGTTGTGTCTGTTGGCCACCTGTAAATTAACTCTGTTATTCTTATGTCTTTTTACAGTGTTCTTGAATATTAAATCTGTCCTTATAACAGTTTTTTTATAACAGAGGCCTTATTTTTAGAGCAAGTTTTATCAGTAAAATTTTTAAACATTTCTTATTGTGTTTTATTTCTATATTTAACTAACTTAAGAGACATATTTTTTTAGAAAATTGTGCTATCATGCTGTTCTTTTAAGATGAGGAATGTCTTTTGTTTCTCAATTAAATCATTGTTTTAATTGATTAATTAGGTGTGTCTGGTAAAATGACAACAGAAACAGCTGATGAAGATGATAATTTTGGAACTGAGCAATCCCACAAAGTAAGTTTTCCCTTCCGTACAATCAAGTAAAGAAAGTATACAGTTACTGCAAATTAATTCTTTTTAATTAAAAATCTAAAGAATATTGTATTGCTTCTATGATTTGTGTTTAAAATTTGTTTGTTTTAATAGGCTATCCTCGGATCTCTTGGTTATGAGAGGCGTAACAGAGTTTTGGCAGGTCTATATATGGGAAGATCAGATGTCGCTCTTATGGTGAGGCAAGCAGCATTACATGTATGGAAAGTAGTTGTGACAAATACGCCACGAACTTTGCGGGAAATTCTACCTACCCTGTTCTCATTACTCTTAGGTTGCTTAGCTAGCAATAGCTATGATAAGCGTCAGGTATAGTTTATGAACTTTTCTGAAATCATATATATTTAAAAATATTTTACTGTACTAGATTTCCTCCCTTTCTTTTTGAATGTTTATTTTTATGTTATATATATCCATGTTGTTTAATTTATGCTGTATAAATAATGATCATGTAAATGTTTGCAAATTCAAAAAAAAAATTAGTTTTGTGATTATTAAATTTTAACATTTTAGCAGTAGCGTGTTATACATTTCAGATCTCTCTCTCTCTCTCTTTTTTCCATAGATATAAAATTTAGCAAATTGTAATGTTCTTGAATTAAAAATTTATTATTTTTAAAAAGTGGCTGAAAGCAGGTGCAGAAAAAAAGTTCTTTCATTAGGGGACTTGAATAAATTTGCTGTCCTTTGAAATTGATTATAGTTTATTTTATTGATGATTCTGTAAGCAAAATTTTCCTGTAAAGACTATAAAATTCAAAAAGATGTAAATTTAACAATTAGGAATTTTCTTTAACATAAGCAAGCATACAATACTGTAGTTTCTTCTTAAGCTGCAAGATCAGAAACAATGTACTGAGTAAATGCAGAAATCAACTAGGATATTTTCATATAGTACTAGAAATAAAAATCATAATGTTGACCGCTTAAAAAAAATTAAAAAATGGGATTCCTGTGTCCACAGTGAGTAACAGTGGATGATTTATGAATTTCTTTTTCCTGTGTCCATGTTTCATGCTCCTTGATGCAAAATTTCAAGACTCGCCTTTCTTGATCAATAAATTTTGAGTTGCATTGGCAAGATCTGCTAGTGGAGAAAAGTAAATGAGAAGTATTTATGGAATTAAATTCTTAAAAAGTAAAGGGTTAGAATTTGGATTGTTAATTGGGACAAAGATCTTTTTGGATGTAAAAAGTTTACAGTGAATCTAATTTGGAAACAAAAACAAAATTCCTAAGTGAAGGAATTGGAAGTGGGAGAAAATTAGAAAGTGGGATTTTTTACAGTGGTGCATAATAAATGATTTAAAAGTTTTTCATTTGTCTAAATTTTAGGCTGCTTGATACAAAATTTCAAGACTAACTAACCAGTATAGTTTATGTTTTACTGGCAGGGTCTTCTTTGATATCTCTGATGTTCATAAGTGAAGTAAAGTTTGAAGTATAAATTGTATTAGTAGTGAAAAGAAAAATATAAGTTAAACATGTATAAAATGTAGGGCTCGTCCCTTTCTTCCTATTAAAATATTGAACTATTTATATTGTATTTATTTTATTATTGGGATTTTTCCTGCAAAGTTTCCTCATTCACTTTTGTAATTATTTGCGCTTATCACTAACAGAATGGCTAAAGTCATGGAACTGTTTTTTAAACCAAATGAGTTAGCTGCATGTTTTTCTCTTGATTGTGTAGCACACGTCTAAACCAGTTTGCTTTCAAAAGGTTCTCCATTAAGGTATCCTTTTTCCGTATACGGGATGAATCTGAACAAGTGGGCAAAACTTTGGGGAATGATAGAAGTCAGCTATACGAGCGATATTGGTCATAGAATGATGCATGGTCAGAACGCAAGTGGTGAGAGGTTAAAAGGCTCCACTGGCAGATTTAAAGAATTAACTCAAGAATGAGAAGAGATAATTCAGAAAACATTTTATTATCATACATGCTCATAGAAATTGCTCAAAAAACCTTCCACCAGCTGTAATGCAGTCTTCACACCTGCAGGATAGGGATTGACGCACATTTGCAAAAACACCAGGCATATCTCGAATATCGCCAACAACAACAGCGATCCTGGCGACTAGATCCATATTGGTTTCAATGGGGCAGTCATATATTAGGCTTTTCATGTGGCCCCACAGGAAAAAGTCCAAACACGAGAGATTTGGTGATCTTGGTGGCCAAACTGGGAGCAATCCATCATCAATCCATCATCCTGGAAATTTCGTGGTTCATATAACCTGCAATACAGGGTCGAAAAAGCCATTGGATGCGAGGACTGACCGTTTTTATATCATTTATTTGCTTTGCCACCTAGCAGCTCTCAGTTTGCATTCTGATCATGTATTCCATGACGAATATTGCTCGTATAGCTGCCTTCTATAACCCTCTAAAGTTTTACTTACTTGTTCAGATTCACCCTGTATTTCTTAAATACTTTGCTATAATTAATTACCTTATTCAGTCTTAACTGCAATCGCTTGCAAGAAAAAGTGTACAAAAATTGGTGAGTTTCAGTGAAGTCTTCAAGATGCTTCCAGTTATCTCACAGAACAGAAAAACTGTGTGGAACAGGGATGGCCAACCTTTTGGGGAAGAGCGCCACTATCTGTTGGAAAAAAGAAAAAAATTATGCCTGCCACTTCCAACACTCTAAAAAATATTAAAAGCCCAAAGTATTTTATTTGTAAGCTGATTATAGGATTTTTTTCCTGAAATAGCACATTTTTTTTTAATGTAAGCCTGAGTAATGGACATTTAAAAAATAATATAATAAATAAAACAAATGTACAAACTAGAGTTTTATTGTTAATAAACATTTTTAAATGTTCAGTCAGTTATGTATAAAATAAATGAATAATTTGGAATATTTAATTCTACATGGCTATTAAACAATGAGTACCTAAATGTAGTTTTGGATTATGTAGTTTTTTTTACCGAGTCATCTATATTAGGATTAGTTCTTGAAGATGCTAACAAAATTAGGTCTTTTAGGTACATATCAGTCAATCTTGAACAATATTTTATGTTCATAATCTACAACAATATCTGACAGCCAAATTATGTAAATTCGGGAACTTGCTTGTTGGTACAAATTTCAAAAATTCAATATGGTTTGGATCACTTTCAGTTCAAGTAAATTCCTTGTATTTGCTTTTAAGTGTAGTATACTGCTGTAGGTCAATAATTTCAATTTGGATTTCAGTTGGGTAACAATTAAAATCTGTCATAGAAATTATTATATTTATTCTAATCTGTTTGTGTACCTATTGATGAAGTTGATACAGACATTATTATTTTTTAAATCTTTTAATTTTTCAATGAGTCTTCACGTGCTGCTTTTAAAAGTTCACCATGACACCCGTGCCAGAGGTTGTTACTATAGCAAGGACTAAATTTAGATCCAATATTAGTAATGACACATTAGAAAAAATTTTATTCGCAATTGTAGGCCTACATGCTAGGAACAAAATTAAGAAATTTCTTAATCAAAATCTGCCACTCTTCTGAGCATTTGTATGAAAACTGATTAAAACATTTTTCTGTTAAAAGGGGCAAATAATAAAACTACTTTTTTTACATGTCGGTGTTTTTGTACTGTTTGCATTTAAGAATTAGTAACTGAACATTCAGATATTAATTAGTTACTTTTTAAAGTTAATTTTTAATTCATTATTAAAAATAAAATATAAGATAAAAGGCATATTTTTGTCATTTCAAAAGTCTTTTTGTCATTGATAAAATTCTCCTGATTTTTTAATATCATTGGTTGGCAAGTATGGTCCGAGTCATAGTTGAACACCCGTATTTAAAAACTACTTGTCAAGATAATAGTGGATGGAATATTCAATGGAAAGAAATTTATTTTCACAGTGTATGAAAATATTTATAATTGTTGTTCTCTAATTATTGATTTTCTTTTATCATAATATTTATATTTTTAATTCCTATTATAATATAACATTTTTGCAATCAATTCAATATTTGAAGGTATTAAATCACATGAAAACATCTTTCTCTAATCTTAAGAGCAGGTTACTGTTAAGAAATATGTAGTCTAATTCACACATTCAAAATAACATTAGCATATAATTATTCCTGTATATATTTTTTTTAAAGGTTGCTGCTCGAACTTTAGGTGATCTAGTTCGTAAACTTGGGGAGCGTGTCTTGCCTGAAATTATACCAATACTTGAGAAAGGTCTGGATTCAGATCGTCCAGATCAAAGGCAAGGAGTATGCATTGGTCTGAGTGAGATAATGGCATCTACTAGTAGAGAAATGGTTCTTACCTTTGTTGATAGTTTGGTGCCAACTGTGAGGTGAGTTGTCCAAATTCATAAACAAGTTTTTAACTCACTAGTAAATTAATACTAATCATTACTAAAATCTATTACTATTATCAGTAAATTAATACTAATCATTGTATGTATATTGATGTTTATTTATGGGTGAACTTTAAAAAAGTTTAGTTAAAAAATATAATGAAAAAAATGCTGTTCAGCATTTTTTTATACATAATTTATTGGATTCTTAATAACACTTGCATTGATTTACTTTTGTATAGCCTTTTAAAAACCTGAAATTGCTATTCAGATTTAAGAACTACTTGTATTTTATGCTTTAAATACAGTTTAAAAAATATTGATGAGTCTGAGATACAAATGGTTGGACTAATGCAATTAAGGACAGCAGCACAAGAGTAACATGGGTAACTGATTCATAATGGGTTATTGAAAATGATAGCTATGATCTGGGATATGAGGTGTTTAGTTTGCTGTTCCTAGAATTGTAATTCATTTTAAAGGAATATATATATTTAAAAAAATTCTTGATTATAATATATCATATTAGTAATAATAACAATAATAAATTTATAGTATGAATTGGTTTCCATGGTATGAAAAGTAAATAGGAATATCAGATAATTAGAAATCTAATCTATGATTTTTGTTTATTAAGCAAGAATATTTTAAGTATTTAGTTTTTTTATATAAATATCTGAATACGTGGAAATGTGACAGTATGTAATGCTCATGTAACACTACTGTTTTTGGATTCTCTTTTCATGCAGGATAACAGTTTTCTGCAAAACTTTATCTCTGATTTTTACTGAAAAAAATTTTATGATGGCCACTATTGCTGGGATTGAGTTGTTTGTAAACCAAAACATTCTGTATTAGTATTTTCTTCTGTAAAATTTAAGTATGTACCAGCATGTTGCTCTTAAGGGAGGGAGAGAGAGTATTTGTCCATAAAGCATCTAGCTACTGATTTTTCTTTAGACCTTTATAATAATTAATCTTTAAAAACATTATTACAAATGTTGATTTATTTAAAGATATTAAAACCCTACTTTGGAATTTACCATATTTGCTGGCATATAAGACGCACCCCCTTTATTATACTCATTTTCGAAGAATAAAACTTTATTACTGATCATTATAATGAATTTACAGTATTTTTAAATATAAAGTAATACAAATACAAAGTAATACTTTCTGCAAATGCCCAATCTACCTTGGAAAGAACAACTTTTAATCTTCTTTGTCAAAACCCAGACACTCATCTCCAGAGCTAAATGAAACCTCTTCTAAATCAGCATCTGAATCCTCATACCACGAATTGTCCTCTGTACCATCCAGTGCATTACTAATGCCACATTTCTTAAATGATTATCCACTGTCTCTATTTTCACAACATCCCATGAATATTGCATAACTCCGAATGGAGGAAATTTCCAGAAATGTATGCAATAAAAAAACCAAGTGTCGACATATAAGATGCTGTATCGATGTATGAGATGCATCCCTTTTTTCAGACCTATTTTCAAAGAAAAAACGTGCGTCTTATACGCTGCCAAATACGGTAATTTACTTCAAAATATAGTAATTTTTTATTTATATTTCTGTTTTCTTTAGACGTGCTTTAAGTGATCCCTTACCTGAAGTACGTATTGCTGCAGCTACAACATTTGATAGTTTACATTCAACAGTTGGTGTCAGAGCTCTTGATGATATTCTTCCTCCTTTGCTTAGGCAATTGGTAAATATTCTGTATTATAAAGTATTATCAATTTTTGTATAGTTAAGATTTTATTTTAATGTCTAACAATTATTTCAGAGTGATCCTGGTCAATCCGAATATACTCTAGATGGATTAAGACAAGTTATGGCCATAAAAAGCAAAGTAGTTCTACCTTATCTTGTTCCTCAAGTAAGTACTTCATAACTAGTAATAATTTAATTTTGCATGTTTCCTGCTTATATTTAGATGTACAGTCTTGTGATAAGGTAGACATTTAATCAAAATTCTATATATATCTAATAAGAAATCAGTCTACCTTTAAGCTGCTGTAATATTTTCTACTTGCCATAAAAAACTTTCCTTAAGTAACTGAAAAGTTGCATTCCGAAATTTGGTGCTATTCTCCTTTGAAAGGTAGCTAGCAAGTTAGGCACTGAATATTGGTGCAGGCTTGTTACAACTTTTTCTCTTAATAAACAGGTGTTACTGTCTCATTGATGGCTGAATAGTTAAAATATCATCCCTTAAAATCCTTTATTTCTTAAAATTCTTTAATTCTTATTTATTATGATGGGGCTTCTAATGCTTTTTGCCAAATAATTTACGTATGTTCACATTTGTATTAAATAAATTTGTAGATTGATAATTAGAATTACACTTTACTTTGACAGCTAACTGCTCCACCGGTGAATACAAAGGCTTTATCATTTTTATCTGCTGTGGCTGGTGAAGCTCTTACCAAGCACTTATCAAAAATTCTTCCTGCCCTGTTATCTGCATTAAGTTCTGCTGTTAATACACCTCAAGAAGCTCAGGTAAAAACAAAATTACATGTTGTAAACATCATCTCTTAATTTTTAATTTCATGACATTGTTTTAATACTTAATTTCTCTGTGCAAAATAAAAGTGTTTGTATTATTTGTGTAAATGTTATAGCTTTACCACTAACTCTATTTATGTAGACATTGGAGTATTGCCAGACTGTAGTTCTTGCTGCTACAGATGATTTAGGTGTCCGTACCATTGTGGATCATCTGTTGGAGGCTACACGTAGTGAAGATTCGCTTCGTAGACATGCAGCAGTTGCTTTATTGTGCTGTTACTGTTGTCAGAGGAAAGTTGACATTTCTCAGCATGTTCCTCAATTGATCCGTGGGCTTATTCGCCTGTTTACAGAAAAGGATCAAAAAGTACTTCAACTCAGTTGGGAAGCTTTGAATGCTGTAACAAAGGTAACCTTTTTTTGATTATGTTACTGCAATAGAATCTACACTGTTATGCTAGAGCAATCAATGAAAAGAATTTGAGAATCATAGAATCTACACTGTTATGCTAGAGCAATCAATGAAAAGAATTTGAGAATCTTCTCTCATATACTTTCAAATTGCAAGACTGTTTATGTAAGTGGTATTAATTTCCGTATAAAGCGCAGTGTAAGTAATATTTAAAAAATTAGAAATAAAAATTTAAAAAAAAAAGAATTAAGCAAGAAAATTGTTCATTACCTGAAATTGCTACTTTTGCTTTCTAGATCTCAGCTCAGATTGGTTTGCTGACCACTGCACTGATAACAGGAAACAAGGATTTTATGTTATAGGGATGGTTAAAAATTCCCATACTGTGCAAAACATCATTGCAAGTGTCATCATTTGTTTAAATAAAATCATGCATATTATTAAGTGACTGTAATGATCAAAAAGTTTTTTTAAAAAAATCAAAAAGTTATATACAATGAAAGCTCAGAAAGTGCCAAAAGCGAGGTACATGAAAATTCCAGATAGTTGCGTGTATAAAAAATACAATTCATATTAGAAACGCCAAATTCAAAGCAGAAGAAAATTACTACTCCAAAATTATAAAAACATTCATCTTTTTTTATGAAGCTGACATTTAAAATATATACGAGATTTTTTGGTGGGGAAAGGCATTTCAAACATAAAAGCTGACATATTTCATAGATCTCACCAATTCCTGATGAACATGAAAGTTGTCAGAGATGTTGCCAAGCTTTCACTAATAATTCCGGAAGAAGTCTAGAGAAATAGATCATTTTTTATTTAGTTAGATAGTAAACAGATATAGCATGTAAAAAACTTATATTGCTTTAGATTGATGGCAATCAAATGATTTTAACTTCATTCAAATGTGTAAAATACTTTGTGATCTAATTATTGATTTTATTTTCTAGAATCTGAATACTTCAGAACAGCTAAAATTAGTTTCAGATGTTCGGCAGGCTGTTCGATTTGCCGCGAGTGATTTAAAGCCTGGTGAATTACTTCCTGGTTTCTGTCTTCAAAAGGTATTGTGTTATTTTAATTTTATCTAATGTAATTGCAACAATTTTAGTGCATATTGTTCTGAATTTTTTTTTTTTTTTTTTTTTTTTTTTTTATGCATATTTAGGGTATTACACCAATATTACCCATCTTCAGAGAAGCCATCTTAAATGGAGTTGCAGAAGATAAAGAACAAGCAGCCCAAGGACTTGGAGAGGTTATAAAATTAACAAGTGCTGATGCTCTTAAACCATCTGTAGTGCACATAACTGGACCGCTTATTCGAATTTTAGGTGATCGCTATAACTGGCCAATCAAAGTGGCCTTTTTAGAGACTCTTGCTCTCCTTCTTGCAAAGGTAATTCATGCTAATTTAAAATGAAATATTATGTATATTTAGCAATTAAAATTACAATGGGAACATTTATGTCTTATTTTGTAAAATTTAATGTTGTTGAATTAAGTGCAATGTATATAAACTAAAATGTGTATATATTAAAAAATATCTATTGCTTGTATATTTTTCAAATTTAGGTTGGAATGATGCTGAAACCATTTCTGCCTCAATTGCAAACAACTTTCCTTCGTTCTCTCAGTGATGGGAATCGTACCGTGAGATTAAGATCTGCCTCTGCTTTAAGTTACTTGATTCTAGTTCATAATAGAGCTGATACTTTATTCACAGAGCTGCATAATGCTGTAAAAAATGCTGAAGATAATTCCTTAAAGTAATGTTTTTAAATTTTGCCAATTTTTTTCTCTTGAATCTTATTTTATTTCATTTATGCTTACCTTTTATGTACAATAAACCATAATACTATGTTATTCTGTTGTATTCCATTACTGAAACAAAATTATCAGTAATTAAGGCTTACTAGATTAAAAATTAGTCACCCCTAGTAAAATCTTTGTATAAGAATAATTGTCCATAAAAAAATTACTTCATAAGATTAAAGAATTGCTGTAGTTCTGTCGGGCTTGGAATTTCACTAATTTATAAATGTAACCAACATCAGCTCTCATCTGCGTTTGCTGTAGTAAATCCAATAACTCAAGCAAATTGTTCAGATTCCTCTGCCAGTGTTTGATTCTTTGC